CATATATATACACACACAAGCTTAGCCTTTTACATTTTTAATGAATTCTTTGTTAGCAACTTATACATTTTTTTAATTTATAAAGAAAACCAATACATACTTCTTTACTGTGGTTTTTTTTCTTAATGTATTGGTTCATCTGAACTAATGGATCCATATAATTTATGAGCCTGAAATCAATAATAAGTATAAAAATCAATTTTTGCTTTACTGGCAATAATCATCAGCATATCTTGAATCTATCTAGATCTATATATTTATATAAAAATCAATGTCTGTGCGTTACTACACGTTTCATCCGATCGGCATGAAACTTTGGGAAGTCGTTGAGAATACTCAGGTACCTGCGAAAAAAATATTTCAAATTCACACGGGTGGCGCCCCGGCAGAGCATGATTTGATTCTTCTCTATATATGGTATACAAAAAATAAAATTCGGATGCGGTTCAACAACGTTCATCCAAGTGCCATGAAACTTTGGGGAGTTTATCAAAATACTCTCGAGAAGGTTTCTGCAAAAAAATTAAATTTAAATTTCTTATGGGCGTTCACTGGGAGGGTGCGATTTTTGTCAATAAACAGTTTGGTACCCAGAATTCCAGAGCGGCCTTGTTAGCACTTTGCATCCGTTAATCTGACGTCCTGCATAGCATGTAAAGGTTACTAATATATTCAGCAGTAAAACGGCGCCCCATCCATTGCTCAACCCGAAGCGCCCCAGGCCCCTCTGCGAGCACTATGGTGCGTTAAAGTCATTCACTAAATTGAATTAGGCATGTTCGCCGGTCCCTCGGCAGGGTGCAGTTTGGTGCCCCGAGCTATTGTTTTAAACAGTGCGATAGACAATGAATACAATGGGGTATTATAGTCGTTCACTAAACTGAATCAGGCATATCCGCCGACGCCCCGGTAGCTGTACTCATACTTTATTCTAACCCCATGGCAACACGCTGGGATGGGCACGCTAGTTCCAATATAAAATAAAAGGGCAAATGAAATTTTGTTCACTTGTTTCTCTGGCCTTGTATATGAAGGGATTTGGTAACTTATGTGCTGCGGAGTTAGAATAAAGTAATAATAATCTATATATATATAATTCTCTTCTGGGAGACGCTAGAAAACAAACAGCAAGCGCGCCATACAGTCCCCTCTCTTCCTCTCTATCGCTACCACCCCCCCCCAACTCCCCCCCCCCCCAACTCCCCCCCCACCACCCCCTCACATGGTCTGGTGAGCTGTGGTTCACGCTGTTTACATTTTACAATCATAGAGCCGGGTTTGATGACGGCTATTAGGGGCAGATAATTTAGGTTGAAACGATTTTAAATTTAGAGGAGGTAACTAAGAGGAGGCTGCTTTCACGTGGGGGGGAGGGGGGGTTTAGTGTTTTTAAGCAAATATTTTCAGTGGCAGCATTAGTACTGTCGAATTCACAAATTATGAATTACTGAAAAGTAGAAAAAACAACAATTAAATAGCGGCGTATGATACACAGCGGGTCGGCTCGTACTTTTATAATACAGCTAACTTGAAACAGTGGATTCAAAACAAAGTCAGTCACATTGCTTTTTTTTAAAAATTAAAATACAGCAGAAATTTCGGTCTCTTAATCAGTGTGTGCATTTAATATGGTGTTGTGTTGACTAATATGTATATAATTTGATTTTTCTAATAGGTATTGGTAGCCTATGTTATTTTAAATGTGTCGGATATTTAGCTATTTAGTTATTTCTTTGCTTTGTCACTAATATCATTCAACGAGTCGTAAAGCACATTGTGTATTGACCAATAGCTATTTTATTAAATATTTTTCTCAAACAAGTATAACATTAAAATATATTGGCTTATATTAATATAATTCATGTATAACAGGTATCGATGGCTAGTTGATCATATTATCATTAATCCTTCTTGCTCTAACTCTAATAATCAGCTGGCTAATTTTTGTAACAGAAAATGCTTTAGAAATATTTTTTTTCATTTTCAAGATTTGGTATGGTGAAATTTCATTAACATTAATGCCAAAGTTAAAATATTTAGGTTACTGTGTCAGGTGCTTTCCCCTGAATTTGTAAAAATATATCAAACTGTTAAAACCTACTTTTGACAATCTTTCTGTGATTCTGCCTCTGATTCTTCTTTGACTGAACTACATTCATTTCTTCTCTTTTTAACTGAATGATGGAGATCCCAAGGTGATCCTGTTAAATAAATTGAATTTATATATAGGCAGCTAACAACACCAGAAGTGAGTAAAAAATTGAAATACAAGGAAGATGGAAAAGAGGGTTCTCACAAAAACAACTAGACCAAATAATAGTGTTCCTTTACAATCCTGGTATTAAAAGCACTTTCACTTCCAGTGCCACCAAGCAAAAACACAAAATATTTTTTAACAATGAAGCTTTTTTTATTAAATATTAATAATACATTAAAAAATTAAAACATAATTCAGGTATACAGCATTGATTCTAAATAGCTTAAAAACAATCAAAACCTTGAAAAACCAATACCTTTACTAATCTTTCAATTAAAAAAGTATTCAAAATGCTACAAAAACATTAGATGCATTGTAACTGAACTGATTCATCATCTTTCCTTGCAGAACAAAGGGTCTCTGTCGAAGCTCACCACTCTCCACAGTCCCTTGCCAGTCTTTTGGATTTTTCTTAACTCAATACAATGTTTTTTAACTCATACAGCATGCTATATTGCCATCTAAGGCAGCTCTGGTTCAGTTGTTTTTATCCTGTCTAAGAGCGTGTCCAATTTATTGCCATTTTCTTTTCAGAATGTGTATTGCTACTGCTTCCTGTCCACACATCTCCCACAATTTTGTGATTTCTACTGTGTCACACCACTGTATTTTTTAAAATATTTCCTAGGCATTTGTGGAAAGGCAGTTTGTCACATGCTTCTTTAATTCTGTTTTGCAGAGTTCTGCTAAAACCTTGCTTGGTAAGGTAATTTTTGTTATTTTGTGATAAGTTCCCCTTCTTTTGTATTCTTATCAATTAGCCTTTTTTTTCATTCTGTGGGTGGGTTTCTGTTGACCCATTTGTGTCAGCAATTTTCACTAGTTCTTTTAGTAGTGGCAGTATACTGTTTATGCCAGCAGCAATGCCTTTTTTCAATTGGTTGAGTGCCTTATGTATTTCTTTCAAAGATATCTCTCAATACTTATGCCTAAATAAATGGGATCAGGTGGATTTAAAGGTGGATTCAGTACTTCATCAATAGATAGTAGTTTACCTAGCTTTCTTGCCATTCAAGCTTGATTTTGTAGAAATGTTTGATATCTCCTTGCCTACTGCTGCCTCTACTAGCTTATTATAAAAAATCTGCTTATAATTCCTAGTATTTTTTGTGACATCTTTAGTTTTTAGCGTAGTTTATGATTTGCTTTGAATGTTTTCTATTTTCATTTTATTGCCATATCCTAGTCCAATGGGGTTTTCTTTTACTATGATTATTTATTTGAAGTTTCCCCTTGGTTGATCAGTGCTGCCTTCAGTTTCATCAAGTTGCAACTCAGCAAATCAGTTTGAGTTAATTCATTTCCTTGTTTGCCTGTGTAAACATTTAGGGGGATGAATCACCTTTTGTCTGGCCTCTTATAAATTAACAGACCTGTCTGGTTTGATTGGAACTGAAAAAATCTTTAGGCTCCTCTGATGTAGCTCTGAGGGTCATTGGACCTCATTGAAACATAAAATGTATCTATTTTACCCAAAGGCATTAAAATGTCTTTATTGATTTTCTGCCACAATGCCTTCTTCCACTTCCTTTCTATATTTTTAGGATGTATTGAAGAATAAATATTTATTCATTTAAAATTTGTAACAGAATGTACCTTTACTTTCTTGTGCACTTTGGCCTAAATATGTAAGAAGCCCAATTTTTTTCTCAAACTGATCTTTTTCGTGTTTCTTTTCAGCTTCATTATCTTTGTTGCTGCCTTGTTTTATGAGCTGTAAATAAGAAAATAAACCTTGAAGAATAAAAACCTTCCAATCATTGTTGAAATTTTGTTTAATATGATTGCATTGTCAATGTAGAATATATTGATAAATCTTGTTTAGACTTTAGACCTACCCCATCTTCAATTTCCTTAAAAAAATTGATGTGCTCTTTAGGTATACTCCCACTTTCACCTCTAGAACTACTTTTACTGGCAACCTCAGAACTTGTGGTTGAATTATGAATATCTAAGCTCTTGCAGTTCAGATCTTTGGATTTGCTTTGATTTTTAGCTCTGAGTAAAGCTGTTCGAGCTTCTTGTTCCTTCAAACATTTTTGGAAAAGTATTACAATACTAGTAATATATTTATTTGCAATTAGGTACTTCTATAAATAAAATATTTTAAGTTGGAAAAAAAATATGATATTTGAGTGACCAGTAAAATGAGAAACAGAAAAAATGTGATTAGACCACACAAAAGTGGTCAAAGCACCTTCACGTGTATGTATGATCAGAAAATCTTTTTATGTTTGAAATGTTTCTATGTATTTTAGAAAGTGAGACTGCATTTATTTCTCGATTAAAATAAACAGAAGTGGGAATTAAACATATCTGTCTATGTATATACAGAAGCACATGCAATGCATAAACACACACAAATACAGATTGCTGTAATCCTATCTGTGTTACATTTTTTTTTTTGACATTTTTCTGCTTGGACTTTTTACTTTCTCGTATATACGAAGTATAGAGAAAGTATTACACCTCACTGATACGGAAAAACATAATTTTGCAATCTTGTCCGTATGTCTGTGTGTGTGTGTGTCTGTGTGTGTGTGTGTGTGTCTGTGTGTGTAAACACGATAACTTGAGTACCGTTACAGCTAGGTTGATGAAATTTCATATATAAGTATTTTATCAAAATCGTAGATCCGTATCAACTTTTGAACGATTTCCGATAATCCGGAAGTGGTACTTTTTCTACTTTGAATTTTTAAAAAGCCTATAACTTGAGTACTATTTCAGATAGATAAATGAAATTTCACATGTAAGTAAAATATGCAATTCTCTACCTTCTGTCAAATTTTGAGTAATTTCCGTTGACCGGAAGTACTAATTTACGCTATTTCCGATTTCTCAAAAAACGCATTTAAATTTATAAAGTACTCATAATATTGCGCACTATTATGCACATTTTATTAGGCATTCACTTGGTGTGCAATTCTTTTTTTTTACAAGATTCCATTCTATTATAAAAAGTTTAAGTAATCAAAAATGGATTACAAATATTGTCTATGTCCTGAGTTGCCATCCCTCATAGTTTTATATTAGAATATACTCCCGGTTTATTTTCTGGGTTTTTTTGTGCTCCATAACACATTTTTCTGTTGCATATTTATAATAGTGCTGTTAAATTAGAGCAATAATAAAGTAAATACAGACATATAGATTCATTTTTAAACTGCCAGCTGCTTAGATTTGGTCTATAACTCAAAAGATATCTAAATTTTTAAATTCATGTCATTGTATTTAAAACAGTTAATCCCCATAATGCATGAAAATAGTAAACATATGATAAATACAATACTTAATCAGCTTACAGCAAGTGCAATTCGCCTTTGTTTCTCCTTTTCTTCTGATGCTGCATTTTCTTCATCTTTTCTAACTCTCTCTATATTCTTCTTAGTCCGCACATGCCAACTAAAAGCAATTTAGCAGTAAACAGCAATAGTTAGATATAGTAAAGGAACATATGCATGTATTAGTCAACTATTTTAAGAAAAACTTTTCAGCTTAGCTGATCACCAGATTAATTAGTTTACAGTGTTTGAAAGTTTCCAAAAAGAAAAATGTGTGCAAGGCATGATGCTAACAAAACACTTACCTTTTGTGAGGCAAAATGTTCATGTTTAATAATCAATAATAAATCCAGTTCACACTTCAAATTCAATGTTTGCACAGCTATGATAAAGTGATAGTGATTCTGGGAAGAGAAAAAAATTATTATTCTATTATAGAACAAATTTGTTATGTAAAATATATTATAAACCCAGGTTAAAAAATAATCTATATATATAAAAAGTAATGTATGTGTGTGTGTCTGTATGTCTGTCTTTTATGCATGACTACACAGTTCATCCGATCGCCATCAATCTTTGGGGAGTTGATAAGAACACTCCATGGAAGTGTTCTGCAAAAAATTATTTTTTAATTTCGCAAGAAACTAACAACTTCCACTAAGGCCTAACTTCCCCTGATCATTATAGTTGACAAAGCTAAAAAAAACATGCTATTTTACTTTCTCATACACGAAGTATAGAGGAAGTATTGTAATCGTGAAAAAAATCAAAATCACAAATCTCGACATTGTACATCTACCTGAGCCCTGAGTTGGAAAAACATAGTTTTGCAATTTTGTCTGTGTGTCTGTGTGAATGTGTGTCTGTGAACACAATAACTTGAGTACCGTTAAAATAAGTTGATGAAATTTCAAATATAAATATTATAACAAATGTGTACTTCTGTATCAACTTTTCAGCGTTTTCCAGTAGAGACCAAGAAAATATTATTTTTGCCTCTTATGGCTAAATTTATATTTACTTTATCAATCCAAAATTTTAACCTGACACATCGTTTTGATACAATAAACTTTGATGGACGAGATCATTTTCTAAAACAACTATACTTTTGAAAAACAGAATGCCCTAGTGTGTGCCATGTTTGTTTACATTTTCCAAGTGAAAATTTAGTAAAGTTTCAGAAAATGCTAAAAATACAAAATATGTCCAACTAGAGTTTCTTTCAGGCATCTCTTCTCTTTGGATGACATGCATTACTAGTATCTTCCTATTTCAGAAGAAGCCTATTAGTAGCCAGTGGCTTGACCTACTTTCTTTTAACGTCGTCATGGTAATTATGGCTGCCAAAAATGACAATACCATGATTCCATTTTTAAGCAATGTTTGATGGTCATTTCAGAAATATATACTAGTAATAGTTATTTTTGCGTAATATTCAGCAGTACCGATCTAATTTTAACAATGGACAATTACCGTTTGATGCAAGCTTGCCATTAGTACATTTTTTAGTCTAATCGGCGGGTATATCACTGAGAATAACGAGCAGAACATAATAAATGTAAGCAAAACGTAAATTGCTTTATTTAGTATATTTAGTATTGTTGTAAACTTAGTCAAAAATACTGTAAACTATAGAAAATTATATATTGCATCCTACTAAAATATTTTCATTTTTTTTTTTAAATCATGCAGGCTTAAACAAAACCTTCAAAAAAATAATTTGATTGAGACAACAACTAACTAAGCCTGCCTATTTTGCCCGCTGTGTATTTGAATGGGAAAAAATCTAGTAGATGACACATTTCTGCTGAACGGCGATGAACAGTCAATCTTGTCACAACAACACTCCTTAAAAACTAACTCACCGTATCACTGAGTATCAGTCATATCATCATAGCCATTTAAAAACATGTTTTTTCATTAAAAAATGTGTTTTTTCACAAATTATTTTTTAAGTACCGTTCAAATCTGATACTTAAATTTAGTATCTAATTAAAACTTAAATGTAGATTTTAATTGTTTAAGTCATCTTGACTTGAACAATAATGAAGTTTAAAATCTTAAGCGACACCCTACTAGTAGTAGCAGTGTGATGGAATAGACCAGTCAAGTCAAGAGTGCAGTTTTATATTAACACTTATCAGTATAGTAGTGTATGACATGTCAGGGTTTTGAAATATAAACTATTTCTAAAACAACTGAATTAGCACTTGCAAGCACTAGTTTTTTCTCATGGAAATTATAAACAAATGTGGCCTAACTAGGGCTTCAAAGGCAAAACAAAGACCATTTATTATATTACACAGTGATTACTTTTTAAATTAACTTTTAATACATAACTAGACCACCCATTAATACTACATATTACATATTACTACATAATAAATCCATATCTAGGAAGTGTGATCAATTAGGACGGGGGAGCAGAAGAGGACATAAAATGCCGTATCAACAAGGCTAGATGTGCCTTCAACTGACTGCGCCCAATGTGGAGGTGCGCTGCCCTGTCACTTTGGAGCAAAATTGGGATTTTCAAAAACAAATGTCAAGGCAGTATTGCTCTATGGCTCTGAGACTTGGAGGGTTACAAAGGCAAATACAGATAGGCTACAGTTGTTCACAAATAAATGCTTACAACATATAGGCCTACTTAAAATAAGATGGCTGAACAAAGTATCAAAGACCTGTGGCAAATTTCAAAACAACAGCCAATAGATAAGGATATCAAGGCCGGTAAATGGGGATGGATTGGACACACGCTAAGAAGAGAAAAAAATAATATTGCAAAACATGCTATGGACTGGAATCCCCACGGAAAAAGGAAAGTGGGCCGGCCAAATAAAACCTGGAAAAGAATGGTAGAGGAAGAGGCTAAGACAACTGGGCTCACGTGGGCACAGATTAAGTGAAAAGCCAAACCGAGTCCACTGGAAATGTGTAATTGCAGCCCTTTGCTTCCCAGAGGCCAAAAAGGAATGATGATGACATAATAAATGACTATATCCTAATCCTAATATATAAAAGCCCATGTGCGCACTTCTCAGTGTTTGCGAGCAAGATTTGCTATATATATAAACAGCAGCCATTTGTAAAATTGAAGGGCTTCCCCTGAATCTTGCGCTATAAGTTTTCTGAAATAATTATTAAAATTTAAGGGGTCACCTGTTTTTCACATTATTAGCCGCGGGCGATTTTACGTACCTAAATATTAAATAAAACGATAGATTTATAATTTATAGATTACGTTACCCAGTAATTTAATTATTTTATCTAAAATTTTTAGATCTAGGAATCTAGATCTAGGTAAATTGTAAATCTGGTAATCTATCGTTTTGGGTACGTAAAATCGCCCGCGGCTATTAATGTACGAAAACGTTACCTCATTGTCAAGGCTGTAATAGAAGTAGATCTATATAGATTTAGTAAGTAATAGTAAGTAAAAGTAGTATATTGTGATATGTTTATGGTATGTCAAATATTATAGATAAATCTAAGTGTATTTCTTGATCTTATATTAATATCTAGATCTAGATCTAGAATCTAGATAATATTAAATTTTGTCTGCTGGGTTAGCCTACTTACTAAAATACTACAATACTTAGATCTAGATCTAGACCTATGACTGATTATAGAAACCACGTAAAGCAGAAGGATGAATGGGATTGATCGATAGTATTCTATAGTAGTTTCCCTTTGATGGATGGGGTTAAAATCTGCGGTGGCCGGAAAGAACCGCAACGGAAAAAAGCGCAACGGAAAAAAGCGCAAAACAAAAAGCGCAACGGAAATAAGCACACACGGAAAAAAGCGCAAAGAGAAAAAAGCGCACACGGAAAAAAGCGCAAAGAGAAAAAAGCGCAAAAAGAAAAAAGCGCACACAGAAAAAAGCGCAAACAGAAAAAAGCGCAAACGGAAAAAAGCGCAAACGGAAAAAAGCGCAAACAGAAAAAAGCTCACACAGAAAAAAGCGCAAACGGAAAAAAGCGCAAACGGAAAAAAGCGCAAACAGAAAAAAGCGCAAAGAGAAAAAAGCGCAAACAGAAAAAAAGCGCACACAGAAAAAAGCGCAAACAGAAAAAAGCGCAAACGGAAAAAAGCGCAAACGGAAAAAAGCGCAAACAGAAAAAAGCTCACACAGAAAAAAGCGCAAACGGAAAAAAGCGCAAACGGAAAAAAGCGCAAACAGAAAAAAGCGCAAACGGAAAAAAGCGCAAACAGAAAAAAGCGCACACGGAAAAAAGCGCAAACAGAAAAAAGCGCAAACGGAAAAAAGCGCAAACAGAAAAAAGCGCACACAGAAAAAAGCGCAAACGGAAAAAAGCGCAAACAGAAAAATGCGCAACCAGAAAAAAACAACGAAAAATGTGCAAAAGAGAAATTTAGCACAAATACCTATATCGACTAGATGACACATTTATACATGACTGTTAGGGCTGCTGTAAGAGGTCGTGTTTAATCACGTGATCTACTACCATTTAAAGCGTACCACTACCATGTTCATTCCCCTCACCACGATACAGGCGATAATCGCTTTACACAATGCCTATTATTTTCTTGGTCAATAATTATTCAACTACTATTCTCGTATAAATAAACATAAAACTATCCTTGATATCGACATTACACGAAGTATCTCTCCCATTCTCCCTAGCCCGAACTACCTAGCTTGCATACCATAACTACCCGTTCCTATCGCAAAACTTCACTCTCTTTCATCCGCGTCATCTGACATGCATTCGTCATATCTCTCATATCTCTCGCAACAACATTCATTCGCACCAAAATAACAATTATGTATTTAATATTATTTCACATCATGACGCACTTACCTACCTACCTACTACCTACTACCTACCTACCTACCCACCTACACACTTACCCACCTACCCTCCTACACACCTACCTACCTACCCACCTACCCACCTACCCACTTACCCACCTATCCACTTACCCACCTACCCGCCTACCCACTTACCCACCTACCCACCGAAAAAGGATCGGCGAAGTTCGTTAGTTTCGTAAACTGTACTTTTTTTAATGAAAATTCATTGACATCATTGACATATGTTACATATATGTTACATTTTGCGACAATCTTAATTAGTGCGTTGGGCTTGTATGAAAACTCACTTCGAACTAACTCAATTACATGCTATTTATTTTAACATTACACGGTAAGCATCACCCAACTGTTGTGATGTGAGGTGAGGACAGGTTCGACAATAAACCAACACGAATGGACCCCCTAACTTTCCTAACCCCACCATTAATTATACCCTACCTAACCTCTAAATTTCTTGCGCTATATAGTGGTACGCTTTAAATGGTAGTAGATCACGTGATTAAACACGACACTCTTACAGCAGCCCTAACAGTCATGTGTAAATGTGTCATCTAGTCGATATAGGTATTTGTGCTAAATTTCTCTTTTGCACATTTTTCGTTGTTTTTTCTGGTTGCGCATTTTTCTGTTTGCGCTTTTTTCCGTTTGCGCTTTTTTCTGTGTGCGCTTTTTTCTGTTTGCGCTTTTTTCCGTTTGCGCTTTTTTCTGTTTGCGCTTTTTTCTGTGTGCGCTTTTTTCTGTTTGCGCTTTTTTCCGTTTGCGCTTTTTTCTGTTTGCGCTTTTTTCCGTTTGCGCTTTTTTCCGTTTGCGCTTTTTTCTGTGTGCGCTTTTTTCTGTTTGCGCTTTTTTCCGTGTGCGCTTTTTTCTGTTTGCGCTTTTTTCCGTGTGCGCTTTTTTCTGTTTGCGCTTTTTTCTGTGTGCGCTTTTTTCTTTTTGCGTTTTTTTCTCTTTGCGCTTTTTTCTCTTTGCGCTTTTTTCCGTGTGCGTTTTTTTCTCTTTGCGCTTTTTTCCGTTGCGCTTCTTTCTGGGAACCTTAAAATCTAATAGGCTTAAAATGGAGTGATCTCCCCCTAAACTTTCTTGTAAATTATATTTTTACGAGAGGGAAAAAGTCATGCAGGTAGTTGGTGAATTACTTTTTTTGTGAATTACTTTTTACTTTCTCATATACAAAGGAAGTATTGCAATCATGCAAAAAATGGAAATCGAGGTAGTTATAAATCTCGACGTTTTATACCTCCCTGAGTCGGAAAAAACATAGTATAGTTTTGCAATTTTGTCTGTACGTCTGTGTGTGTATATAGTATATATTTATCTGTGAACACGATAACTTGAATACCGTTACCAGTAGCGTACGCAGGGGGAGCAGGGGGAGCGGCCACTCCCTTTCTGGCCATTTTCAGCAAAGTGGGGCCTTTTTTTAACTTTTTAAACTCAAAGTTTTAAACAATGATATTTTTTATCAAGATTTCTTTTAATAAGATTTCTTTTAACAAGATTTCTTTCCATGCAGCAATTAAGCATTATTGTACTATTCTAGTAGTGTCTACGTTTACAACACGTATTAACAGCTGCATCAGTTTGCCATTCTAAAAATAACCATTACGATGCATTGCATTGTTTAAAAAACCTCTACGGGTAGTACCACTTGGCAAGAGGGGTGTTAAGTTTAAGGCAACTGTATAATGTATTTGCTTACGAATAATTGAATTAGAAAATATTATACATAAAACTTCACACATAATTACTTTATATATACAGTTTGAATCGTGTGATTAATTTAAAAAATAAATACAATACAGAAACAAATACAACTGATGTTTAAATTTACTTATGAGCAAACTGCGTAGTGGTGTGGAAACTTTGAAAGGGTCAACAACCTCATCACGATGAAGTAGTAGTATTCTTACAGTTTGGGCGATAGTGATTACGATTACAAATTATATGAAACAGTTACAACCCCCTCCCCATGGACCCCTCTGTAAAAAAAAAAGTATTGTCATAATACCACTGCTACTTATTTAAATCTATTTCTGTAATATATATTTGTGTAATATATATATATATATTTGTGTAATATATATATTTGTGTAATATATATTTGTGTAATATATATGTATGTTCAGAACAGTCATCTAAAAACTGACGCTATATTCACTCTGAGTTGGTTATATTCCCCCCCCCCCCCCACACACACACACACACCTCACCACCACAATTGTGTAGAGCTACATTAATGTCACACCTAGGTATACACGGGGTTGGATAATTGACCTAAAGTGAGCGGACAGTGGTGAATGAAGTTGAAACCACCCCTCCCCCCCACCCCAACCCACCCCGAACTGATCTGTTAAGTACATGTAGAAAAACGCGTAATAATGTACCAAAAGACCATGCCGCCAGAAAATTAACTTTTTAAACGTAAAACTCTGTGAATATTCTTTTTGCAATTACCAGTAAAAAGGTGTGTGATCTAACCCATATCTATCACTATGTTAAAATATGATCTTTAAAAAACACAAAGAAGCAGTAGTTAATTAAAAATATATGATCTGAACTTACAGACAGATATGTAGTTAAATGTAGGCTGTTAATCCGAATGTTCCCACGTTTTCTTTAACTTGCTTTCGCGTCTGTTTGGTTTTCCAATCAAATCTTGCGATCGAAATTTTGGGCACTTCCCAGTTAGCTAGCGCGCTGAAATTTTCAGGGAAGCTTTGTTTCCAATGACAATACAATATTCAATTGTTATTATTACTAAATTGATCCATGGAAACATTTTATTGATTATTTTAGACCCCTAAATATTTGTACAAAAAAGGGACATAACCTAGTAATTGTAATTTGATGAAAACAAGGTTCGGTACTTTCCCTCTTAAGGCTTACTGAGTAGTGGTCACGCGGTGTTTGTGTACAAACCTATGCAAATCTAACACAGAAGAAACGTCTATTGGAAAAGACACGTGTTTTTTACGAGTTGTCTTCGTTTACCCAAAAAAAAAAGTGAATGCGAGAAGATCAAATCGATAGCAAGATTTGAATGCAAACAAACAGACAAAGACTAAAAAGTAGAAAATAATTATCATTACAAAAGTTTTAAAAAAACCCACGTTTTCTGATTGAACTAAAAAGTAGAAAATAAATGCTATACATCACAATAATGCAAGCGATCACTCTACTATAAGCGATGAAAAACGTGGGGCGCCGAAGTAAAAGTTTTTTATCGGTCATTGTTAATATAAGATGTAAAAGTTATATTACTATTGATTAGATAAAAATATTGACTGAAAAACATTTTGTAAACACGAATAGTGTTAAACAATTTCATTATATTCTAAAGTAATTATTTATGTGTTTTGACATTTATAATTAAATGTGTAGATATATATACATATTTATATTAAGAGAGTGATTATTTCCCCTCTTTCACTTGTCTTAAATAATTCCAGAGGAATTATTATGTAAGAAATTTTTACTTTCTCGTATATACGAAGTATAGAGAAAGTATTGTAATCGTGCAAAAAAAATCGAGATTTTTACAAATCTCGACGTTTTACACCTCACTGATACGGAAAAACATAATTTTGCAATCTTGTCCGTGTGTCTGTGTGTGTGTGTGTGTGTGTGTGTGTGTGTCTGTCTGTCTGTCTGTCCTTGTGTAAACACGATTACTTTAGTACCGTTACAGCTAGGTTGATGAAATTTCATATATAAGTATTTTATCAAAATCGTAGATCCATATAAACTTTTGAGCGATTTCCGATAACCGGAAGTGGTACTTTTTCTACTTTGAACTTTTCAAAAGCCTATAACTTGAGTACTATTTCAGATAGATAAATGAAATTTTACATATAAGTAAAAGATCTAATTCTCAGCCTTCTATCAAATTTTGAGTAACTTCCGTTGACCGGAAGTAGTAATTTAGGCTATTTGCGATTTCTCAAAAAAAAAAACACATGTGAATATATAAAGAACTAATAATATTACGCACTATTCTACACATTTTATTTGACGTTCATTTGGTGTGCAATTCTTTTTTCTATGAGATTCTATTCTAATTTAAAAATTTAAGTAATTAAAAATGGATTAAAAGTCATGTCTATATCCCAAGTTGCCATCCCATGTTGGTTCATATTAGAATACTCGAAAAAGGTTAGGGGAGATCACTCCCGGTTTATTGTTTTTACTTTACTAATCTTTTGTAAAAAGAAAACACATCTTAATAATATTGGCGTCGAGTAAAGTTTTAAGGAACGAAAATCATACATCGTAATTAGGGGTTATCCATAAATGATGTCACGCTTTTTTGACGATTTTTACCCCCCCCCCTCCCCTCCGTCACACTTCGACACAAAAAGCCAGACCCCCCCCCCTAAAATGACGTCACACCTCAACCTACAACCCCCCTCAAAATTGCAGTTGAATTTTTTTAAACATCGATATTTTTCTAAAATCTTGTCTAAACTATTACAATTTATCAAAACAGTTATCTAAAATGCGAAATAACGTCTAAAATTCGTTTTCTAACATTGCTTTTTTATAATGCAAAAATGTGACGTCGCAACATCCGACCCCCCCCCCCCCTCCCCCTCATCACACATCGTCACAAAATTACGGACCCCCTCCCCCCTACGAGTGTGACGCCATTTATGGATGACCCCTTATGAAACCTTTTCCCAACTGGCACACACACGCTTATACATACACTCACACCACACATACATATACGCATATATATATATATATATATATATATATATATATATATATATATATATATATATATATATATATATATATATATATATATATGTGTGTGTGTGTGTGTGTATACACGGGGGCGCCCAATTGAAAGTTCGCCCCGGGCGTCGGGAGGGGTCGCTACGCTTCTGGCCTAATTTATTTATTTATTTAAATCTTAAAATTGGTCTTCTTGTAGAATTTTGTTAAAGGAATCTCTTTGGTTAGTGGCGGAGCCCCCACACTCACCCCCGAAGAGTTGCCTGAAACTCTGAAAGCGACTTTTGTTCAAGTTTAGCTTATGTGCAAGGTTTAGAGGTATGACTAGGACTAGATCTATTTATGGATAAAAATCCGTTTTCAATTACATTTATGTTTCCTGTTAAATTTTAAGATGAGGTGGTGATTTTGGTTTCGGTTTAGAGAAAAAGAAAACACCATCAACCTAGTGCCCTTTGTATTCCTTCCTCAACGGGCCATTTATCTAGATTAGTAGATAAAGGTTTTTATTATTTTAAACAAGTTAATAAAAAGTCTAGTGACAATTTAAGCGCAATTTCCTTATTTTATCCATAACCATTTTTAATTTTTTGTGACCGAACGAAGGGATATTTTTTTGCGCTAAAAAAAAAAAAAGACAACTACATTAACCTATATCAACGGAAATAGTTTTATTTTAACGAGTAGGCCTACACGATGCTCAGTTTAAACAAGTTAATAAAAAGTCTAGTGACAATTTAAGCGCAATTTCCTTAATTAATTTTTTGTGACCGAACGAAAGGATATTTTTGAAAACTTTCTTCGGCAATATTGTTCTAAATTATGGCAGGAATCGATTGGTAAATGTTTCAAGTCGCTAAGTGGTCTGGTTGCCGAGATATGGGCCAAAAACTGATTTTTTTTCCAATTTTTTTTTACTTTTCCGGGAAATCCAGGAAGGAATTCCGGGAATTTTTTTGGCCCACAATCATCCTCGGAACTTGCTTAACATATTTGCTTTTGGAACTAGTCCTCGATATTGCTTCGTTGAAGAGGAAATACGACTCAAAGCTGCGCACATCCATCCATCCAGAAATGACGAGTTAATAATCGCAATTCCTGTAAGGAAATTGCGCTAAAAAAATTAGACTAGGCTAAATTTATGAAATTGGCTTGGTTCGGTAAATGGATGAAATCCTAAATAAATTTCGATCTATTGTAGTCTAGCTTTAGAGAACTAGTCCACCCAGTTAAAAATGGCTGGTAGTCGAAGAGAAAAATTGGGTTCTATACTTACCAGGCAAAATATAAAATAAACTAGATTCTAGATCTACATTGTTTCTTTTAGTGATCTTTTATTTAATTGCATTCGAATAGATAGTTAACTGATCATCTGCTTGCGATCTTTTTGAGTCTTTTCGTGGTCAAGAAGTTTTAGAATTAGATCTAATCTAGACTAGATTCTAGATCTAGTTTTTAATTTTATAATAATTTAGGCTTTTTTAGTAGGCTAGCGATCTCTGGATAATATTATTACTTTGAAAAAACTTAAATACAATAGTTAAACTTAAACAACAGCAATCATATTTTTATAGGCCTAACCAATCTCTAGGTCTATAACCGTGCCATATTTAATTTTTTTATTTATTTATTTTAATAACATTTAACATAAGTTTGGGTCCATTTCAAGGAGATCGGTGTGCTAAAACCTCCGGTCATGTGACATTTTAAATTTGTCTTGCATTTTACCCCCACCCGACTGTTACTGATCAAATGTGAAGTTGTCTGTATAAAAATTCAAAGCGACTAGAATCTAGTCAGAAAAAGCTTTTGCCCCCTACTGCCTTAGCCTAGGCTGGCCAGCAGAAGACACAAAAATGCAATGACCTTAACTTAAATTATTAAAAAGTAAAAAGGCTAAACTAGTAAACGTGGCCTGAAATTACCCTTAAGCTTTAAGCCTTACAAAGTTAAATGCTGTGCAATGGGCTGAAACTACACTAAATCAAAATAGCTATGCAATGGTCACATATTACTCTTTTAGCCTTAGCCTTCTAACAAAACTAACCGTATTGGCCGTATTGTGTGGTTGAGTGGTTGCGATTTGGGCGGATTGGGTCAAATCGAACATTACAGCTAGATCTATTCTATATGTCTGCATCCCTTCAAGTTCAAAATTATTAGTGCTGAAATATTTCTGTTTACTTATGTGAAATTAGGATGACAGGCCTGTTGCGGTCTGGAGCAATAAAAGAAGAAGACCGTCCCATTTGGTATGATATAGTGAAGGCACTCCCACCTAAGCCTTCTCTACATCCACGACAAGTACAAACAGTTTTCTACCCAGAAGACTATATTAGAGCGTAAGATGGTCTCTTTTAAAGTCTATTTAATAGCCTATTATATATTATTAAATTTAAATATTTGTTGTTGATAAAAATTTTAAAGGAATTAATTATTCGTTTTCAGACACTTTTATAGAAATTTTACTGATAGTGAACCAGTTACTCTTAATAATAACATCATATCTGTGACTCAGAGGTAAGGTAAACTATTAGAAATAAATTGACCTATTGATATGGGTGAAACTCATTAGTATAGTTTCTACCTCAGGAAACCTATTCATAATCACATCTAAATTTTGTCCCTTTTATATGTAGATTTGTAGATAAATATATTGAGCTACAATCCCAGAAATCACATCCTGTGGATCAATTGTTTCAAATTACTGTAAACAAATTACAAGAAGAAGGTGTGAAATTACAGACTCATGAAGAGAAACCAATGACCAATATCAATAAGGTACTTTAATTAAGTTATTATATTTCACTTTCATCTTGAAAAACAAATCTGGAATGTCTTAAAGCCTCAACCACAAAAATATATTTTTGAAACCAGCACAACTGGAGATCTTTGTTTGATTGATGGCCCCTACCCCAGCAGAGGTAACGGGCAGTGATGTAGTCAGAATCTAGGTGGTTTTTCGGGGTTGTCAGTTATTTTATTTCTGAGTTAAAGAAACGTTAAGATGTAAATTTCAAAACCTGTAATAAATGCTATAGTACCAACAGTTGAAATTGAGATCTTAGCAATACTAAAAAATTAAACCATATTGCCATACACAAAATGATTTTTTTTTAAGTATAGAGTTACTGTTTTTCTAGTATCATAGCCCGTTTCACATTGTTTGTGTTCTGTCTACATTTAGTCACAAATACGAACCTTTTAAGTCAATGTGATTAATATATCAGGGAACATTTGTTTTAAGATATTATAATTACTGCCTTTAGCATAGAAAATAATCATTATTCACTGCAGAGGAGTAAATGTATTATAGCTGCAATATAGTAATGGGGGGGGGGGGGTTTAAATTGAGAAAAGTTATGTTTATAATAATGAATTGTTATATATTTTACTCACACATTTCTAAAACAATTTTAGGCCTCTGCTGATGTACCAAAAGTAAAACTGCCTACAAGAAATAAGGATCAACAGAAGATGGAATTAAATTTAGATGATTTATTCAAAGAGAATACTTAATCTTAACTGGAATAAAACTATAATGCTTTGCTAATGCATTTTCCAAAAAAATTGTGTTTATTTTATATTTGTATTGTTCAGGGTTATCAGAGAATGTCCTATTATATTAGTTTCAATTATGAAAATGAATAAATTGAACACAGCCATGAAGAGCTTTATTTTCAATAAAGGAGTATCAGTTGGAAGCTGCACAACACAAGGCCATTCCATAATAGAAATTACCAATAAACCCTTTTCCAGGCAGTGAGTTGAGTGAGAATGTTAACTGATCACTGACACAATTTCTACAATGTTTCAGCACAAAAGCATTACATATAATGGGCTTGTGGGGTGTTTTGCACAGCAACAGATGACATGAAGAAATTACTTTTTTAAGGAAGCATTCTCACAGTATAGCTCCCCAGAGGCTACAAAGGAAAAACGAAATGACAATAGTTACACTAGGACGTATTATGACAAAACATTTCTTTCTAACAATAGCATTAGCATGTAAAATATTTAAAATTTGTTAGGCCTGTTTCTGTTGATTAGGTTCAACATCCACACAAGTAAGACCTTGATACGAAGTTACATTTCACTTTCACATTAGAATAGTCTTTCTCACATCAGAGGAGATTTTGACAAACAGAAGGTACACAACTTCAAGACAAATGTTGACTAGATCTCCTTTTAATCTAATGAAAGAAGACTAAAGACAAAGATGGAAAGATAATACCTGATGCAGAAGGACAGAGGAAGAGATGGGCAGAACATTTTGAAGAACTACTCAATTGAGTGCACGCAAGATATACCAACAGCTGAAGACTAAAGACAAAGATGGAAAGATAATACCTGATGCAGAAGGACAGAGGAAGAGATGGGCAGAACATTTTGAAGAACTACTCAATTGAGTGCACGCAAGATATACCAACAGCTGAAAGTGATTTCCCTATAGACTGTAACCCACCTTCAAAAGAAGGGATACATAAAGCTATAAAGCAGCTGAAAAATTGGAAGGCTCCAGGAATAGATATTATACTGGCAGAAGCACTGACACCAGATATAGAAACTAGCACCACACTACTACACATAATCTTCAAGAAAATCTGGGAAGATGAACAAATACCAGAGGAGTGGAAGGAGGGAATATTCAACAAACTCCCAAAGAAAGGCGATCTTAGTAACTATAGAGGAATAACACTTTTGTCCATCCCAGGCGAAGTATTAGAATATTATTAAACAGAATGAAGGAAGCGATCGACCCCCAGCTTCGAGATCAACAGGCAGGCTTTATGAAGGAAAGGTCATGCGTAGACCAAATTGCTACCCTGCGCATCATCATTGAACAGATCCAAGCGAGGAACTCTTCTCTCTACATTAATTTCATAGATCACGAGAAGGCCTTTGATAGCCTGGATAGACAGTCGATGTGGAAATTGTTAAGACACTACGGGGTGTCACAGAAAATAGTCAACATTATCATGTCTTCATATGAAGGTCTGTAGAGTAGTGCTTGGCCAACAGACTTCACGGGCCTTCCCAGTACGGACCGGAGCAAGGCAGGGTTACCTATTTTCACCATTCCTGTTCCTGCTGGCCATAGACTGGATTATGAAGATGTCAACAGAGAAATTGCAAAACGGTATACAGTGGACACTGGTGCCAGCTGTATGACCTGGACTTTGCTGACGACCTGGCCCTTCTTTCTCACACACAACAGCAAATGCAGGATAAAACCAACAAGGTTGCTAATTTTTCTACATGCCTGGGCCTGAACATCCACAGAGGGGAAAAGTAAAGTTCTTTAAGTCAATGCATCAAGCAGCACCCCTATAACATTGGCAGAAGAAGCCCTAGAAGAAGTGGATAGATTCACTGGAAGTATTGTTGATAAGCAGGGTGGGACAGAAGCAGACATAAAAATGACTGGCAAGGCAAGAGCAGTCTTCAACCAACTAAAAAATGTTTGGGGTTCTGGAGATTTAACCCTTAGAATAAAAATCTGGATCTTCAACACTAGTAAAACCTGTTTTACTCCATGGAGCTCAGACATGGAGAAAACTGCCATAATAAAATACTTTAAAAAAACTTTTTAAAAAACCAAGTTTTTCTTGTGGACTAAAAAGTAGAAAATAAATTTATCTTCCGAACCTAGGGGATCTACCAATGACTGCTCGTAGATTTTGTGCTTCCTCGAGCTGTGCAGGTTCTTGTGATGACTGTTCATACATTTGATGACAAAAAACGTGGGTACGTTCACCATCAAATTTCCCGACCCACGTTTTTTGTCCCAGAAGAGACTAGCCCAGGATAGAGGCGCCTGGAAAGCTCTTGTCAGCGGCCTATGTCCCAGAAGGGGTGACAGGCTAAACTAAGTAAACAGCAGATGCAAATTGCATCAAACAAGGAACCCAGTTTAAAGAGTTTTTTAAAATGGGGCTATAGGTTATAATTTGAAAAGTTTGGGATAAGTAGCATTCTATGTATCAGAGGGACATAATCTGTAATAAGTATAAATTGTAAGTATAGTAATAATTATTCTAGTTTCAGCATTACTATTTTTAAAACTAAATTTAGAGTTTACTGCATGTTATAGAACATAAACCTATCAATGAACACCTTATGAAAGGGAATATATTTTCCATAAAGTAAGGAACCAGGCTTTTATTTTTTTATAGCTTTAGTAAATTTACATTTTACTGCATTTTTCATTTTGTGGTTGTTTTATTGTAATGATTTGTGAATACAATAAATTATTTTTTTGCTTAAATTTTTTATTTATAATAGGTTTATTTTCCGCTTTTTTAGTCACTCACTGAAATGAAGTTGAAAGTACATATTTATGCTAGAAGTTTCCATTAAAGTCTGTTTAGTAGCTTGTGATCTCTGAAAGTGAATTACCTGCCCTTAAGTAGTTTGTGGTTGACAATAGCTAGATCTAACTGTGAACCTCCATGGACCTCAGATCAAGTTTTTTATTTATCTTGTTAGGTTAACTCCCCTTTTAATTGAATGCAGTAATTTTTAAATTAAATTTTAATGACTGTCTATCTAATAACATATAAGACTAAAAATTCAATATTCTTATCCAAGATCTACCACTGTGCAAAATTTCAGCTTGATCACACAATGGGAAGTGGGTTGAATTAATATTCCAAGATATCCTGAGCCACAGACTGAGCATGCTAAATAATAGCCTTTTAAAAAAAAAACCTTCAGGATTACATTAGTTGATTTTTTTAAGCTCATTTTACTTCCTCATTGATGAAACTAGAAAAGCACCTGTATTTCCAGCAGATTTTTCAAGGATAAAAAATCTCAAAAATACTTATTTGATTGAAATATTTATTAACAGAATAATTTTTTTTAAACAGCAAAATTCTGCTGCAAATAAAATTACAAACACTTAAAAATACTTAAGTAACAGCATTCAATTTCTTCATAAAATTTCTGAATTATTGTCTTCCAACTTGCTTTTCTTGTAAACAATGTACCGTAGAGTACTTCCCTGCGGATTTTAAATTAAATAAAAATGTAAATATATAAATAATACCTTTATCTAACTACTCGAAAAATAATGTATACAGAAATTAAAAACAATTATAAGCCCTAAGATCATATTTTGTTACAACGTTCTGGAAAAGAAAATGAAATCAACAAAATTATTAAACTAACTACTTCATGTTAATTTAATAATTTTAAATATCTTTCAAGTAAGCTTTTACTGAAATTTTTTTAAGAGTCCACATTGAAAAATTTAACTCGAGGCTTAAAAAAAAAATTAAATAATATTAATTGAGTATAAAACATACAGTTCCTAATTGTTTCACATCCATTCCAAGGTTCATAGCTGTCTCCAAAATGCACTCAATTTCTGCTTCTGTCATCTGAATAGAAGGGAAGGGTATTTCTGCCAAAGATGTATCTTTTTGAAATGCCCTGGTCAAATGATCATACAGTTTAAAGAACTTCCTTCATGTGATATATATATATATACGTATGTGTACTATATATGTATATAAATATATCTAAATATGTATCTAGTAGCATACCCTTCCCATGTGTTGCGAGCTGATGCTATTTTTTAAAGATAATTTCATCAGTGTGTAACCTTGTTTTCTAATATTTACTAATTTAAATATAAACAAAGCAGACGCCTGGCTTGGTTAAATCATCAAATGTCAAGTGCCACTGTGTCACAATTTTAGGATGCTCTTTAACATTGCCGATGGAAAAATACCAGATTCTCATAAATGTAATCCTAAGGACTAGAAAATGGATGTACTTGACTGCTCCATTTTACCTATTAAAAGGGATGTAACTGCGCCAAGAATTTGAACTTTTATTGGGTTATCATAAGTGCCTCATTTATCCATCATCAGATCTATACTATATATTATGAGTTTTGGGCTCTTAAAAGTCACAACCCTTTTTAAGTACATTGTAGGTGACAAAATAAAGAAATAAAAATTAAACTTAAACAAGTACATGCTATTCTGATTGTTTTGGCATTGTGCAAGTTGAGCTACTGTTGAACTTTTGGTGTCATTAGAGGACATTGACAGTAATATTACAACCGACAAAAAAAAAGAACCCGCGACTATAGTTATGTTATAAACACTTGTAATTTGAAAAACGGGAAACTGAAGTTTAATACTTATAAATTGTTGTAACTAAATTAAATTTAATCATGTTACATTTAGCTCTTAATCAAGATTTCAAACCTAAGATGATTTGGTGTTTTTGTGGACTAAATATAACTAATTAACAAAGTTGAAATTATATATTTAAATAATATTGCACATAGGAATATATCTGTATTTGCTGGGTCTGGATGAGGTCACACTGTTCAGTATGAGAGAAGTGGGAGATAGCACTTAAAACCAAATATGTCCCAGAAAGTGGAATGGTAGTAAAGTTAATTACTTACATTATCGACTTAGTGAAACATTGGCTAAAGTAAAATAAATCTATCAGTAAAAAGTTTGGTGTAAAAAAAAAATAGGATTTTTATTGATTTTCATGGGAGAAAAGTTTTCTAACAGAAAATTTTTATTTCTGAAAACAAAAATTGGAAGTTTTTTTTATCTCTGATGCAAGGTACTTGAAAATTTTGTTGACGAGCTCTAACCTTACATTAACCAAAACCCTTCTTAAAACCTACTTGCAACAATAACTTAATTCTTAAATAAAATGATGACAACTTTAATCTTTAAACCTTAAATCAAAAGACGAATTTTGAATATTAACTGGATAAAATGAATAATTGTATTAAAAGTAAAACAGAGTGAAAATATTAATTTTTTTTTTACAGAAGAAACAAAATACTTACTCTAATTGATTTTTAACAAGGACTCTGAATTTATCAGAACATGTTCTTGGTAATTTTTCATTAGCTTTTTCTTCTGATGTTTCTATAGCTTCTGTAGCTATAAATATATGTAAAAAGAAGTGCTTTAAAATATAAATCTACCGTCTGAAAAAATATATAACAAGCTTTGATTCAATAAATTAAAATATCTGACAAGAGCATTCTAATATGCCTGGTTATTTTCTTTACCAGAAACTGGTTTACTAAACATTTTCTTGCAAAAGTCTTTTTCAAATGATTGATGCTCTTTAATAGATCTGTGAAAAGAATAAAACAAAAACAATAATCATTTTGTGTAAATATTTTGTATTCCTTGTCATCTGGTTAAATGCAATGTTTTTAAATGCAATGGAAAATAAAGTGAAAATGTGCTTTATCCCATGTAACTAAAATAATCTGTATGTTATAATTTTACTTTGAGAGATTCTGTAATGCTTTGGAAATTAAGGTGTTACTTGGATCTATCTTCCTTGCTTTCTTTAGACTGATTTCTGCATCTTCAAAGCTACCAATAGCATGTAAGGCCTTGATTTGAATAGACAAAAAAACACATATATTGTTATACAATTAGTTTATATTTAGCTTTAACTATTAAATAGTCAATACAAAAAACAAACCAATTTAAACTTGACTGAATAACATTTGATGCTTGTTTAATATTGTAGAAAAAACTGAAATGTATTCAAATGTCCATACCTTGCCTTTAAAATAGTGTGCTTTGATGTTGGTCTTGTCTAATGAAATTGCTCGATTACAGTAGTGAATGGTCTGACCATAGTGACTGAGATAATGATTGCAAACAGCAAGATTAACAAAAACTTTCAGCAGCTGTTTATTCACCTGCTGTTCTTCATCATCATTTTTCAAGTCATAGCTTTCTAAAATATTCATGCTCTAAAATAAAAACACAAATTTTAAGTTTAACAATATCAACATTTAAATGGATCTAAAATATAATTAATGTGGAATTGTGTGTATTACTATATAAGTGTTATTTCCAATAATCCCCCCCCCCCCCACACACAAAATTGATTTTAAAAAAAACAAACTATAATAAGCTTTTAAATGCACTGGAAACAATCAATAAAACAAACTTGCTTTCTTTAGTTAAAATACTAGTAGCTAAAATGTGTAAAAATAAAATTTCATAAAAAACGTGTTAATAACAAGCTTTATGTACTAATGCACTAAAAAGTAGAAAATAAATTAGACTACTATTTAAATAACTATAAAGCCTGGGCTATTACTTATCTATATATATATAATTCTCTTCTGGGAGACGTCAGAAAACAAGCTGCAAGCGCGCCTTACAGTCCCCTCTCTTCCTCTCTATCACTACCCCTCCCCCCCCCCTCAGATGGTCTGGTGAGCTGTGGTTCACGCTAAATGGTTACATTTTACAATCATAGAGCCGGGTTTGGTGACGGCTATTAGGGGCAGATAATTTAGTTTGAAACGATTTTAAACTTAGAGGAGGTAACTAAGAGGAGGCTGCTTTCCGGGGGGGGGGGGGGGGGGGGGAAGGGGGGGTTTAGTGTTTTAAAGCAAATATTTTCAGTGGCAGCATTGGTACTGTCGAATTCACAAATTATGAATTACTGAAAAGTAGAAAAAAACAACAACTAATTAGCGGCGTATGATACACCCGGGTCGGCTCATAAGAATATATTTCCTTTCATAGGAAATTCATTGATAGGTGTATGTTCTATAACATGAGACAGATGTTCAATTTTATTTTTAGTCAAACCAGCATATTGCTTTAATAAGGATACACTAAATTTATTTTTTACTTTTAAGTATTAGTGCATTTGCTCATTTGTGATATTTTTTGTGACTTGTGAAATTTAATAAAAGCCATTTTCCTTTAAAATTGTTTAAAATGTGAGAATTATTTAAATATGTGATCAGCCATCAGATATGAAAACATCAGTGTTATGATGTATGTTTGATCAGGCAAATTGGTGCGAATGAATGTTGGTGTGGGCATATATTGAATAACTGAAAGTGTGACTCCGTACGCAAGAATGTGACGTTTCAGTGTAGGATCCTTATTGCCGGGGAAGTAGTTTAGAGTAGTCTTGTTCTTGTTTTCTTGGGGTGAGGTCGTATATGTAGTCAAGTCTTAATATTGTCGTCAAAAGTATAATTATGGTGTAATAAACAGAGGAATTAACTAATGTCATTCTGTCAAGTCGTTTGTCAACGTTGATGTTGTCGTACTTGTCGGAACTCTATGATGAATACTGAATTGGTTAGAGAGGAACTTAATGGTAGTATAAACCCTCTCATTGAATAGCTGCGGGACACATAGTCCCCAGTTATAACAATCAGTCAACAGAATCTCAGCTGACTGAGCAATCACGAATATTTATACCAGTTACCTCCACTTATGTTTCTGAATATAGTAATCTTAAGACTATTTAATATCTCAATTTACTAAATAATAGATATTCTTGCCCTATCTTAAATGATGAATGTATCTTGGTAGGTTTTTACAAAATTGCATCAGAAGTGGGACAAGATTTGCCACTATCCCATGGCCTGTAAACTAAATGAAAGTTTATAGAATTAATGTTGGTTAATTATTATTTAACTAGAATACTTACATTTTTGTATTTCCCACAAGCTTTAATATAGTTCTTTTGCTTGAAATATTCTTTAGCTTCCTGTAGAAATATATGCTATTAGCTTTTTATAGGTGTAGAAATTGAAACAAAATTCTGGTATTTACGTGTATTTATCTTCATTTAAAAATTGAAAACTGATTTTTAAAAATTAACTAGTTATTATTTCAATTTATACATTAAACGATCAGCTAGCTTCTTCTTTCTTCTTCTTCGTAATTTTAGTGTTGGAAGGGATCCCCCTCCAACACAATTAAGGATACAAGTCAACTCCCATTTCAGCCTGCTTTTCTTTTTGGATTTGCTTCCATAGCCTTTGTCCAACCAAGAACAAACTACAAGGCAGCAGTTGTTTGATTTTAGAGTTGTCTCTCATAGAAGAGTGGCTGTCCCCAGCTAACGAGCCTCATCTGCCCGAGGGTTCGAACTCGAGGACTTTTCAATTTAGCAACCATGAGCTTTACCGACTCGACCACGCCGACCCCCTGATCGGCTAGCAATTGTCATTTGGTGTGACTTTGAGATATTATTTCTATGATGTGCTTAGGCTTCACTACCAGATGAAACAGCATTGGTTGATCAGAACTTGTTAAATGGCAGAATTTTTTTCAAAACCAATACTTAAAAAAAATTAATTATACATTTTAACATGTGTTCAATAAAAAAAATTATATTTCATAAGATAAAGACAAACTTTATTAACATAAAAATGTTATTCCTTTAGCCCTACAAGAAGTAATTTAATTTTTTTTTTTTTGAAAACTACAAAAAAAATGACCCTAAAATACACTTTTTGCCACTTTGGAGTACCTACTAATAACCCTTTGAGACTGAGAAGTTGTTAAAACAAATTTTTAAAAACTATAATAACTAACTTAGTGCACTTAAATTTTCTGTAGCTACAATAGTAAAAAATAAAAGTATGGGTTACTTTAAAAATCATTTCATACCAAAATAAAGAATTGCTTTAACTCATCTATCCCTTCCTATACAAATTAAGTGGGTGTAGGACAAGAGGCTGACATACAAAAGGCCGACAAGACAAAAGGCTGACAGACTATAAGGCAGTTACCCAGAAGATTGACAAATCATGGCCGACAAACACAAATTTTAATATTACAAAACATGTGTTACAACATAGCTCCTCTATAGACGATTAAATTTAGTCAATGATTGCCAGCATCCCCGCCAGTTCCAAGTGACTGGAGATTACGAGAGTGTCTAGAACACACAAAAATCAACACCTAAATGTTTGGAAATATGGGTCACTACTGTCTGACAGCCATCAAAGAACAAAATCAAAAGCAGCTGGCTTCATTGCCCACATGCAATGAGGCGGATCACCAAGAGACAAAGCTAGTTGCTTTCGTTATAAATGAATAATCAGCTCCATGTCACTGGAGATGAGGGGAGTGTACAAAGGATCAACAGATAGGTGGCAATGCCAAAATATTTAGAAAAAAAATTTAAGAAACCAAATGAAGAACACTGATCAGGTGCCTTGACCGGTTGATGTTGAATAGGCCTATTGACAAAATAAGAATTACATTCCAGTTTCATTCATTGCGGATAACTTAAAACAAGTTTTATACTACATTCGTGGTGATTGTGATACAAGTGAGCCAAAATTGGTACATTTTTTTTTTCTAAAAACAAAAATAACTTTGATAGTAATCAAGGTTATTGTAATTTGTATATACCCCAGTGCAAATTGTATAAATATTTTTATAATTTAATATCATGACATCTTGAATTAAATCTATAGTTTCTAAATTATGTTAAGGTAAATAAAATATAAAGTAAAAGGTACGTTATTTTAGCGTCGAGTGGGGAGAAAAGCATTACTAAACCATACTAAATTTTTAAAAGTTGTAATATTGAGCTCTAATGTTCGGACTTAGAGATACAGAGAAGTGTAAGAAAATTTGATGTACAGTAAATTGACTTAAGTGATTAAAGATAATGGACATAAAATGTCATATTCAACTTATCTTCAACGGTATAAACATTGTTATGATGTTGCGAGTGTTAAAGGTGGGTAGAGGAAGGTGGGACAAGTTGACAAGGCATGGGGCAAAAAGTATCTAAGCTACTACAGTGCTATCTAGTCAACTAACTTTTATTTAAAAAGCTACAACCATTGGGCTAGGAAGTTCTTTATGGACATGATTCACAGTTTTGCTTGCTGAAGCTGCAAATAAAAGTACTGGCATTTCTTCCAAGTGCAGAGATTCTATGTTGCACTTCATCATTTTGTAACTGGTTTTTAATAAATATTAAACTTGTCTGTACATGTAGTTTAATGCCCAGTCTGCCCTTTGGATGTCTGCCTTTCAGATGTCAGCCTTATGGTATGTCAAGCTAATTGTCAAGTCTGCCATATTTCCTTTCTGCCTTTTGTGAATGTCGGCCTTTGTCTTGATCCCAATAAAGTCTATATATTGAATATGGTAAAGTTTGCCATTTTGCAGTCAGCCCACAATATAAACCCAGGTAAAATAAAAATTCTATAACCTTTAGTGGCTGATATTTTGTTTATAAGGTTAAGGAGGTATACAAATATCTTACATCATTTTGGGCTTTGGTAACTTTTTTTATGTCTGGAAAGCACAACCTTTTCCTTTCCTCCTGTTATTATACAAACATAAAAATTCAGATTAATAAATTTGCAACATGAAAGATATATAATATTTGTGTAGAATTTTTTGGCCAACTAATTTGCTCTACATATTACAAATCAACATTTATATTCACACTCAGAATCTAGTCCTTATGAGAGTGAGTTACTGACAACATAGAGCCTAATAATAACTTAATAAGACATGGGAAAATAAACATGACAAAAAATAGTTAACTGTGAACAGAACCAGAAACACATCAATATTTTGATCTGAAAACTATTTGTTGCACCAAGAAGGTCTACACATAGAACATTATTTTACATAGCAAATGTTTAGAGAAATTCAGTTCTTATGTGCATCCAGAGTTTAATAATGTATAAGACATTCAATTTTTCTAGTAGAAATTTGAACATTCTTGTGAAAATTAATGTTTTGTATATCCACATCATATCCAGTAAATCAAGTATCTTTATTCAACAAAGTGTAATTTATTACTATAATTGAGCTTACAGGAGTTAAATTATAGTAGTCATCGACTCCTTCTTGTTCAATAAAATGAAGAATGTGAATATCCATGATTACTGAAAGAAAATATGTAAATTATAATAAAGACAAAGAATTAAAATCTCAAAAGAAGAGTGATGCAACTTTGGTTCATGTTAGGTTTTGTCTGTACATTCACTAAATTAGTAATACTGTACACACAAAAAAATTCAGTTGACATACATGTGGCTTTTTGTGGTATTCGTGGTGGACAACCCCTTTCTCCGTAAGCATAATCATGCCGGATAAGAAATCTGGATACTTCCTGTTTTTTCATAGATAATAATGCCAATTCCAAGCCGGGTATGCTTAGTCCTATGAAAAATATACAGAATTTGAAAAATATACAGAATTTGAAAAATATACAGAATTTGAAAAATATACAGAATTTGAAAAATATACAGAATTTGAAAAATATACAGAATTTAAGCTTATAAACTTTAAACTTAAAGATACACCTGTACAGTTGCTTCCAAGTTACACCAACTGGTCAAAAATGTAAATTATTTCTGACAGCTAATTGCAGTTATCTTAGTGACAAAAAAAAAGTACTATTTTTAATTTGGTGTCAGGTGATTAAACTAATTTTTGTTTATAGTTTATAAATTACTAACGTTTACATTGCACACTGCTGTAATCTTAGAAGAAAGGAAATTCTAGGACCCTCGTCATGATAACATTCAATTTACTTTGCACTTTGCAAAGCTTTAATTGAAACTAATTATTCATTTTAATATAGAAAATATTTCAAAGAGTCATTTTATTTTTATTTCTTTATTCATATAATCACTTTATTTTTTTTCTGTCTTGTGCACAAATAAACAAAAGGCTTTCTATTTTTTCTTTCATGTATTTTAAGACATGTGACTAGGTTTTCTAAAACAGAGCTACTTAAATGTAAACAATGTTGGCATCTTGAACCTTAGTTATTGGGGTGCTAGTTCCCCCCAGGGTGTGCTGTATGATAGCTTGAATCCAACAAAGAACAAACTACAAGGCAGCAGTTATTCAATTTTGGAGTTGTCTCTCCTAGGAGAGTTGCTGTCCCCAGCTAAGGAGCCTCATCTGCCCAAGGGTTCAAACATGAGTCTTTTAGGTTTAACAGCCATGATCTTTACTGACTCAACCACGCTAGCCCCTATTTTCAGAACAGTTTACAAAATTTTAGGAGAAATGTTTAAATTTCCAGGACTGTTAGAGTTTTTTTAAATTCAAGGAAATCAAGAAATTTTTGGAGGCCGCAGGAACCTTGAATAAAGCATGAGTAGCCTTAGCAAAAACTGCAGAACTAAAATCTACAGGAAAAAATATCTGATTTAGCCTTGGCTAACAATATTTTTCTTTTAAAGTTCAGGGCTTATCTGGCAATAACTACAAAATATAAAAATAATTTACTTTAATATATTACTTTACTTAAGATTATTGTTTACCTTTGCCGAGCCTAATCTTTAAAGGTTCTCCTCTTAGATGAGTACTATCATAAGGAGGCTGACCAACGTCTGTGTAAGCATTGTAATGCACTGGAAAAAGAAATTAAAGTTGCCATGGCAACAATGGCCATCTTTAAAAAAAAACTTTTGTGGCGGTCATAGGATAAGGTTAAAAACCTAACATACATTTATATCATATAATCATTGATATTTTTATTAAACTCATTTAAGTGTCAGCTGACTAGTTTTTGTAAAAAGAAAACATTATAGAAATATTTATTTTTAATTTTCAAATTTTTTTGTGTGAAATACTATTAAATTTAATAGATATATTTTTGAAAAAAAGAACTGTTCTAAATAATGAAGTTTTGAAATATTCATCTGATTGGGGGAGGGGTGGGAGAGAGAATTGTAAATTCTTTCTTCAAGTTATTAGAAACAGAAATTTATTAAGACTAATAAGACTACATTAGACTTTTATGAAGAATATCTCAGTCTATTGCAAGGTTATGAGAGCATGTGTGTTGTAGAATGATTTCATAGTAATAAAGATTGTGACTATGTGACAAGGTACATAAGGATGTGACGTTTGAGAGTAGTCTCTTGTTGCTGGAGGAACTAGCTTGGGAAATTTAGCATCATGAATGCTATTGTGTGGAGGTATTCATCCTGTAGTCATGTCTTTGTTTACATTGTGAAAGTTGTCTGTCTATCAAGTACATGTCATGTGAAATAAAGAATGAAATGAAACTGTGATCCTGTCAAGTAATTTGTTTCAGATTGTTCATGTTGATGAAATACGTTATCATGTGTGGTCGACCCCATCCTCATCTCACGCAACAAAAGGCTATATATGACTATTGCACTCCCATTAATGAAAAGACAAAAAAACTTACTTAAGACAAGAGAACCTTTGGGTATCAAGGATCCAAAGCCAGGAGTTTTCACCTGTTTCAATACACCACCATCTTTATTTTCAGTTATATCATTTCTTTTCATTTTCTTTATCAAAAACTCCATTTTAGCATCATCTGCTGTAATTGCATCACTATTCTGTTCTGAATCATCCTCATCATCAGATACAAAACACATATTTGAAATAACTGCATCTTTATCAAAGCAGTCAAGATTTATTTCTTCCTTTTCTGCATGAAAACAAAATAATTAGGTATAAATTATATGAATTTTAAATGCATACTCAAATGTTTTATTTTAAATAAATCTAACTTTTAATCTCTGTTTTCTGTCTAGCCATAACTGAAAATATTAATAACAACTAAAATGTCCAACCTGTTATTACTGTTAAAAATTCATTAAAAAAAAAACTTTTTATGACCTAAAGTTTCAAAAATAGTGCACACCTTTTTTACAAACATTTATATCTACATTAAGTTTTCATGCCTGATGCCATTAACTACTCAGTCAGTTTTATGAAAATTATTATATTTTTTTATTAATGATTGATTTTGATACCCTCATAGTCCTGGAAGTTTTGCACCTCAAACTCAACACCTTTGGAGACTGGGTCACATAATTCACTCACATCAATGGGATCTTTGAGCTGGCTAACAGCTTCATCATCAAACTGTAAAGAAAGAAATGTTATGGACTCAGAAACTAATAAAATGAAACATAATTTCACTAGGAAACAGGAAATATAAAAAAAAATGTAATCATTGATGGGCTATCCATTAAGCCTAGCTATTTCATCTGTAGGTATTTGTCTTAGACCTACAATTTTTATGAGTTAAGATTTTTGTGTTTATCAAAAAAGGTCTAATTTTCCATCGTTTGCTTCCTGCTTTCACTAATTTTTTTAGCTGTTTGCTAACCCTTCCCCAACATCCACTAAATAGTGAGAACAAAGTTCAACTCACTCTAAAAAATTCTAGATCAACCTAAAGTTCAGATGACAATAAGAATCTATCAGTTATTCATGTAGTTAAAAAAAAAGAAATGCAAAACATACTGCATCACTCTTCTTAATCCCCCACCCCTTTATCCCAGGCACATCCTGTACATGGTGCACATGACATCATTTAAAGTTAGGCTAATCTGTATATACAAAAAAGCAATGTATGCTTGACTGTCGTCTGTCTTTAATGCATTACAACATCATTCATCTGACCATGAAACTTTGGGAAGTAGTTAAGAATACTCCTGGTAAGGTTTCTGCAGAAAAAAACTTCAAATTCACAAAGGTGGCACCACGGCAGGGCACGATTTAATTCTTCTCTATATAAAGTATGGAAAAATAAAAGTTGATTGCGGTATCACACTGTTCATCCGATCGCCATGAAACTTTGGGGAATTGATGAGAAGACTCCAGAGAGGTTTCTGCAAAAAAAAATTTTTTTATTTCACAAGGACAGCCTGGGAAGGTTCGATTTTTCTCTATATACGGTATATATAAAGCCTGATGCAGTTCGACAACGTTCATCTGAGTGCCATGACCCTTTGGGGAGTTGATGAGAATCCTCCCGAGAATCTGCGGAAATAAAAATTCTTATTGGTGGCGCCTGGGAGGGAGCAATTTTTGTCACAGTTTGGCGTCCAGAGTTTAGAGCGGCCATCATAGCACTAGGTATCCATTAATAAGGCATCCTGCATAGCTGGAAATAGTTGCTACTATATTCACCGGTACAGCTGCAACACATGCAGCCGGCGGCGCCCAGGTGATTGAGTATCCTGAAGCGCCCCTGTATTCCATCCGCCATCTTAGACCAGAGGCTATCCACTGCAAACACTACTTTATAATTATACTGCTTTACTTTTTATAGATATAATTATACACACAAAGTTGACAAAGTCTTATAAATATTAAATGGGCCTAATGAGCTTTCATTGATATTGTTATGTATTGTAATGTTATGTTAACTTATGTGCCATTCATTATGTGAGAGTAATCTAGAGAGACCTAGGCGAGATTCAGACCTACTCTAGATCTAGTACTAGATCTAGCTAGCTCTAATCCAGATTCTAAAATCTAAATCTAGAGTCTAGCTAGTATATCTAGACTAGAGATCAAGAATTCTAGATCTAATTCTAATCTAGTATTCTAGATTCTAGATCTAGTCAGTGCAGTCACTAGTCTAGTCTAGATCTATTAGAAATTTAGGTAATCTATCGTTTTAGGTACGTAAAATCGCCCACGGCTAGCAATGTACGAAAAAGTTACCTCATTGTCAAGGCTTTAATAGAAGTATATTGTGATATATTTGTGTCAAATATTAGGCTATAGATAAATGTCAAATGAATAATAAACCTAAATCAATGGCTTAATATATCAATACGAGCCGACCCGCGGTGTATCATACGCTGCTATTTAGTTGTTGTTTTTTCTACTTTTCAGTAATTCATAATTTGTGAATTCGACAGTACCAATGCTGCCACTGAAAATATTTGCTTTAAAACACTAAACCCCCCTCCCCCCTGTGAACGCAGCCTCCTCTTAGTTACCTCCTCTAAGTTTAAAATTGTTTCAAACTAAATTATCTGCCCCTAATAGCCGTCACCAAACCCGGCTCTATGATTGTTTTGTAAACATTTAGCGTGAACCACAGCTCACCAGACTATGTGAGGTGGGGGGGTGGGGGTGGTAGCGATAGAGAGGAAGAGAGGGGACTGCAAGACGCGCTTGCAGCTTGTTTTCTAACGTCTCCCAGAAGAGAATTATATATATAGATACTCATGAATACATAGGCAAGAAATTAACTTTAAACAAAAACAGCAGTGTTTGCGAGCAGGATTTGCTATGTAAAAAGCGGCCATCTGTAAGTTAGAGTGGCTTCCCCTGAATTTTGCGCTATATACTATATAAGTTTATAAATAAAACTTCAACAAGATGGCTGCTATAGTAAATGAGCAATGTTGCATCTGTTGGAAACATCGCTAGTTTTCATTTTTACTGAAAAGTTTTAATTTAATTGTTTAAAAACTGGTACATAAATGAAACAGGGAAACATTTTTGTATATTTCAAAACATAAATCCTCCTCAAAACGTGAAATAATTATTAAAATTTAAGGAGTCACCTGTTTATCACATTATTAGATCTAGTTGCGGGCGATTTTACGTAGATTCTAGATTAGTAGATTCTATCTAAATTAAAACGATAGATTGGTAAAACTCCATTTTAGCGTATTTTATTCTCCGCTTCTTGTTTACCTTCAGTTGAGCGTATTTTATTATAACAACCGAAACACACCAAAACATTAGGAAAACAGGATTTATTATTTGTATTGTATTTTTGTTTTAACAAATGAATAAAAATGAATAAAAAAAACAAAGAGACTGACTTTTTTTTAGATTTTGATAATTTACTTTTGGTAAAAGAAAAATCCAAATTTAGAATATTGAATGTGCAATGTTCGTGCGTCAGAATTTTCATGGCAATGGGTGAACTACGTAAAAACGTAACTCACAATTGGCTGCAAAGGCGGTTAAGTTTGTACTGTTACAAGTATCTCCCAGGCATGATACTATAAATAAACATTAATGAACTTACAATGACCCCAAAACTGAGGCCAACATAATTTCAAACAGTTATTGCCCAGAGCTATGACGTATGCTGATAATTAAAGTCAATGTGAACTCACGATGAACCCGCGACAGTGTAAGGCGTGTAAGGATTTTTCTCCCGCTGACGATCACACGATACTGTGACGATTGTTAATTGGAACTGTTCTAATGCTTTTTTATGTTTTTTTTACCTTTTCTAATAAAAAATCGCATTTTTTTAAAAAAATAAGTAGATCTGTGTTTTCCTAACGTTTTTGTGTTTTTCGGTTGTGTTTACAATAAAATACGCTCAACTGGAGGTGAACGTCAAGCGGGGAATAAAATACGCTAAAATGGAGTTTTACCCGATAGATTTATATGGACACCAGCGAGAAAAGTCTCAAAGGTATTTCAGAGGTGTATAAATTCATTTAAAAATCATGCACAGCGTAGTTACAATTAATATGGTTATAAAATCCTGTCTATCTGGTTTTTTTCGGACTTTACTAAAGATTGGATGTATTTGATGTTTATAATATTTCGGTAACTAAATAAAAATTTAAAAAAAAGCAAAAACAATTTGGTTTTCACGTGTAATGGCGACATAAACAATGGCATCCTGCTATTGGATAGGCCGACATCAATTTTATTGTACACATTGTAAGCTAAAAATAGAAAACTAAGTCATGGGGTTTTAAATTTGCATTGTTATTTAAAAACTTGATCTGCAAAGTTTTGTAAACAAATAGTTATCGATCACTAAGTTACTGTACAGCCAATCAATATTTGTCTTACGAAAGTGAAACATCCGGTTATAACTTAGGCTTGATGAAAATTAATAAATACTAATAGAAATGTAGCCTTAAACTCAACAAATTATTTTCAAGTTCTCTGGATTTACAACTTTTATAGCATTTATTCTAAAAATATAAAATTTCTAAATTAATTTTAGGCTTAAGTTTTTTTTTTTTAGTTTTTTTTACGGTCTAAATCTAAAAAGCACGTTTTTATTCCATGTCAACAATACTATACTATGGAAGGAATCTCGTCAACTCGCTTGTCTCCATTAGATTAGGGCCTGGATCTACCGAAATTTAAAATTATTAAATTACCCTGTTATCCATCGGAATCGGGGAAGCTTTTTTCAATTCAAAAGAATAGCCCAGAATAGCCAAACTAGATCTAAAAAATCTAGATCTAGATCTAGAATCTAATCTAGAGTCTAGTAATAATGTACAGAATAGTCTTGATTCTACTCTAGCTCTACTTTAGTTAATATCTTTCGTTACGACTACGGACTATTGCCAGGTTGATTTTTAATCTGTCGTGTTTCGGTTGTTTTTTCAGGCTGATTCAAATTTCAACGAAAGGAAGATGGCCAAAAAAAAAAAAAAAAAGGGTCTAGAATCTAGTCTGGATCTAAGTCTAGATCGAAGTGTTTCCCAAAAATTGCAAATTGGGGGGAGGGGGGATATAAACCTCAGGACCCCCTCAGGTGCATTTAAAGGTACTAAGTGGAAGCTTCTTATAAATGTAAACATGTAAATCGATCGTCCTCTCAGAACCACGTAAATTTTCGTCACGCAAACTTGTATTAATTTTTTTTTCTAAGATTTAAGAACTAGATCAGATCCATTACAATAAATTGTCGATCACAAACAGTAGATCTAGGGGGGGGAGGGGTCATCCATAAATGACGTCACGCTTTTGGGCGATTTTTACCCCCTCCCCTCCGTCACACATCGTCACAAAAAGCCAGACCCCCCTAATATGACGTCACAGCTTAGCCTACAACCCCCTCCCCTCAAAATTGCAGTTGAATTTTTCTTAAAACATTGATATTTTTTCCAAAATCGTGTCTGAACTCTCTCGACATAGAGCATGGGTTCCCAAACTGAGGGTCTTTCTGGGGGGGTTGCCAACTGGTAGACTAAACTCTAGAATAATTTAGAATAATTTCTGAGATTCGGCTTTACGAACATCATTTGAAAAGGAATAGAGAAGAAACAATGCGTACTGTAAAAAGTTGTTCTCAGTTATGAGTCTGTGAAACCTTCAAAACTAAAACGTCATTTTGAGACAAGTCATTCGGAACACACCAAAAAAGATAGAGTTCTTTCGTCGGCGCGAAGCTAGTTGCAAACACCAGACTTGATCGAACAGGAAGTTTTCACCAAGAAAACACAGCATTAGTGCAAGCATCATATGAAGTCGCATTAAAAAATTACCAAGCAAAAAAACCTCACACAATAATGAGAAAATCTCATCAACCCTTCATGTTGAGGATGGTGAAATTTATTATTGGGTATTACAGTGCAGTAAAGATGCAACAAATATCTGTCTAATAAGGGGTCATCCATAAATGACGTCACGCTTTTTGGACAATTTTTACTCCCCCCTCCTCTCCGTCACTCATCGTCACAAAATCCCATCCCCCTCCCCATAAAATGATATCACACCTCACACCCCTCCCACCCCCCTCAAAATTGCAGTTTAATTTTTCTTAAAACATCGATATTTTTTTCCAAAATCTTGTCTGAACTCTGTCAACATACAGTATTTTAATCAATTCCGATTCAAATTTATTAAAAGTTTTCTAAAACGCGAAATAACGGCCAAAACTCGTATTCTAACATTGCTTTTTTATAATGTAAAAGTGACGTCACACAATCTAAACACCCCCCCCCCCCCCTCGTCACACACCATCTGACCCCCTTCCCTCCTACTAGTGTGACGTCATTTATGGACGACCCCCCCTAGTACTAAAATAATATTAAATTGTTGATAATGATTACGCTTTAATTATTTTTACAATGGGGTATAATGGAGTATAGCCTAGTTCAGGGGTCGGCAACAATGTTCCCTCTAAGGACCAAGAGTGTGTGTTCAAAAAATGTTGTGTGCGCGGTGCTAAAAATGACTTGGGCAAGTTTATATGTATGTTTAGGCTTGCAATTAAGCAGAGTAATGAAGGCATACATTTTGATAAATTAATAGTATAATGTGTAGGACTTATGAAACGTATGCAATTAAAAGAAGATATGAACCCATCAAAATAAAATATACAACAGAAACTTTCAGAGTTATACTTAGACAACAGGTTATATGGTCGACTTACTATGTTAGTGTAATGCAATCATATGTTAATAATATTAATACCATAACGGTAACACCAGTTTAACATGTTAACCATTTTAAAAAGCTGACTTCAAAACAAAATTAGCTAACCTTTCAGGGGCATTTATTGCAATTTCTCGCGTCTAACCTTGCCTTGCTTCCACACCTTATATGCTTTGTTTAAATCCACATTCTCTCCAGCATTCAGATATAATTTAATTCGCATTAGATTCTCCAAATGTGTGGCTTCAAGTCTATTTCGTGCTTGCACTTTAATGCTGTTCATAAGGCTAAAACCTCGCTCGCAATCAGCGCTGGATGCTTGAAAAGTACAGCATATGTCAATTAACTTTGCCAATGAGCTAAATTGTTCATCGTTTAAAGTAGTTTAAGGCAACTCCTGCGATTTCAGTTAGTGAATTTACTGAACCTGATTTGAGTTTTTCACTGATCTGAAATTTGAAGTCATTGTCTTGCGTGATAATTGACTCTTCATTTGTTGTTTGTAACACGTCTTTGTACTTTACGCACAGTTCTTTGATCTCTTTGACGCCAAACTCAAATGCACAATTTCTTAAACCAGTATGATCAAAAGCTGAACAAAACTGCAGCTCATCTGCTGGAAACCTTACATTTAAATGATCGCAGACCGATCGTATAAACTGTGTGATTTGTCTTGTATAGATTCCTACGTTTTCGTTCAAAATTTTCTTGGCTTTATCATTCCAATAAACATCTTCACTCAGGTATTGTGCTTCTAATTTGCGTATTTTAGAAATGCAAAACTGATGTGCTTCAATGGATGATAAATTACTTCGCTGCAACAACATTGATAGATTAGCTAATTCAGTTAATACATCATTAACGGTATAAAGAGCAACTATTGATACAGTGGATCTCTTAATGATTTCAAAAGATAACAACAAATAGGATCATTGCAGTCTTGGACTTGTTCTTCACAGTAAGCAGCTAAAGCATCAAGATTTCTAACAAAAGCACCGACAGCAAAGTGACGTGATAACCAACGAACTTCATGAATTGGTCGAAAAGAAATTACATCCGTATCATGCACCTTGGCCAATTCTTCAAGTGCGCCCTTTTTAACTGAAGATCGACTAAATAAAGTGTAAACTGCGTAAGAGAACCCCAATATTTTTAAACAAATTAACACCTTTCCAAGCATCAGAAAGTGCCAAGTCTTCTCGATGAACAACACAGTGCTGTTCAACAAGATGGAGGACCTTAGCCTTCAATAAAGCAGCTAATCCCTTCCCTACGGCCTAACATAACAGATGCCCTGTCTAATGTTATCATTACTATGCGGTTCATTTCAAGTTGATGTTATCTTTGTTGGTTTTGTTACAAGTACTAGCAGCACAGAACTTACATTTCAGTCCAATCTCATCTGAATATTCATAGATGCTTCCTAATTCAACCGAAACATTCTTAGAATCCGGCGTATCGGTTGTTACTTTAGCTTTGAGCCATGCCAGTTTAAACGAATCTCTCGCTTTTTTTTTTTTGCTGCATGGTTTTACCGCTTGTTACACACATTTTTCTTTTCAACATTTTCAAATAGCACAGTAGTAAACTTTTATTCCTTATTTACCAAACCAGTTTGTAAACACTGAAACAGTTCGATCCAGGTGCACGTAATGATCCCAAGAATTGGATATATATATATAGTATATAAATCCTTAAACCAAACAGAGCAAAAACACACCCACCTTTAGTAAAGTAGATTTTGCATCTGACTTGGGTAAACCGTCATAGTATCATGAAGGTGGGTGGGGGTTGGGAGATGCGGGAGGGCAGTGACAATAGAAAATAAAACCCTGCATGGTCAGCTAGTAGCCACAAAACCTTTCAGGTGTCAGCTACGGTCAGTTTTGGGGTAAAATATTAAATCAAGCAGAGGGAGGGTCAGCCAGACATCACATCGGAACCCGCCCCGCTCAATTTAGAGTTTAGTCATAAACTGGACCTGTGGTATGACAACCGAGGTCACTCCCCCCCCCCCCAGTCCATGATAACCGTGATTTCTGTTTATGCCCCAAAACACAAAGACTGTTCGTTTAACAAAACAGGTACTAAAAATGTCGCTTAATTCAAGCCACTGGCCACAATTTTTCTTGTGAATTAGGCTTGCCCGACGTTCTGATAATCTGTGCGCGACATCAGAAAATGTCTGCGCGGCATATTTGTAAGTGCTGCGCGGCCGCGCAGCTTAGAGGGAACACTGGGTGACACCAAACTGAAAATGCAAAATTGTTGGAAGAGGTGGGGTGATAACCGAATTAGTGACGCCACAGGGAGCAGGGGCATAGCAGACACCGCCTATTGCAGCCTTGACCCACTGCCTTCTGCACAAAGAAAAACTCCACCTCATCATACGTCAGTGCCCTCAGAAAATACATTTATGTCTCACAGTAAAATATTTATAAATTATCTGGTGTAATTATTACTAAGCACATGAAGGCAAAGACTGCCATTCAACAGGAAGGTAGGAATGAATTGGCAAGTGGTTTCTCGACTATTTAATTAAGGCAGAGCTTCTGACACGTCTCACAGCCTTGATATTCACAAACCCACCACAGTAAGTGAAGTTACTTCTAAAGCAAGTCCAAACTTAAGATTCCTATGGGCACTGCAGAAATAATGCTCTTAACCCTCTTCAATTACTAGCATAAAACCGAGAGAGCTGATCAACTCATAAAAAATTCTGTTACTTAAAGTAATTTATGTAAGTTGTGTTTACTGATTCCAAAAAAATCATTAAATGTGTAACTGAAAATTGAGTATAGAGTAAAAATACAAAGTCTGCATACAGAAAAATGCTCAGAGAAATTTTCTGTTTGCACAATTTTACATTGCCCAATTTTTTGGTTACTGTGTCAATAAACATTAGCAACAATTGATTAGAGCCCATTTCTTTTTCCTCAAATGGCAAAAACTAGCATTTATTTCAGATCTAAAATTAATTTCTATGGTCCCTTTACATCAGTGGTTCTTTAACGTTTTGGAGGCACGAAATCCCACCAGTTTCATATGCCCATTCACCGAACCCTTCTTTATTGTTCTATAATCCACATGAAGCATAGGAGTTGGGTGTGATTCTTGACCTCTGCAAAACCCATGAGATTGACTCACTAAACCCTAGGGGTTCAATGGAACCCAGTTTAAAAACCGCTGCTCTACACCCATGAAAAAATATAGATTTAATACAAAGTCATTTTAATTAAAATAGAGAATATGTAGACCTAGCCTGCCATAAATACATACATTTAAAACATTTTTAAATTTATGGATACTATTTTAACTGCTAGATCATAATACCAGTTGTACTTAGCTTTACCAAGAGTACAAAGAACCAGTTCCTTAAAAAATGTGTCATCAAAATTACAATTTCAGCTAAATAATACAAATTATAAACTCAGTTGATGAATTGTAGCTTAAAATATCTAATTATTAAATTATTATGAGATTTTAAAAAGCTGGAAGCTTGTTGGTATTTATTTATTTACAGTTTTGTAACATTTATGGCTAGAATAATAACTGATATTAAAAAATAATCAGTTTATTAAAACACTTAGGTGAAGCATCTATGAGTAAAAATACCCAATTCTGGCACATATTTGAAAGGCTTTGATCTAGCAGGTCCCCTGCAAAAGAAAAATAAATTAGCATAATCACTAAAATAGTAAATAAATTCATGATTAACTCATGCATATTGAAATAATAACACAAATAAATAATGCAATATAACCTTTAAGCCCTAACAAGTAGGATCTAAACCTTACTACCCCAGCACGCATGTACTTTTCCATTTCCAATTATCTTTGTGTACAATTCCATTATTCAATTTCATTCCTAATAAATTTAACCTTTATTAAACATTGGTATGAAATTTAAACACAAATATGGCATTTGGCCTTACACAGCAGTAACCAACATCTTGGTTTTGCTTTTAAAACAATTACAATAACTTTTTTCAATTTTCTTCCAATATGAATGAGTTGACAAAATCCCTTAGACCTGGACTGATAAAGCTGCCAAGTTTGACAAAATTGTAACTTTCCTTTCAGCTCCAATCTTTATAAAATCTTAATAAGTTTTATAAGAATTAAATCAATCTGATAATAAGCTGGATGTATGTATAAAGAATAGACCTATTTTTTATCTGGGTCAAAATATTTTTAATCTGACTGACAACTTGCAAAGCTAGTTGTGTTTTTCAAAATCAACATTTAGATAAAAAACAGACCTACATAAAGTCTTTTTGTGACAAAAAGTGGGAAGGGCTATAAGAATTAAAAAGCGGACCTTCACAGGAAGCAAATTTCAGTAAGAGAAAATTGTAAGATGAGAATAAGATAATTTTAGGGAAACAATTTAACCTCATGTTATATTACAAAGGTTAGCAGTAGTAGTTAATATTTTTTTTATTGAAAAAAACCAATAAAGATAAAACTTTCTAAAGTACCTGCTGGTTCTGGGCATCATCTTCTCTTTAGGAATTTCAATAGGCACTAGTGATGAGGCTGGGATATCTGTTTCTAAATAAACATCAAAACACATCAACAATCTTTGAAGTTGATTGGGGAGAAGTTGGTCTTTTACATTACCATTCAGCAGCTCTTGATAATGAACATTTACTTCTTCCTCCATTTCCTAAATAGTAAGAAAGAGTTTGACAAATTAGTATTAATTACATTGATAGATAAAAATTAGTTACAATTTTATATTGTAAACAACAGCTATGCAAACCTCAACATCAAAACAGTTAGTTGATCAGTAAACCTTCATTTTATAATATAGTACTGACACAAGATTCCTATCATTTGTAAGTTCAATGCTTATACGTCTAATTGGGAAAACATTTTACCATCACATATATATCTGTTAGTGCTGTACGCCGAGACTGCCACATAATGTCAACAATAATGAGAGGTGCCACTTTAGGGCTATCAGAAGTTAGAACAACAAAAGCTGTCATTTTGGCTGGGAAAAAAATTATATACAAGATATCATACAAATAGTACCTTTTTCTAATAACATGTAGGCCCATATGTAATATGTTATAAAAAGTCAGATGACAAAATTAAAAACTATATGCTTGCCATGTAAAGATGAATTTTCACACAAATATTTTACCTGATCCTCTGTCAATAGTGGCCATAAAGATAAAATCTGTTGAATGTACTAAGCCTGCTTTAATAAATCTCTCAGCTTGTGGTAAAGATTTTAGATCAACAAAGCTGGAGCGACGCCATGATGTCAACTGAGCATTTATTTTTGTAGGGAACATCTTAACTGATGCAGATGATACTGGTATGATATTTCTCTCTTGAACAACATAAAATGTGTTACAAATTATAATTAGAAGAAAAAATATAAATAAGTATTTATTATATTCACAACATACTATTTATTTAATCCATTTCTAGTCCTGCAAGCTAATAGTTAATTTGTGCACAGTACAATGAGCAAAAAGTAGATAAAATACGAAACAGAAACATGTAAGTACATTTTTTAAGTCTATTCACAGGAATTTTCTCTTTTTAAACCATCACTTTACCTCAGAAAAGAGAAACATTAACATAAGTTATCAAGGAATTTATAAAAGATCTGGTATATAAAAAATAAATACCTAGAGAAGAAAGCTGTTGAAGAAGACATACTCTTGCATTTACTCGTTCTTTTAGTAAAGTTATAGTTTTTTGCATGTTGGCAGAGCTTACAGAGTGCTGAGCTCGCACTTGTGACAGTTTAACAATACCAGCACTTTCATCCTCAGTTGCTAATTCCTCTGAATTATTAAGATCTTTTTTAAGGAATTGAAGACCTCCCATCCACTGACACCAAAGATATGGTCTGCCTATCAAAGAGATGTAGGAATCCAGTTCCTGCAAACTGTAGAAAAAACAAAACAAAATCAATGTAGATTTCTGTTAACTGTCAATAACTTTACTATAATATGATTATAAGCTTATTTACACTTTTCTCAGCACCTAACTAGAAATTTGATGGAGGGTCATTATATTTGTTTATGGCACTGCATTTACAATTTCAACATGTATGTGATAATTGATATACTTAGAAGTAAACTATACATTATTATTTATACAAGTTGTGTGTAGCTTATATGGAACATCATCTGAGTTGCTGGTCACAAAATCATGCCACTTTTTGTGTTCTGGACTAAGTTTTTGTTTCCACTTGCTGATACTGCATTTACACTTATGAAATGTATAAAACACAAAGCCCACCAAAAGTTATTCTTATCTGGAAACATTTTCTCCACAGAACTTGTATAATTTAACATTCTCAGTTACAGAACATATTATACAACATTTTAGAAAATAAAAAATGTGACATGCTTTACCAAGGTCTAGGACGTTACCTAACCATTAGCCCCCAGATCATTGACCACATCCCAATTACCACCCTGCGTAATTACACCACTGCAAAATAAATATTATACCAATACCTATCCCTGTCTTTCCCCTATCCCAATTCTTTATAATATACTATTCTTACTAATACCATCACCACAACCATTACCGATAACCTGATGGTTAATTGTCAGGTGGTAGGTAATGTCCTACCACAGTTTTTGGATTTGGGCAAGGTCTTGGGAGGTGGGGCAAGGTATTGGGAGGTGGGGTAATTGATCTTGAGGTAATGATATTGGTGAATATGTGCATTAAATACACTAATGAATGGCATTGTTTAACTGTGATGTTTTTTGTTTTGTTTACATCAGCTCTGGATCAATATTGAGTTATTTTAGTCATTATTAATTAATTTTCACTGTTATTTAAAAACAATTTAGTATAAATGTTGAAGAAATTTTTCTTTTATTGAATGTATTCTTGGTTTGTTTGTTTGTAGTAAAAGAAATTGGGAAATTAAAAGTTTAAATTCTTGATGCAGTCATGTCCCTTTAATAGATAAAAGTGTGTTGTCAAACAATAACAAGTCAATTTTAACCATTTAAAATGACATTTCTGAGAATATGGTATTTTTTCAAACACCTATGGCACCTTACCAAATATCAAGTTTCATAACATTTCAAGCTCAGTTTCTGATACTCCAATAAAAGTTTCAAAATCTTGCATGTTTTAGATAACTCATTTTCCTTTAAAATCATCATGTTGCGCATTCATGATCTAAGCTCTTAAAAATTTTTAGAATTACATAATAAACTGAACTGTACTTAAAAAAGAAAAGAATCAAGATATTTTAATTTCATTTTTGAATTTGAATTTTAAAACAGAGGTCCCATTGTATTAATATTGAAAAACTAAGTCTTTTTTAGTATTTTACATGTTCTATTGTGATTGTTGAAGTTATAGGCACTATTTTCTTTTAACATAATACTATCTACATTATTTTTTTTTACTTTGATTACTCTTTTTTTTAATTGTCTTGGCCTATATTATTGCAGATGCTTCAGATCAAAGGTCATTATTTCTAAAATCTTGTATAACAATAACATGTTCTGTAAACACAAATATAAATGTTCCAAGAAGAAAATGTTTCCAGATAAAAATATTTGGCATGTTTTGTGTTCTTGACATGTATTGTAATTGTATACACATGTGTAAAGCGATATTTTGACAGATAAAAACTAAAAATAATGCATGAAAATATTATCAAAGATGTGTGCTCAAATATAAATATGCTTTATGCAGTTTTTTTACTGATTTTAAAAACTATGCAATAGTAATACATGTAAAAGTAATAATTTTACCCATGTCGCTTTAATTCATAATGGTTAGCTAAATTGGGTGACTCATTGCCATGGTCTCCAGGATAAAGTTCATCTAAAATCATATCAGGGGACATCAGATCACTGTTGATTTTATGATCATATATATTAAACATTTTCAAAATTAGAAAATTTTCAATATCAATACAAAATGAAAAAGAAACTAATAATGCTCATTAACTTACCTTCCTGTTGATGAACTTGTCATAACCTTTGCCCCTGGTGTTACCTTGACATTTACTGTTATTATATTTAAAGCCAAGAGGTAATAAAAGGTGAGCTGAAGTTCAGTTCCATCTGTCAATATATGAAAGTTCTTAAATGTTTAACAAGGCTAAATAGGTTTTAAAAAATCAATACCATTCTGGCAGGAAAACAAAAAAAAAAAAAGGAATGCAAGTGGATAATAAAATATGGCACATAGTGTTTTTAAAAAAGGGCTATGTAAAAGGAGAAAGTCTGAAATCAATTAATAACTGTATAGTTTAAACTTTAATACATATTTTTAGCCTTTTTAACTTTAGTCTAAAACTAAAAGTTTATAGTCAAGTCACATTTTGAGTTAGTAGTTAAAATGTTTAGGTAAAAAAAAATTCAATGCTTTAATCATTATAAATCAGCGAGAAAACAGTCTAGGTTAAATTTATTTCTCTAGTGACTGATAATAACGCTTATATATGTAATTCTCTTCATGGGGACCATGCGAGACACCACGTAAACGCATGCCGTTACTCCCCCGCTCTCTAGGCATATAGCTACCACCCCCACTCGTCCGGCTAGCTGTAGTTCACGCCAAATGTTTATGGCATCGGTCAGCTAGTATTTTACGGGTTTTTTTAAAATGTTTATTATTATTCTCTACATCGCCAATTATTTATTTTGGGATTGAAATTGGCCAAGACCTTAGCAGTCAATAAACAACATAACACTCCTGGGGGGGGGGGGGGGGGGGAGAAATAGGGATTAGGAAAAAAATTTGTGCTGATGTGTGACGTGGGAGAGGGCAGGGTTTAGAAAGTGTAAGGACACATTTAAACATCTTAAAATGTAATGTTAGAAACTGAGCTTAAGCCATTATTTCACATTTTAAAATGGTTTCTTTATGGTTTCTTTTGTAAATTGTATTAGAAATTGGTTAAAAACTTATAATTGCCATTGCAAGTTGGGGTGTAGGCTGCGGTGTGATGTCATTTGAAGGGGGTGGGTGTGTGGCTTCTTGTGAGGGGTAGGGGTGGGGAAGAAAAAGCAAAAGTCATTAAAACAGACATTTATTAATAGTCCCTTTGCAAGAACCATGCTAAATAAATCTTAGGGATCATAAGAAAATATGTATTCTAAAAAGCAAAAATTTGTTCACAGGGTTTATTATTTTAAATCTAATGAGATTATACAGAATGTTAAATATACCATCACTATTAATGTCCACTGCTACAGAGAGAGGGTGTTTCTTTAGTACTCTGTTCTTTTTTTCTTCATTACGCATTTCTGATGTATTTCTACGTCGTTTCTAAAAATAAGCAAATTTTATAATTTAGTCTTTACAATAGAGATAAACTACTTAAACACTGGTTTTAAATATAAACTTGGGAAAGATTACCAAAATGTATAGCTAAGTAGGACAAAAATTAACAGAGTGCTTACAACATCTTGTTTTTCTTGATCTTCCATGTCACTATCAGAGTCTTCATCTTAATAAAAAGAACAAGAACAATTAGTAGCTTCAAAGAACTAAAAATATTGTAATTCAAAATAGATGATACATGTTGCAACTACCACACTTGGTTTTAAAAAAATTATTTAACTATCCTCAATCATTGAAAAATGGTTTGTAAAAAATCAATAAACATAAATGATAAAGCAACGTACTTAACTCCTCACTTGTTTTATTGAAGTTTTAAAAATATTTAACATGTTGAAATATCCACATCATCAATGAAACTATATTAGAATTATTAGTTTTTAATGTCATTATCTTTTATTTTCATTTTAAAAGAGCCAGATTTATAACCAGAGGCACTTTAATCAGTTCTTTCTCTGATTAAGCTTTTAATAAAAATCGAAACATAATTTCCATAACCCGAAAAAAAAATTTTATTAGAAAAGTACAGCTAATAATAAAGCAAAAAAAAACAACAACATGTAAATATAATTTCTGGTTACTATTGACATCTTCAACTCTTGTTACTAGTGAGTCATCTGTTGCTACTAGGAACAGAAAGTGCTGCCACATTCTGGCTCATTTGAACAAACTACATACACACATTTTTAAACAGTAAGGGGTTACCTAATTATTCAGCTTAGTTTTGTAGGCTCTTACCAGGTTCAAATGTCCACATCAACTGAGACTGTGCAGCATCAACATCTCCTTGAATTACAACTTTTATAAATTTGTCTGAAAACAAGGAAAACTATATCAGAATTATTAAACTCTCAATAAATAATCATAGTACTTCAATACAATATAAGGCAGATTACATACACTTAAAACAGTTTTAAAAACTAATTACTCTGAAATTATTCTTTTAATTATGAGTATTTTTTTCCTGGATTACACTCACCACAAGCATCTTTATATGCTGAAGTCTGCATGTACAGAATATAAAGGGGAACAGGCAGGTGTTGTGCTTTTTGATGTTCTTCTTTAATGGCATCATATGGCATTGACAAATAATCTTGTACAGGTCTTGTAGCCTGTAAAATAAAACAGGACTTTGAGACAGTAAAATTAGAAATCCAAGACTCACGCAAATTGTAATTCCTAGGGTAAAAGAAAAATCACGAAAGGCACTTGAAGACATTTGAAAAATTCTTTTATTAATTTGGCCAAAGTCTCAGAATTTCCAATAACAAAATAAAAATGGCTAATCTTAAGAATTTAAATTTATTAGTATTAGGTAAAATATATGTTTTACAAAATAGTAATTAATATTTAGTAATTATGGTTTATACTGTTAATAAAAGTTCAAGATTATCATACAAACTACCCACATGAAGTATAGCAGAAAGCTTTGGTTGTAAGGTTTCTAGGTAATCATGTTTAGCTTGGATTTCTTGGCTTATCTGCTCTTTATTGCTCTTTGTATCTGTCAGCTTTATGGCTAGTCTGGCAATAGTAATAACAGTTGAACTGCTTTGGTAAGGCATGGCTAATGAATGTAGCTGTGTGCTTATAAGATTGCTCATTATGAGACATACATGACAATTAGTGGTAAAACAGAGGTAACGAACCATAAAAAACCCAAAATGCTTTTTCATACAAGAAAAGAAAGAATGTGCATATGGGTACGTCATGATTTTACAAGCCTTGCCATATACCATTGGTGGAATCCACCCATATACATTTATATAGAGAAAATAATTGGAGATGTTATGTACAAAACAAAACTGTAGATGCACATTATTGAATGTGCCTATTATGATAGTATTATAACAATACCACAAGTATATCCTATTAGAATGCATCATTGTCGTCCATTGATGACATCACATACCTAAGGGAGAGGTTTTTACTGACTTTTGTGACAATGAGTAATGAGGGGGTAAAAAATAGGTGAGGGGTTGAAGAAATGTAGCACAGCATTCTTTTTGTACTTCTTAAAAATAAAGATGCTAAACAAAATGTTAATTTTTAATACCATTTCATGTATTGAAGGGTGGAGGGTAGGTAGTTGGAACTTTGTGATGTCACCAATTCAGCACAGATGGGTGCCTTACATAATGTTACTAGATGGAGGAATGACTTGCATTTATTGTTGTATTCTCTTCTATATCTTTGATGCAAAAATATGCCGTTATCTCTAAAAAAAATGCATGGGCCATCAAATACATAGCAGAATGGCTCATCCTGCTTTTCTGCATGTGCTTTGGCCATAAATACCCTTTTGGATGTTAAAAGCACCAATATTGTAAATGCTTTACAACTTTATCACTGGACAACATTTTGTTTTGAATAGGCTCTTTTGCCAAAGTAAGACATTTCTACATCATATGCCCATAAAAATCTTGATGACATGCTTATCTGATTTGGTTTTGTTTGACAAACACAAATTTTGATGCTACAAAGTGACAGCTGAGAAAACTTTCCAAAGTTCTATTATTGGACAAATAACAATTTAATTGTCTTTCTGTTCCTACTTTCTGTTCATCACATTGCAAGTGTTTGAGGCAAAAATATTTTCACTGAACAGCAAGCAGTCACATTTGTTGTAGATTGTGATATTATCAATGTCCATGAATGACCCCCAAAAGTTCAAGGAAAAGTTATAAGGCCAAAACTATCAGAATATTGTCCCTTAATGTCCATGTTATTTTAGCTGCCATAAGTAGAATTTAAAAGTTCATGTACTTGCTTATGTTTTATTTTTACTTCTTAATTTTGGCACTGGGTGTTTCTCACACACAACATACTTACAGAGTTAGGGATTTTTTAGCTAATAATATTTACGAAGTGACTACTCGGAAGAAGATTTTTCTCCCCAACGTCTCCACTTAGCCGGCAAAAGATAGCTCTGCGCATGCGCAGTGACCTATGGCTAGGGTTAGGGCTAGAATGAGGGTTAGGGGTAGGATCAGGGTTAGGGATAGGGTTAGGATTAGGGCTAGGGTTAGGGATAGGATTAGGGTTAGGGTTAGGGATAGGATTAGGGATAGGGTTGGTGTTAGGGTTCTGCGGTTGTAAACACACGCATGCGCAGTACCATCGAAAACATTCCCGCGAAGGCAAGTCGTAGTTTCTCTCCATTGCGCATGCATATCGCATGCGTATCTTATTCCGGCTAGCATCGGCCTAATATTTAAGTCAAATAAAAATGGGTTTATTTGCATTTAGAGTGGACCCAGTAGACAAGGCATACACCAAGATCCAAGGATTTTAAAGATTTTTAGGTTGAGCTGTTTAAAAGCAAAGTATGAAGTACAGTGCTAGTAGATAGATTATACCAACCATGTATAAATAAAAGGCAGAAAGACAAAAAATGGAAAACTTACAGGGCTCTACTTCTATATTTTCTTTTTAATGCTGAATATTCTTCAAACCAAATTACTCAATGAGAACAACTAAAAATCAAAATCTGATAAAAACTAAAAATCCAATGAAATTTTTATGAGGGATTGTACAGTTAGACGATTTTAAATAGTTAGTTATAAATGTTTATAATATAGATTAACTTTTAAAAGAAGCAATATCAAATCAAACTCACTGCTTTCTTTGTTCTAGCTCCCATTCAAGTCGTGCTAACATCTGAAGATGAGCATCTTCCTTAGTAACGTTCTAAACATTAGGAAAAATTAGCCTCATTTTGGTAAATGTGAAAAAATTTCAGTCACAATTGCAGAGCATGATGAATAATTATAATATGTAATCTATATTAATGTTTTAATGATTTAGTGAACTGGGATTATTTTTTTTATTAGTCCTACTAGATGGTCATATCAAGAGATAAATAATCATTTTTTTATGTCTGTAATTTTTCTTTTGAAGATAAAGCCAATAAATGGTGTATGTGCAGAACTGTAATAACACCAACAAAGGTAGAATCAATTCTGAGCTCAGGAGAAGAGCAATCTTGGAAAATATACTTTTTGCTGTGAGTTACATTAATGGATGGTAAATAATAACAAATAAGGAGACAGGTACTCAAAAAATAAAATGGAAGAATGCAAAAGTAAATCTTAACTTATTAAAATGATCAGAATTATTTGTTTATCATTTATGATAAATAATTGTTTCACAAAATATTATTTTAAAAACATATTGTAATGTATAAAGTCAAAAGTTACCGGATTAGAAATTGATATAGGAGCATCCTTATAAAATTCTTCAACTTTAACTAGTTCCACCTCTTCATCTTTTGACCTGGAAAAATGATGAAAATGAAGAGAGAAAGATGTGTTTGTAGTGTTTTTGATATGTTGTAATTCAGTGTAAAAAATTACTTACTTAAACTCCATACACTTGGTAATCTCTTTTTCTAAATGCATTGCTTCATACAAGAGATTTTGCAGCTGTAAATGACACTGATCTATTTTGTGCTTTGCCTGAAATTAGTATATTTTAATGTCTGAAGCATAAGGTAAAGGATGCTAACTACCACACAAACAATTTTTGTGGTGGAAAAAAGGTATAGTTGTTTACCTCGTTGGTGTTTTCTCTTACTTTTCGACAACGAAAATGAGCAAGTCTGTTTAGTTTTTTCATGTGAATAAAATGTATGGTAGCATCTGTTCGAATTGAATCTATTTCAGAGGATGACATCTGTAATTACATATTCAAATATTTTAGGATACATCCAGAAGTCACATTAAGATATTAATATGAAAAACAATCTTGAGCTAGCAAGAAGCTCAGAACTACATGATACTATCAGCTTCAGCTCCTCTTAACAGAATACCACATGCTTGGTTTCAAGCTTTACAAACAATGAAACTGAAATGAAGAAATTTATTTTAAACTTTTTTCTGTTTTCTACTTTGAAACCACCCTGGATGAAGTGCCTAGTCTCAGATTAGCAACAAATCTTGAAATAATCAATTGTTAGCCATAAGGTCACACTAAATATAGCTACTACATTAGCTATTACAAGTTCACAGTAAATGTCAAAAATGTTCTACTTAAGTAAGAAAAAAGGGGTATAAACAGGCATGTTAGTCATTTTCGGGCATCAAACTGGCTGTGTACACCATAAAAAAATAGTTTATTAAATAGAAAATTAGAATTCAGACATAAATGAGATCTAGAATATATCTTAGTGATCTATAAAGTAAAAACACTATGAATATGTAAAGTCAAACATTAACCCACTATCGAAGGCAGATAAGAAGCAGAGAAGACACTACTGGTCACAGTGAACATGTAGACAAAAGATTGCAGGCTTAAAGTGCTGGTTATAGGGGATGATAAGGAAAACTGTAAAACTGAAAGAAGGGTGAAGTAAAGTTCCATGGTGTGCGATGTGACTTGACTGGATAAGGGGGCGAGCTGAGTTGCAAGTTACTCTAACAGATAGTAAATAAGAATTTCTTTTAATAGTTTCATTTTTAGACTAATGATTCTCAAGGTTCAAGCATTGATCAGTGATGTCTATAATATAATTTCTATTTACTTACATCCAGTTTTTTAGTTTTGATTTCTTTGATATCTCTAATTGCAGTTTTCAGAAAAGTGCAAGATGCTTGAAATGAAGCAAGGTCAACAAGGGGATCTCTTTCCATAGCTTCATCCTCTTCAGAAATGAATGGTTTCAGATCAACCTATTTAAAAAAATAAAGCAGTAGAATTTTACTTCTATTAGGGTGGGACGGAGTGATCTAGTGGTAGAGTGCTGGACTGCTAACCCTTAAGTCTCGAGTTCAAATCCGGGTTCAAGTCAGTAGACCGTCCCTGAGTACACCCAACTCTGACGGGTACCTAACTAACGTTAGGGAAAGTAAAGGCGGCGTTACCTTTTTTTTACCTTTTCTGACCACATTCGTCACGCTCATTTAGTAAAAAAGCATAGGATCAAAACAGAAAGCCGACATGGTACAAATACTGGAAGACTGGCTTTGACACAAAACATCAACAACACACAATATGGACAGACAAGACCAACTGAGAAGAAGCCAACCAAGGAATGGCCAACAACAAAAACAAATATGCAAAACACAATGTGCCAAAATTTCTTTTGTAATTAGTTGTTTTCCCGCGTATTTAACTAAACATGTAACAAAAGTTGATGTTGTCATATGTTTACGTATTTTTATAAATTATAAATCATAATGCTTATACGTTTATAAATATTAAATATGCTATCAAAACAAAAACAACCCACACCAATAAACCCCCACAATTTAACAATTCTTAACAATTAGGCCCTAAATCAAAATATTTCTTAGAAGATTTTTATGACTTTAGTCTGTGACTTTTTTCTGATAAGTTTTTTCCTTTGAGACTTTTTTCCTACCAAAAAATTGTGACCTTTTTTTCTGTATTTTTTTTTCCTATGACTTTGGTCCGTTCACCAGGAGCTGATCTGGTCCTAACTAATATGGTAATACCACACTGCTCTTAGTGTCCTGCATTTGCTTGGTTCGCGGCGCGTTACGCTAAATCTTTACCCTAGGTGACACGCTATCTAAAAAAATAGATATCAGGATAGATATCAGGACTGCCCGATTTTTTTTTCGTGTAGATCTAGTTTAAGTGTATTATTTCTACACCTAAGAATCTAGATCTAGTCTAGTACTTGTAAAAAAAAAAGTACAGTGTCCGAAGTGTGTCAGATGATAGTCCTAGATCTAGCAGCAATCTAGCTAAATCAAACTGCCGTTTAGTAAATAGTTTTTACAGCTATCTAGCATGCATGATAGTAGATCTAAGTCTATAACTATATTATCAATCCTATGTGAACTTGAAATACTTTCAATTTGCTTGAGGGGGGAAAGAGAGAAGACACAGACGATCTCGTGAGCTTGTTTAGGCCTGCTGAACTCACAGTGACCCCGGCGACCATGGGCCGTGTTGGGATTTTTCACTCATGTGATAGTAAACGTAAGCAAGCAATCACGCCAGTGACGATGTTTGGAAATTTTATTTAAAAAAAAAATAATCACGTCATGTTTTCAATATGAAAAAAATAAAATGTTAAAAAGACAATATCAGTTGTGGGTAAAAATTTTAGCGTATTTTATTTGCCGCTTCACGTTCACCTCCGGTTGAGCGTATTTTACTATAAACACAGCCAAAACACTCAAAAATGTTAGGAAAACACTAGGATTAGAATCATCAGAGGATAGATATAGATCTAGATCTACTAATTTTTTTTTATGAATGTGTTTTAATTAGAAAAGGTAAAAAAATATTATAAATAAGCATTACAGTACAGTTTCAATTAAATAGCGTGTGATCTATCGTGAGAAAAATTCCTACATGGTCAAGGGTTCACATTGACTTTAATTATAGTTATCAGCATACGTCATAGCATAGAGTCATTGTGAGTTCATGTAAGTTAATTTATAGTATCATGCCTTGCAATTATGTGTTTCTACTTAACATAACTGACATGAACATATTTTTTTTAAGAAAAAAAAAGTGAAATTTAAATCTAAAAATAGTGAATAGGCCAAAAAATAGGCCTAGATTCTAGATCTAGTTTAGTTTAGTACTAGACTAGATCTAGTACACATTCAATAGGCCTATTCCAAATTTTGGATTTTTCTCAAGTTTTGACAAAATGAATTTAAAAAACTAAACCAAAAATTCATAAAGAAATAGACCGAGTGATTTCCTAATGTTTTTGTGTTTTGGTTGTGTTTATTTATAATAATGATAAAATACGCTCAACTGGAGGTGAACGTGAAATGGGGATTTACACTAAAATGGAGTTTTACCTCGGTCGTGCTAACCCTGGGTTTGAACTCGGAGCTCCAGGTCTATGAACTACAGTCTACACTGTTGACGCAACCACACAGGATGTGTTGGAAAAAGTAAACATTTCAATCACAAGATGGGAAATCCAACCTGCGATACGCGCGTAGGTTGTCACTTCGTTTCGGGCCACGCTCTGCGAGACGTGTAGTCACTTCGTATAACAATAACAATAACATTATTTAAATACAAATGTCAAATGATGATTTAGTTAGAGTTGAGTCTATAATGTTAGAATCTAGATTAAGTAGTAGATTTAGATTAGAATGATGAATGATGAGACCTGCATGACACGTACTTTTAAATCCTGCGAGTGCTTATGTTTCTTAAGATCGACAATTCCAGGGCACAAATCAGGTTTTAACAGCCTCTTTTTCTTTCCCTCGACAACAATACAATCATCTTTAGACATGTTAATAGTAGATCTACTTGTCCGTATACTTTTTATCAATGTAGATCTAGATCTACTGGTTTTACTACTCTTGTTAAGTTCTAGATTCTAGATCTAGAAGTCTATATTTTTATTATTTATTTTATAACAAGCTAAAAAGGCCTGTAGTCTTAATAGTAAGTAATGTAGGCTTATTTCCTTTAAAAAATAAGTGTGTGGATAGCCGGTTATGTGAATCTATATGTAAGGTTATACTAATTGGCAGAAAGTAAGTTTAACAAATTTATGTACGAAAAATTACTTCAGGATAGATCTATAATTATATCTAGCCTATCTATTATCTAATTACTTTGAGAGAGAGAGAGAGAGAGAGAGAGAGAGAGAGAGAGAATATTAGAGCAGATTCTAAAATGGATTATTGATTATAATGTAAAACAATAAATATAACGTACAACACATTAACATTTGCCGCTGATTTGTTTACTGTCTAAACTCTAAACAAACGTAAAATCAGCAATATTTTTAAAATAAAATAGAAAAAAGCCCATTAATCAAATCACAAATCATGCATAACAATTCAATACAAAAACTAATTGTAGAGTACCGACAAAAGGTATAAAATTACTGAAGCCAACTTGCACAATCAAATCTGCAACTATTGTTGTATTGGTGTCGCCCCATCAGAGTTTCTTCCAGGCATCTCTTCGAGGGGGGGGGGGATGGCAGAGCCCCCCCCCCCCCAAAGAAAGTCTACCCCCCCCCCCCGAACGAGATGGATTTTATATAGTAAACATACACTTTTACTCGTGTCCGTCCGTCCGTCCCCCTCCCCCCCTCCCCCGAATAATGTTGACCCCCCCCCCCCGAAAATATCAAGTGCCCCCTGGAGAAAAAAGTCTGGAAAAAACACTGCGCCCCATCCCCCTACACACATTGTCACACTATGAGGCTGTTAATGAGGATTTTAACATTGATAAGTTACCTAGCCTAGCAGTCACGATGTGGTAGAGTCAGACCAATCCACTTCGGTAGACGGTGCATTTTGTTCTGATCAGTACATTATCTGTCCGTGAAAGTCGCGATTGATGTTATCCCTCCTCCCATTTTGCCTAATTGCATTTATTTGTTCACACTATACAAATTCACATATTAATTCAAGGTGAAAAAAAACATCGTTTAGAATTCATGGTAAATTATTTATATTAGATGTGATTATACCCTGGACGTTGATTTTACATATTAGTTGTTGAAAACGTTAAACAAAACCTTTTCCCTCTCTCATTTTAACAGTAACGACGTTTATCTATTGTTTCGGTTATTAATACTAGAATCTAGTAAAAAAAAAAAAACCGGTGACCAGAAAGAAGCGCAACGGAAAAAGCGAAAAACAAAAAGCGCAACGGAAAAAAAGCGCAAACAGAAAAAGTGCAAACGGAAAAAATCGCAAATAGAAAAAAAAGCGCACACAGAAAAAAGCGCAAACGGAAGAAAGCGCAAACGGAAAAAAGCTCAAACAGAAAAAAAGCGCAATCGGAAAAAAGCGCAAACAAAAAAAAAGCGCAAACGAAAAAAAGCGCAAACAGGAAAAAAACAACGAAAAATGTGCAAAAGAGAAATTTAGCATAAAGACCTATATGGACTAGATGACACATTTATACATGACTGTTAGGGCTGCTGTGAGAGTGTCGTGTTTGATCACGTGATCTACTACCATTTAAAGCATACCACTACGATACAGGCGATACTCGCTTTACACAATGCCTATTATTTTCTTGGTCAATATTTATTCAACTACTATTCTCGTATAAGTAAACATAAAACTATCCTTGATATCGACATTACACGAAGTATCTCTCACATTCTCCCTAGTTCGAACTACCTAGCTTGCAACAACCCGTTCCTATGGCAAAACTTCACTCTCTTTCATCCGCGTCATCAAACATGCATTCGTCATATTTCTCGCACCAACATTCATTTGCACCAAAATACCCTGATACAACACACATCATGCAGTGGCGGAACTAGAAAAAATGGGCCACCCCGCAAAAATTTTGTTGGGCCCCCCATATATATATATATATATATATATATATATATATATATATATATATATATATATATATATATATATATATATATATATATTTATTTATATATATGTATATATGTATGTATATATATATATACATACACACACATAAAAACACAATACGAATATAGGATACTCCTTTCTAGCCTGATCGGGTTTTGAAAAAAAAAATTCAATTAAATCTAATCACAACAGCATGTCATGTGTATGAGTGCATTGGTCTGTTTTGAAAATCTCTGTTTTCATTTATGATCAATACTTCTAATCATTAAGTCGGTTAAAAGTATATGAAGCTTTGTATAAGTAATGGTGTCTCGTGTTATGTTCATTTTTATGTTATTTTTTTGTATTTATATTATTAACTTTAACTACGTTTCATTTTTATACTATACCATTCTTTAGTACTTATTTTTTTAAAAATAATAATTAAGATAAGTAATTGCTTTTTAATTTGATTATTAAAAATCTATTAAAAAGAGCTTTTGAGCACCCCTATTTGACTATTTGAAAAAGGGAAATAATTTATGGAAATGGTTTGAACGTTTGCCTATCTTTCACACTACAGCTGTGTTTATTATTTTTTTATTTTTTTACGCAACAGCATGTCTTAGCTACTATATAACATCACTACTGTATTAGATCTGTATTCTGTTTGTTACTTACAAAACCACTATCAAGTTGCCAGTGACGAAACTAATATATATATATATATATATATATATATATATATATATATATATATATATATATATATATATATATATATATATATATATACATATATATATATATATACATATATATATATATATATATATATATATATATATATATATATATATATATATAATCTGTATCTAAACAGAGTAATTTAGTCTACTTCATTGCAATATATAACCATTCTTTTTTTTTTTTTTTTTTTTTTTTTTTTTGGAGTTATGTAAGGTCGGTGAATTAACGATTTTCAATGAGAGAACAAACTAGACACATTTTTATTTTGTTCTTTTGTCTTTCATTCTTAACTGGTCAAAAATATATAAAGACGTAAGCTTAATTCGTGAATGGTTTCTCGCGTTATGTTTATTTTTTTCAAAAAAAATTCATCGTTTTTTGGTCGGAAATGGGCCCCTAAACGTCCTGGGCCCCCCCGCACTGCGGGGTCATGCGGTATGGTAGTTCCGCCCCTGACATCATGATGTATTTAATATCATTTCATCATGACGCACCTACCTACCTATCTACCCACTTACCCACCTACCCACTTACCCATCTACCCACCTACGGGGTCGTCCATAAATGACGTCACACTCGTAGGGGATGGGGGGGGGGGTCGGTAATTTTGTGACGGTGTGTTATGAGGGGGAGTGGGGGGGGGGGTTCAGATGAAAACAGTTTTAATAAATTATAATAGGAATTGATTAAAATACTCTATTTTGACATATTTCAGACAAGATTTTGGAAAAAATATCGATGTTTAAAAAAAATTCAACTGCAATTTTGAGGGGGGTTGTAGGCTGAGGTGTGACGTCATTTTAGGGGGGGGGGGGTCTGTCTTTTTGTGACGACGCGTGACGGAGGGGAGGGGGGAGGTAAAAATCGTCCAAAAAAGCGTGACGTCCTATATGGATGACCCCTACCCACCTACCCACTTATCCACCTACCCACCCCACCCATATATATATATATATATATATATATATATATATATATATATATATATATATATATATATATATATATATATATATATATATATATATATATATATATATATATATATATTGCAGAAATCTTTCCGAGAGTATTTTCATTGCTTTGGAAGTGTAGGCTTTGTTTTTGTTGTTATAGAATTTTTGTATGGACGAAGGGAAACAACCAAGTTAATATTTTTGCTAAATAATGTAAGCATGCTTTATTCCACTGATTATTATTCAAAATTCATTAACATTCCATGTTTTTATCATGCAACCCTCAGGGGCTCTTGTGAGCCGTTGGGTTCCGAAATTGACATTTTAGCCCGCAGAAACTCCCCCAAGGGGTCGTCCATAAATGACGTCACACTCGTAGGGGGGGGGTCGGTAATTTTGTGACGATGTGTGATGAGGGGGAGTGGGGTTCAGATGGTGCGACGTCACACTTTTGCTTTATAGTAAAGAAATGTTAGAAAACGAATTTTAGACGTTATTTTGCGTTTTAGAATACAGTTTTAAACATCGATATTTTTCCAAAATCTTGTCCGAAATCTGTCAAAATAGAGTATTTTAATAAATTCCTATTACAATTTATTAATTAAAAAATCAACTGCAATTTTGAGGCGGGTTGTAGGCTGAGGTGTGACGTGATTTTAGGGGGTGTCTGGCTTTTTGTGACGACGTGTGACGAAGGGGAGGGGGGGGGTAAAAATCGTCAAAAAAAGCGTGACGTCCTTTATGGATGACTCCCAAGTACAGACAGACAGATAGATACTTAATTCTCCTCTACAACGAAATTAAAACCTACACAAGTCTTACGTCGTTTGCCATACAAATACAACCTACGAACCTTTATCTAAAATGTTAACATTACAATTAATTAATCGTATGTTGATTTACACTTTCTGAAACTAAAATGTTAAATTCCGTGTAAATACACATTTGTGATTTTTTTTCCTGTGACATTTTTTCTTACAATCATAGACGAAGCCCAATTTGAGAGGGGCAGCGCGCAGATAGACCGAAAGAGAGAGGCATATAATGCAGAGACGAAGTAAGAAGATATTTTGAGATGAGAGATGAAGAAGAATGCGGATGGAAGACTAGCACTGGGCGCTAGTCTGTGGTGGTGGCAAATCCAAGACTAGGCGTAACGAGGATCCGACGTGTTTGATGAGAAAAGGCCACCGGGCTCATTTACAAGGCTCGGGCAGAGGCGTAGCGACCCCTCCCGGCCCCCCGGGGACAAACTTTTGATTTGGCGCCCCCCCCCCCCCCGTATTTTTTATATGTATAATTCAAAATAGTAGCTAAGATGAGCTTATTTTGGCGCCCCTAGGGTCGGCGCCCGGGGACATATGCACCTCCCTGCCCCCCCCGGTCGCTACGCCTCTGGGCTCGGGAGTCATTTTGTCGGAAGCCAATATGTTGGGAGCTCATTTATCGGGAGCCTATATGTCGCGAGTCAATATGACGGGAGCCAATAGGTCGGGGCCCTTTGACGGGGCTATTTTGACTGGGCCTTTTCGTCGGGGTTTTATTAACGGGGCCGTTTTAACGGTGCACCACCAGTAACATACTTAGTACACTCAAGTAGGTCAAGTCTAGTTTACATGTCGTAAGTGTAAACGCGGTATTACTGAGTGTTAGGCCGATATTAAATTATCATGATAATGCTAATTCCGTAAGGTGATTAGTAGAGACTACTGAAAGTTTGGACTGCACAATTACTAATAGATTAATTATACAAAGAAGAATACCTCATGCAGAATTTTAAAATGCTCTAGCAAATAAGGCAATTAGCTTTCATTAAACTGATTTCAATATAACATAAGCTTAATTCATATTAATATGTATATGTTATATTAACATATTAATATGTTAGTTTCAGCCCTCTGGCATAACAAACAATTTTGAATGATAGTAGGGACTTATGTTCACTTTTTGAAAAAAACAAACTGAGTTAGACCATCTCATAAGCTTTATACTTATGTTTTCCCGGTGTTTTCAAATTAAAAGCAGTCCATTCAGTAGTTAAATCAGCAGTGGAAGTTCGTTATGACTCCAAAACGTGTTTAGATTAGAATTATAACTATTATTATCTAAAATAATAAGATACGTTACTGGATTATGTCGCTTCCCCCCCCCCCCCCCCCCGGAGAAAAAAGTCTGGAAGAAACACTGACTGCGTATACAGAATAAAGAGGCAGTAGTGCAATCATGCAATAAATCTAAATTTTCACAAATCTCACCGTTTTACACCTCCCTGAGTCGGAAACATTTAAGTTTGCAATTTTGTCTATATGTCTGTGAACATGATAAATTGTGTACCGTTAAAGCTAGGTTGACGAAATTTCAGATGTAAATATTACATCAAATTTGTAGTTTTTGTATCAAATTTTCAGAGTTCCGGTAACCGGAACTTATTCTACTTTCGGTTGTTCAAAAGCCTACAACTGAAGTACTGTTTCAGTTAGAAGAAATTTCATAATTATGTATGTAGAAAATCTAATTGCTTTCTGACCTATTTCTAAAAAAAAACCACATACGAATTTATATTTAACTTGATTCCTCTGTCTTTCTTTATATAGTACTTCAGTTCCGCACTATTATACACAGATTATTTGTTGTTAATTAATTTGGTGCGCAGTTCTTTTTCCTACGAGATTCTGTTCTGTTAAAAAAATTTTAAGTATTTGAAAATTGATTTTTTTAAAAAATGTTTATATCCCGACAGCACTGGAGTTGCAATCCCCTTTTGTGTTGTCTAAGAATATGCGAGAAAGTTTGGGGAGATCACTACCGCTTTTTCTATGCACTACTTGAAATGTATAGCAATTTTTAAGATTTAAACGATAACATTTGAGTCGATGTCCAAATATTTCATATTTAGTATACATTTTTGGTACTTAATAATAGGTAGTCCAAACTGAAATTAACTATTGATTGCAGACTTCTGGAGTGAGTATGTCATGAAAGAACTTTTAATTGTAAGGTCTATGCCACAAATTTTATAAAAATATCTCAATAAATAAAAAAGTTATGCGATTTTTAAAAAAGCAAAATTTGGTAAAAAACTGATTTTCAAAAAGTGCCATTTTTGAGAACCCATATTTTTTAAACTAAATAACATAGAAGTGTAGAAATTGGTAAAGTTGCTGCACAGTTTGTAATATATATGCCCAATTTTTTTCAGTCATCTAAAATGAGTCTTTCTAAGGTAAAAAAATAATTGAAAATGACAAAAATGCGTTTTGGTCACTTTTATTTTCATTAAAAAAAAAATTCAATTTTTTTTTTTTTTTTGCTTTGGAATAACTCTAAAACTATTGTGTTGGTAACATCAACGTGGAAAAATGTGTTAATTATTTTCAAAAATCACATGAGTTAAAATATTATTTTAAAAAATACCACAGTTATCTAGTGCAGGAGAAACAGAATCAAAATTTAGTAGAGTAAATGTAATGTAATGTAGTTTAATAAAGACGTGATGCCTACAAGTGATGCAGCAGTTGATGCCACATGCTTTGGTTTCTTTTCAAACCTATACGGTTGATAACTGCTTTGGGGGAACAGTTTTTAAAACTACAACTCCACATCTTTGTACGTCTTGTTTCCCTCAACCTTGATCTTGTGGAGCATCAAGAGTAAGTAATATGTTTTGGGAATTGTAGGGGGGGTGGGGTCTTGGCCTTCTTCCCTTCCCTTGTAAGGAAAGTTCTGGATAGGCCACTGTAAATGTCTCCAGCTATGGAATAAACAATTGATTTAGTGATTAATAAAATAGAATTAAATTTACTACCAGACTATTGTGTAGGCCTACTATTTGTCCTATGACTATAACTGGAAACATATGAAAAAGCCTGAAAACACCTTTTTGTTAAAAGTGATTTATACTTTATATATATTTTTAAGAGTAATTCTACTGAATGAAATTTGAAATATTCGTTGCTTGTGCCACACTGGTTGAGATATCCAATAATGAAGATGCCATACTGTGGTTCTCAACATCCTATAGGACAACTTAACTGTCCTTCATTGTTACTATTATATGCATATAAAATAAATAAATAATGAGAAATACTACTAGTACTACTTACACTTACAACTAATATAACATTTAAAACTAAGTCACAACATGTAGAATCTTAATAAATTGCTCCACCATCTAAAAATTTATCTGGTACATTTTATTACGGAGACTGGCGCAGACCATTTCACATTATTTAGCAGGGGAATCAGAATCAGAGCACACAACAGAAAATAAAAAAAATTAATCACATTAGTCCTTAAAATTTAGTGTCTTTTGTTTTAAATAAATCGATAAAAATGTATAGTTATTATAATTATACATTTCTTTTGTGTTTCATTAATATTTTATAAGTATTTAACCTTCGTTCCCTGTAAATAATTGAGTTCGTCCACATAGTAACCAGGATAGTCTGGTGGCCATTTTGAATTTGTCGATTCATAGTTTTGACGTGATAGTCCAGATAAACTGTAGTAATACGACCCTATCATTGATCCCAGTCAATAGATTTTAAAGAATTAGTAAACACTAGCATCTAATAGTTAAGTGCATCCATATTTTAAGTCCCTAGAATGTCCTGAATTAAATAGCTTCACGTCTAAACACACCCTGTGTAGTTGTGTACAAGCGTAGTTCACACGCTAAAACCGTGGACTTGAAGCGTTCAAATTTACATTAATAACGTGTACTAATTAAACCAAACTGACATTCAAACTTAAAATTCATTTATTAAAATGGAAATGAAACTTTAAAAATGAAACTTACAACTTGTTTGAAGGCTCTAGCAAGGGTAAAATCCGTTTAGCATCATCGGTCGTCAACCTTTAAAACCGTTCGGCGAGCAACTTACTCGGGGCTGAAAGTCGACTCGAGGGTTATATGTTTATTGGGGGTACGGCTTCGCGACCGTAAATCAGAAATACTTGAATTTACAACACAAAGTAGTTATAAAACTGAACTTTACATCGGTGTAAAAATTGAAACAGAATTAGTTTGTTTCCGTGTATATATCGTCATTTAAAGTTTAAAATCTGTATTTTTTTAAATGAAATAAACAAGTTATTTTTTCAATTTATACATCAAACGATAGCCTAGAATTCGATCTTTAAAATGACATTAAGATTATGCTTCTACGATGCTTCGTCGCGAAGCCGCGACCAAATAAAACAGTGTGGGGTCGATCGGTACACGCAAAACGGTGAAATTTGTTGACGTAACTGATACTTTTCAAACAAATATAAAACACATTCAGACATGTGTTACAGATATAAAAATACCAGATTACGACAGATAAAGACTTAAACTTTATTGACATATAATTTTTATTCTTATAGGACAACTAGAAGTAGTGAAATTTTTTTTTTGAAAACCGCAAAAACTGACCCTAAAACGCACTTTTTCGCCAGTTTGGACTACCTATTAATAATAATAAACAGCAAGCCAATTAAAATTATTTGATCTTCCTTACATTGTCAATGATTTTTGACTAAAGTCACACTAAAGTGTCAATGGCTATATAATAAATAATAATCTAATTACAATTCTTTTAATATACATTTTCTTCAATGATAGATTTATGCAATCAAGGGCTTAAATAGTTTGAATTTTGGGGATCATTCATGTAAAAATGAATTTTCAGAATTTACGTCATTCTTCAAAATTACATATTTAGTACAACAGTCAGCCACAGAAAACTCAGACGACAATATTATAAATAATTAAAAGTAACAATTTATTTCTTCAGCAGTAAATTTCTAAACTCGTCATTTGTCATTGGCCCTTTACCAGCATCTTTAGCTGCTGAAGTCTCAGTTACTGTATCAGAGTGAACAGTTTCACTAGCAGATATCTTTTGTTCTGGTTTACGTAAGGCTCTAGGAACCAAAGAAATTTGAGTGCGAGCTTTTCCTCTGCTGTAAATAAAAGGTTATTTATTTGAGTGAGTTCATTTTTATTTCCAAGTCTAAACTTGGAAAAACATTGCAAACTGAAATAAGTAAAAAGGTTTAGAATTCAAAATTGTAAAAATGTATTCAGTAGGATCTAAATGTAAGTGGCATAATTAGTGTCAATAATCAAAGTGTTCTACTTGTCACTGCAAAAAGTTAATAAAAAAACCTTACAAAGTTGTTTCTCTTTTTCCACTGCCTAAATTCATTTGACCAGTTTGTGGGGCTGGCAATCGCGAGGAAAACGGAGTTTTGCGTTCAGGAGGATTACTAATGGCAACAGAAATGGTATGATTTCCAATTACTAGTCCATCTTCATGTAACACTGCTTGTGCTGCACTTTGCTTATTTATAAGAAAAAAAAAAGTCGATTTTAGATACAATATAATTTGTGCACATCACAGAATAAAAAATAAAATATATTAAAAATATACGGAAATAACTATTTTGTTATATTCAATGTGGTGTAGAATTATGAATTCTCTTAATTGTGTAATATTCATTGTATGTGTAGTTCTTACAATTTTGTACTTAGGTCACACAGATTAGCTTATCACAGATACATTCTGCAGCTACTGATCAAGTTTTAAAACAAATATTTGTTGACTTAATCATTTCAAGGGACGAAGTGGTCTAGTGGTAGAGAGCTGGACTGCTAACCTGAACGTCTCGAGTTCAAATTCACGTTCAAGTCAGTAGACCGTCTCTGAGTCCACCCAGCTCTGATGGGTACCTAACTCACGTTAGGGAAAGTAAAGGCGGCTGGGCATAGTGATGACCACACTATCTCTTCATATGCCGAAGTTACAGAAACAAGTAAACTCTAATTCACTTGCGCTATAGACCGTCAGGTTTGAAATGAGAACTTTACTTTTTACTTTTAATTAATCATTTTAATTCCTTGCAATTAATAAGTAAAAAAAGTATAATATCCTTTATAATAACATGATTTTAAATGCACTAAAAATAAGGAATAAACTTTCATTACATATAATAGAAAACACTTAGGTTGCTAATGAAACACATTTCTTATTTTTATTATAAATAAGAGTTTGTTATTATAAAGGTTATCAACTTGTTATGTAGATAAATACAAATGTAGCTGCAGTGAGGTTAATATAATTAGTAAGGAAACAGGTAATGTTAGTTTCCTCACAAATTAAAGACAATTACAGGTACCTGTAATTGTGTTTACATTGTAAGGGAACTAACACTACTAGGTCAATAACTAACAAACTTGTTAAACTTTGTAAACTTTTTAGGCATGAATTCACAATATTTACAATTTACACATAAACTTTTGTTTCACTTTCCAGGCCCTTATAAACAGAGTAAAACTACACAAACCAAAATAGTTTTTCTGGTCATGCTGAGCTGTGATTGTTAGGCCAGCTAATACATCATCTCAAATTTTTCCTGTTCTACAATTCAAATATACAATATAACGGTTTTCTAGGTAAAAACAAAACAACATCACCATCTCTGATTAGCATCACTTAACTGGGATGGTAATGGGATTAATGACAAGGGGGTTATTAAGAAATATTTATGACATGATTAATAGAATTAAACTAGAAATAAATTTGCTTGTTACAATTTTAAAGACACTATTATAAAACAATTGCAATTTTTATAAAATATGTCTATTCACTTATAATTTTCACAAGGTATAGGGCTGGTAAGTAGGTCACCAACCAGTTCTACGGCTCAATAAAACCTGCATGAGCCATAGAAATGGTTGGTCACCTACTTACCAGCCCTATTACCTGGAACAGTTTAAGTTTTAAGGTTTTGAAAAAGTTAGCACCAGTGCATGATGGGTAGAAAAATTGGAAGAGGGTAAAAATCACTTTTAAAAGCATGATTTCATTTATGGATAACACTATAGACCAATTTCCCTTAACAACACAAAGTATTATGAGACTTAAGTGATAAAAAAAATAGGATCAGTAAAGCTCATGGTTGTACATTTTAAAAAATAACCATATTTAAATTATATACCTACTATCCGAAATTTATGGGAAAAGTTGGGCTTCATATTTAGGGGCAGAAAATTTCCTTCAAAAAGAAAGATTTTGGTTAAAATTGAAATAGCAACATCTCTGCCTCAAAAAGCTCGGACTGGAGTAAAAGGGTCAAAATATTTCTTGTAAAAATATTTTAACAAATATTCTAACTACCTCATTATCATATTCAATGTATGCTATACCCTTGGGACTTCCATTTCGATATGTGACCATCCTCACTTCTTTGATTGTGCCATGCTGATAAAAGAAAGATGATGAAATTCTGTTCAATAAATATCAGAATATACATTATTAAATGTATCCCAATTTTTCAGCAGCCTATTGTAGCAGAGCTAATAAAAATCTTATAAAAACCTAACTTTACTTGCCTTTATAAACAGCTCTTCTAAAGCTTCTTTAGAAAATGTAAAAGGGAGTCCTTTAATAAACAGTTTATTTTTCTCCAGCTGTGTAGGAAACTGTGGATTGGAAATTATTTTGTTTTTTCTAGCCATCGTTAAAGAACAAATCAAGCTCAAGGCTTATTTTATTTATGACTAGCTTACCCATCAAAAATTGTCTTACACACCAGAGTGACAAAAAGTATTATATGGGTTTAATTGTTTTTCAAAACAAAGTTATTTAAATGCAAACATGACAGGTACAATATTTCTTGGATGGTAGTTGTTGGGGCACAGGTTTGTCCACACTACCGCCCAGGGTGTGATGTATGAAAGCTTACCCTACATTTAAGTGAGATAGAACACGCCTCAGCGCTGACATCGTGTCAGGAGGGTTGCTTGGCAATGTTAGAAGTTATGGGTTTTACTACAGCAGGGCACAGATGTCCTGTTTTAATTTAGTTAGCCTGGCGTGTCACTAACTGTGTCACTAATGTAGTGTGTTCTTAAATGATTATAGGCAACATAAAGGTCATAGGCTAGCTCAGGATGCTCCAGGTTACCTAACAGCTGGAGGGCACCCATGCAGCAGTTAGGTGAATTAATTAGTACTGCAGACTGTTATGATGTGTGTTTGATCTGGCAAGTTGGTGCGAATATTGGTGCAAAAGTTATAAAGAACACATGGTAGATGTGACGGGGTATGCAAGAATGTGACATTTAAGTGTAGGATAGTTTTTGCCGGGGAAGAAGTTTAAAGTAGTCTTGTTCTTGTTGTGTTAGGGTGAGGTCGTAAAGTAGTAGTAGTCCAGTCTTAGTATTGTTCGTTCAAGGCGTCCTATGTATTTCCTATAGTGAAATAAAGAGTCAAGTTAAATAATGTCATCCTGTCGAATCATTTTGTATGCGTTGATGTCATCATGCTTGAGGATGAACTACCAAAAGGCTAGACAGAATATAATACATAGACCCCAGTTATAGCATGGTGGAGCAGCAGGTGGTTACATCTCTGCAGTGAGTTCACATTAGTTCTGAAATCAGTTGACCTATAGCAGGAACAAAGCTATTTGAGATTGACAGAGATAATCATTTTTATTTTTCCTCAAACAGGCAGTATCAAACACATACTTGGGTACTGGTCAATTCAGACAAGTAACCATAGCTATAGGGGTGGGGTGTCGTCGTCTATTCTTTATAGTCCACCATTCGCAAAGACTTCAAAACTAATTTGAGATTGCAAAGTGAAAGGCAGAACGCAACTGTAGTGGATGTACTTTAAAAACAGAGTCTTTATCTAATTACCTCATACCTAACGGAATTGTCTAATTGAAAAGAAATGTGCATGTTCGATCATCCATTTGAAAAAAAATGACAAAAAAAAAAGTATTGGTAGGCAATGTGTAATACTCTATTTAAATAGGAATGGGTGAATGTGCATGTCTGATGTTCCTTAGAGATAATTTATGTGGTTTTTTTTTTCAAAATTTCAAAACTTTGTAAAAAATCTGCAAAAATGAAAAAATGATGGAAAATTTGACAAAAATTGTAGCTCAGACCAAAAATCTGGATTTCCACAAAAAACAAAACAAAATGAAAAGTCACATCCCTGAATATAAGGACCAGCTATACAACTATTTACCTTGAACAAAGGTGTGTTCTTAACTACCGATCTGTCCTCACATCTGGAAACAAACATTGGACGTCCATCTACAAATTCTCTATCAAGTTTCAAAGCTTGAAGAACAGCATTCTGAAATAAGTGTGTACTAAATAAAAAAACTATCAGTAATTTAACCTAAAATGGTATAAATTTCATTTTTTTAAAATAGTTACTTTCACAATAAAATCTGAAATATGAGCCAAGTAAAAGTTCACATTGTATTATTTGGCAAAAAAAAAAAAGGTATTTTTACATACACTATCAGTGAATTCAATGTAGCCAAATCCTTTTGATTTTCCTTTGTAATTTCTAACCAGCCTTATGGACACAATTTCTCCACACTTAAACAATTAATAGGAATAATAAGTATGAGTAAAACAGGCTTTAACATTCTGAAGCAAGAAAAAATTGGCATAAAAAATTATTATAGTGGTAAACTTTAAATTAAATAAAATCATTTGACAAAAAGAGAAATCAAAATATTTTTACTTTGTAGTTTTAAAGCAATCTTAATACCTAAAATACCAGAAAAATTAAATTAAGAGCTTTACATTACTTTCTCAAAAACATTTTTTAGGCGGTCCTCTTCCAAAGTAAAATCCAAATTTGAGACAAAGGCTGTTACATTATCTTTCGTAGGATCATGCTTAACACTTTCCCCATGAAATTGACTTTCACTTTGTACATTATCTAAAATGAAAACCACAATAACATTTTATTTTACTATAACAGTATTAATTTAACTAACATGACAATCATAAAAAAGGTCAATAATATAAGTGATAGGCCTAATTATTTACAAAAGTAAATACATAACACATGTAATAATCACAAATAAAATTTAAAAAAGGAAATTTTAACCTTTTTTTTTCTTCTCTGGTGGTTCTTCCTTAGCATAGCTGTCTGCTGGGGATTCTTTGATCTAGAGTTAAGTTTACAAAATTTATTCACGATTTTCTAATTTAGCTTATTACAACAGCAGAAGAAAAAAAATTAATCTATTATTTTTAGGTTCTTTAAAATTGTTAATAATAACATGTCTTCACAAAATGTAAAAATAATAATTGAATTTTATAAAACTGTTCAATAAAAAGAACAAGTTAAAACAATTTTTACCTTCCTTTTATTCTTATTTGTGCTATTGTGTTTGAGAGAGAACTCCCCACATTCATTGATTTCAGTAGTCTTAGGTTGTATGCTATGACCTTTTCCATCAGTTTTCTTTATCTTTTTATTCTGGATGGTTTGTTCTCGTTCAGCTTGCTGCAAATATTAAAGTAGAGTTAATTATGCTATAAGCTTGTTGTAATTATTATGTATTTATCTTCAATAGAATATTTAAATACAAATGCAAGTTAAACAAAAACCGAAGTTACCTTTGCTCTTCTTTCATTTATTCTTTCCATTTGAGCATTACATTTTGCAACAGCTGAATCATACTGTTCCAGATTACCTTAAAAATTAACAATAACCAAGCATTTACAACGGCAAATGACAAATGAAAGTAAACCTTTTGAGCTCATTGTCTAACAAAATAAATGAATGCTGAAATTACAAAAATTTCCCTTCAACAAGACAAACTTGAACATTTTTAAAACAACTTTTCTTTAATGTCCAACCAAATAGCAAAACTTAAATTTAAAGAAATACCTTCCTCCCTTTCAAAATTTATATATGCTTGAATAATAGACTCCGGCCAATCAGTGACTGAATTCAATGCCTTTTGTAGAATTCTACGACAATGTTTACTGTCCCCATACATCCTAATATAAGGTAAAGAATATTTTATTAAATTATCTTAGAATTTAAGTTTTAGCAAAACAATTTCGACATAAGCTTCTTAAATTTTAAAATCTATGTAGATTTAAAAGTAAAAGTAAAGCACTTAAAAAAATGTCTAACAAAACGAATGTTAAACAAGACCCACCTTTCAAATCTGTAATAATGCAACCATATCGCTGCTGTAGCGCCATGTCCTGCTTGCATCACTTGATTCCAAATTTCTCTGGCTTTTTCTTGGTTCTTACCATATTTAATCTGGTGAATTTATTTAAACTAACATTTACTACAAACACATACAAAATAGTAACATTAATTGATTCATCTAAATTAGAACTGCATGATTCAATTAAAATATTTTTAGATTGCTAGTATAAAAAAGACCATGGCACAAAAATATTTAAAAAAAAAATGTCATGTGACTTTGGAATAGAAAGTAGAACTCAAAAATAAAGATAATAAAATGGAAAAAATGTCTAAGATTAATGTAACAAGATCTATACCTCAACAAAAGCTATGAGTTGTTGTAAAACTGCTTCAGGATCTCCATCCTTGCCAAAATCTAAAAATGATGAATTTAGTTTAAGGCAGCAATTAACAGTAAGCCATACAACACCACCAACATTATTCTGTGCATTTGTAAAATAAGTTTACAAAACTAAACTTACTCTCAAACAAGAAATCTGAAGCTCTTTCCACTGTAAGTCTAAATGTTTCTAAAGGTTCAGTATCATCTGTGAATTTAAAATACTTAGTTACTGGAATTTCTTAAAAATCAGCAGCAATACTTATAAAATTGACAAATGAAATCAATTAATTATGAAATGACCTACCTTTCAGGAAATCTAACCTTCTTCTTAAGTAATCACAATACTGACACCAAACTGCTAAGTAATCTGCTGCATTAGTAAATCCAACAAGCAGTGCCTTGTCTGCTAAGTCTAAAAAGTGCAACATTGTTATAAAGATTTAAAGTTTGTACTAAATTTTTACTAAAGATAATAAAATGCAACATTAAAATTTATATTAAAATATTTTCCAAATACAATTTAAAGATAATAATCCCAAGTACTATTAAAAAATAAAACAGCATAGAAATAACTATCTTATTTCTTGGTTAAACATGAAGATCCTCAAAAAATTAAGCACAGAAAACTTTTTAAAAATTAGATAACATGATACATATATTGGAGAAACTCAGCAAAAATTAAGAATAACTAACTTTGAGCAAATGGGAAAAAATGTGCTTAAATTTCAAGAGCTTTTCAAAAGGAGTACAAAAAAAAAAGCATGATAAAATAACATGAAGCCAACAGTAAATAGCTTAATGTGAACCAGGCACTAACATATTTACTTTCTCGCACAGGAAGTGTAGAGAAAGTATTGCAATACTTTGATTATTTTATATCACTTTTGGTGCGCAGTTCTTTTTTTCCACGTTAATTCTATTCTGCTTAAAGTGGGTATAATAGAGAGGAAAATTAGTGCTTTATAATGGGATATTTTACTCTATTTCTTCTATTTCTCAAAGACCTTCAGAATTCGATAATTTTATATCATAATCTCATAAAGCATATTCTATTTTTTTTTAAAATTCTGTGTGCATTCTCAAAAAATAAGTAGCTTTGTGTAAAACTTCTATAGCCCTAAAAAAAAAACCATCCCCTTTAGTAAAGGCTTTTCTGTTATGTAAGTATATAAGAGCAAGTTTAGGAGAGATCACTCCCACTTTATTTACTGTCAAAAGAATGGCTTTATGTATCTTTTTGAACACAACTTTGTAAATTACTGTAGACTGATATTGAAGAGCTAAAGAGGAAAACTTTTTCAAAAAGCCAACAGCGGGTTTTGTTCAAAATTTACATTTTATTAAATCTAACAAGGATTGAAATACCAAATAGTCTAAATTGCTACCTTTCATGAAAACAAATTCCTTGTTTTGTCGTTCCATAGCTAAAATATAATTAACCCATAATTGTGATGACCATGGACAATTGCGAATAGCTCGTTCATAAGCTGAGCTAATCTGCTGTTTAACTTTCAGTTTGTCCTGTAAAAAAGCAAAATATTTATTAAAGGTATACCACTAATGAAAAAAACCCACCTCCCTAGTTGTGGTATTATAAATAATTTTTCTTTTAATGGTTTTCTAATTCAACAACATACATTTTTTGACAGTCCAATAAATTGAAAATAATTTATGAATCATTTAAGAATGGTGGAGTTTGTTATTAATTTTTATAAATGAATATGTATCACTTGCTTATTTTAAGGATTTTTTTTATTAACAAGTGAACTGATGATAAAAAAATCAGAAATATTTTACAATTCTTAAAAAGGAAAAGATTAAATGTAATATTTCAGTAGTCAAATAGATTAGCACATAGCCCATTTATACATGCTACTAAAAACGTAAGAATAATGCATACAGAGATTTTTACATCATACTAGCTTTTTTACTTTCTCGTATACAGAGTATAGAGGAAGTATTGTACCCCAGCATTAATCATATACAGAGTATCGGGGACTTATTTTAATCGGGCAAAAATACTAGATGCAGATTTACCTAAATTTCACTTGGTGCTCAATCCTTTCTTTTCTCTATGAGATTCTATTTTAAAAAGTTTAAGGAATTAAAAATCATTATATCACAAGTTACATCCCCCGTAGTAGGCTATTATATAAGAATATTCTAGACAGTTTAGGGGAGATCACTCCCGGTTTATTGTTTGAGATAATTATACTGTACTTCAAAAGAAGACAACAGAAAAAAACAGTTTCTTCCAAAACAAAGGTAGCTCTGACAATGTTATGAAAGGATAGTAGTTATTCTGACCAGTGGCCAGGATTAACAGTGCCAGGTGAATAATTCAAAACCTCAAACTTTTGTCCAGAGAGATATATTTTTGATAAACAGAATATATCAAACTTAAAATTACATAAGAACTTACCAAATATGTTGTATATTGTAACCATAAGCTAGGGTTTAGACAATTATCTTTGATTGCTCTCTCAAAGATACAGATTATTCTAGATGGATCATTAGTCTTCATTTCATGCTCAATATACTCTTGGTATACTTCCAAATGAGGTGTTTCAGTAGTAAGCTGAAATAAAGTTCCATTCTTTCATTCTTTTATAATTCAGAATTTAAGAACAAGAAGAAGATGGTGTTTTGATAAGAATTAATATTTTTGAGTAATGAATTAGTTTAAATTCTAGAGAATTTGGTTAAAATGAGCAGCCAGATCAATTATTGACTGTCCAATCAATTGAATACATATATATTGAGTATTCAATGTTTTAAAGTGACATACCAATTTGTCTTCTAGAAACTGAACATTTTCTAATACTTCAAGAGCTCTATTAAAGGAGTCTTGAGTATCTTGATCCACTGTATCTTGGCCTAACCATTCTTTGTACTCATCCATAGTTCTTTTCATATCTTGAGGAAAAAACATATAAATTTAAAAAATAAAGAAAGTAGGCTGACCTTTCTGATCTAATGATCCATTGGGCAGGCGAAGTAGTTCACTTGTTTCAGTGACCTAGGCTTATGTAATGATAATATGGTCAGAACTATGCCTGGCTACCTTAACATGAGTGAGGTACCCAGAGCTGGGTGTACTCAGAGACTACTGACAAGAGCCCAGGATTCAAACTCGAGACTCCCGGGTTTGTAGTCAATTAGTATACCATCAGTCAGCGCGATAAACTTTAAAAAAAAAAAATCAAACAGCTTCATTATTAACTAAACAAAAGATTTAATTTATAATTAAGAAACTTACGAAGGAGAGGCACTGCCAAATGCCTCTTGAAAAGATTTATAACCCTCTGATTTTGAACAGCAAAACTTTCCTCTTCTTCTTTAGTCACAACAGTTCCAGCTGAAGGCTTAATTGTATAATTTGTATGAAAACATCACATACCTAAGTAATGTAGGGGCTGCTTAAAGTTAATCAGTGGAAACAGGTGAGCATTTAGTTATGGTAAGTTGCAGGGACAGAATGCTGGTGACTGACAGTAGTGGGATTAGGGTGAAGTACAATGGACTTTGACTAGTATGACTTTAGTGTAGCTATTTCCAAAGTTGTCTAGAAAGGCCTAAACTAGTGCTAAACATAATACAGCAGCATACCAAAACCACATTTGCTATGTATAATATCAAACAAATTACATCATATTTCATTCCTATACTCCGACTAAACTGATACTTTTGTATTTTGAAACAACAACTTTTTCAGATATTAATTGAGCTGGGCCAGAATAAAGAAATAGAAATAACTAAAAACTATGTTGCTTTTAAAGCACGCAAAGAATGCTGGTGAATCTAATAAGTAAACTAGACAATTTTACCCAACACCTTCTTACACCTGTTCCCACTGAATTAATCTCTAAAAAAAACCTATACAATGCAACAAAGAAAACAATAAGAAACTTACATTTCACATTTACAGTTATTTTACAAGTAGTTTTTTAATTTCAAATAAACAATAATTTAGAATAGTTCATCAGAAAACCATAATTAACTCACAACCAGTCCAGCTAATAACGCATTTTCAAATTCTCTGTAAGCTTCCCATATATTTGAACCTTGACTGACATGAAGCCCAACAGTTGTCAATGCACGTTCAAAAGCTTCCCGGACAATAGCAAGCCCATCTTTTTCGCTCATCCGACCGATGGCAAACTGAACATATTCCAGCCAAACTGGTACAGCTGGAAGCAAAATTTTAATAGAATTAATTTTCTATAATGTAAAACAAATGTAACATCACTATACATTTAAAACTCACATTGATAATCTTCAAATGCTTTTTGAAACAACTGTTCAATTTTTTGTCTCTCAGTTTCATCCGAGACAAGTGGAATTTCATCTCGTAACCAATCTAACCAAAGTTCTGGAAAAAAAAATAACATACAATAATTAAATGTAAACCAAGAGAATAATTTGACATTGGTAATAAAAATTAACATTTCATCAAGGGCATTGGTGCAGAAAAAAAACCCCCCACAGAAATACTTATTTTTCATTGCACTTTTGGATACTCTGTCCATTTATGTATTAAGAAAATAATAACTTTAGTGAGAATTTTAAAAAAATGTGTTTAATACTATTTTTATGACCCCATTAATTAAAAAATTAACATCTTTTTCCAATCTTACATGCTCTCTACAAAATTCAGTATCTGTCATTTTGTATAAGACATCAGTAGAAAGATGGATTTCTCATGTATTTTTTAATCATATTTTCAGTAATCTTGGAAACACCCACGGCTTTCAATTAGTTTTACAAATTACACATAAATTACATTTTTGTGACCTACTTTTTGTTATGTTTCTCATTTGCATTTTTTTAACGCTAAAATATAAAAAGCCCACCACTTTTTAAATTAATAATACGATTCCCACCATATTTTCAGTATTTGTTTTTCATGTAAGAATATAGCTTTTGTCACAGTTTTTTTTAAGGTTTGCATTCTAAAAGGTCACATTAAGCACTATTTTTGTTTAAAATGACACACTTAAAAATGCAGTTTTGGGAACCGCTTTTTGTAAGGATTAAGACTAAAGAAAAAAGGATTGTAAATTTCATGACTTTATTATCGATTATTTAAATTTTACTGTCAAAGCAGTATTTATTTTAGTGAGCTCCAGAAAAAAAATTATCCACATCTTAATCATTCAAACCTACTTCAAAAATGAGGAAATTATTAAACATAAAGGCCTACCTTCAGTAAGTGGAAAGTGGCGACTCATTTCTTCTCTTGCTTCTCTTAGTCTGTGCAAGTCTCCTAATTCTCGAAGTAATTTAATTTTTTTAATGTGGTTATCATATACATAAGGATTTTGAGAGATCTGAAAAGAATAGTTTTAGAAAAAATGTTTAAATGTTAATATTACATTTTAAAAGATTTCACACACATTTTTCTAATGCGCAGCTTATCTGAAACAGATTTTTTCAACAAAATATCAGTGTAACAAAAAATTCTATTGGGTATCTATACATATGTCAACTGTTAACCTGTTACTTTAAGACATAATGAGCCGACCTGCTGCGTACTATTTAGTTGTTTTACGCAGCTATTTAGTTGTTTTATTTTCTACTTTTTAGTAATTCATTATTTTTTTAATTCGACATTGAAAATATTTTGCTTTAAAGCACTACCAGTATCAGTAGCTCGTGAAGGGCGATTAGTCTCTCCCTCCAACACCCCATGAAAGCAGCTGTCCGTGATGACAGTTTACAGATGACAATGGAAATATCAAGCAGAACTTGTTACATCCCCTTAGTTTCAAATCATTTAAAAACTATGTGCCCCTAGTAGCCGTCACTAATTCAACCCGGCTCTACGATTGTAAACATTCGGCGTGAACCACAGCTAACCAGGCTGGTGGGTGTGGGGGAGGGTCAGTATATATATATCGATGATAATACATTAAAGGAGAACTCGATTGAATAATTGTGAAATAATCAAAACCAAGCCATGGATAGAGGCATTAGAGGTCAGGGGTCACTTCCACCCTGCAGCCAAACATTCATCGCAATAAAATGATCACCATTGAGTGGTGATTATTATACAACTTACCCAACATTGAGACTTGGTTGACCACTGGCAACAAAAGAAAAATATTGTGGATGACAGCCCTGCATGAGTGTCACTAATCGAGATAAAAGACCTAACCTAGATCTTAATACTGAACTCAGTGAGTAAACAGAGATATTATGCGAGATATTAGTGTTCCAGAAACCAGTCCCGGGAGTTGTATACATTCAGCTATTTAATACAATTATATTTTTTTAAAATTTGAGACTGATAGGCCTGTAATTTAATTTACCTTTAAATAAGAAGAGAAAAAAAAAAGTACATTTTCAATGCACTCTCAACATTCGATCAGTCAGAGAAGTTCATACCAAAGGCCATATAGATCTATAGCCTAACAGACCTAACAACTCCTGTTCGCCATTAGTCAGCAGAAATGATATCAGGAATTTAAAGCATTGTCAATACTCAATATGACAATACAGATGCAGCCATTTTATAAATTGAGTAGGCCTAATATTAATGATTATTAATATTAGGGCCTAAAGTACTCAATTATAAATTAAATAGACTAATTATTCATTTTCAAAATGACAAATGTTCTTTAGAAATGCTAAATATTTTGGCATAAATCAGAATCATTATTATAAACAAAACTAAACAAAATCTTCATTTAAAAGTAGTGTGGTTATGAATATGCCCAGCTGTCTTCAATATTCCAAAAAGAATGTCAGGTACTCATTAAAGATGGGTTAACTCGGGGATGCCCTATCAACCACTCCTACCCCCCTCCCTCGCTCTCCAGGCATGCACAACAGACCATATTGTTATCAACCCCACCCATCTGGTGAGCTGTGCTTTACGCCAGATGTTTACCATCATAGGGCCTGGTAGAATTAGTGACCGCTATTAGGGGCAGATAACTTAGTTTTTAAACTCTTTGGAACTAAGGGGAGGTAACACATTCTGCTTGATCTTTTCATATTTGTTTGTAAACTGTCGTTCCGACTGCTACTTCCACTGGGGGAGGGGGGAGTGTTGAATTCACAAATTATGAATTACAGACTAGTAGAAAATCAAACAAATCTAAATAGTAGCTTATGTCAGCATGTTAACTATTTTAATTTGAAGTGACTACTTGGAAAAAGATTTTTCACCCCAACGTCTCCACTTGGTCGACAAAAGATAGTTCTGCGCATGCGCAGTGACCTTAATAGCTGAGCTCGGGTTACGGCTAGGGTTAGGATTAGGGTTCTGCCGTTGTAAACACACGCATGCGCAGTACCATAAAAAACATCACCACGAAGGTGTCGCAGTTTCTCTCCATTGCGCTTGCGTATCTTTTTCCGGCTAGAATCGGCCCTTTTAATTTTATTTGACTAAGAAGTTGAAGAATGAAGAAATTTGGGGAGAATGATTATAACAGTGTCCGATAATAGAATCTTCTTTGAAAAAGGGGTGTTAGGTTACTGGTAGTTAATTAAATGTATGGCTGGCTAATGTTAATGCTAACCCTGTCCCTAACCCAACCCCCCTCCTGCCAACCATACCATAGTAATTATTTCACAATTTTAGAAGGTTTTATGTTTTGAAAGTTACAAAAATATTTCAGTTTCATTATTATACCTGTTTTTAAACAATTGTATTAAAACTTTTCAGTAAAAAAAAAAAGACTAGCGATGTTTTCATCAGATGCAACCAAGCTTATTTACTAGAGATTCAGGGGAAACCACTCTAACTTACAGATGGCCTCTTTTTATATTGCAAATCCTGCTCGCAAACACTGCCATTTAAAGTTTATTTTTGGCCTATGTTGATATATTTAGCCATTGATTTTGGTTTATTATTTAATTATCTATAGGCCTAATATTTGACACAAATATATCACAATATACTTTTATTAAAGCCATAACAATGAAGTTAACAATGAGGCAACTTTTTAGCACATTACTAGTCTTGGTCGATTTTACGTACCTAAAACGATAGATTACCCCTAACACACCTATTTGTTTATGGAAGAGTGTATTAATCGGACATCGGTAGGCCCTATCTAAAAGCATGGTAATCTATCGATTTAGGTACGTAAAATCGCCTGCGACTAGTAATGTGAAAAAAGGTGACTCCTTAAATATCTATATATATATAATTCTCTTCTTGGAGACCATAGAAAACACTAAGCTGTAATCGCGCTCCCTATCACCCCCACCCCTACATGGTCTGGTGAGCTGTGGTTCGTGCTAAATGTTTACAATTGGAGAGCCGGATTTAGTGACGGCTATTAGCACTATTAGCCTATTAGGGGCAGATAATTTTGTTTGAAACGATTTTAAATTTAGGGGAGGTAACTAAGAGGAGTTTGCTTTCACTGGGGGGTAGGGCAAAAGGGGGGGGGGGGGTAATCGTCCTTAACGAGCTACTGATAGTGTTTTAAAGCAAATATTTTCAGTGGCAGCGTTGGTACTGTCGAATTCACAAATTATGAATTACTGAAAAGTAGAAAATAAAACAACTAAATACTCGGCGTATGATACGCCGCGGGTCGGAATAATATAATCGAAATGTCTATTCACAGTCGACTGTGAATAGCTGTATTGGGGCTATTCACAGTCGTGACCGTTTTTGATAGATTTAATGTTAAAAATACCCAACTGGGCAAGAAGATGTGTAGTCGACCGGTCATGGGCACTAGCTGTCATGCCAGATGGTGCGGGTTAAATCCATCAGATGACATATTGCTATGACTCTTAATGTATGCCTTTTAATCTTATTATCAACATATTTTTTCACAGTTACTTTAGTTTCTCATGGAAGGGTTATTTTTTAAAATTTTCTTTTCTTTTGTGACGTAATTGTTGACATATCAATCAGCAAAAAATGAAAAAAAAAAGACCGGTCCCGTAGATTTTTGCTAAGAGAAAAAACACAACAGTGTGATGGAAACTGTGAATTATAGTGATGAAAAAGGACATCCTATTTCACCTGATATTTATTCTGTGTGATAATGTGAATTTTTAATGGTAATTGATAGTTGAATAGCAATGTGAACAACCAACTAAACTGATGCTTAATTAGTATTATTTATTTAAAAAATTACTAGATCTATTATTCTAGTGTATAGATTTAGAGTGCATAATTGATCATCTATGACCTACGTAGACGTAGCTTGTAAGTGTAGCAGATATGTCTGATATGAGCCTAAAAGCTAAACTAAACTTTAATAACTTTTTTATAAAAATATTACAAAATAAAAATAGCACTGTTCTCTTAATCTATACATTACTCCCCAGTCACAATAAATGCTTTTATTATTTTAAGATATTATTCACAGTCGTATTTAGCATGAAATGACAGCCGACTGTGAATAGCCGTATTGGGGCTATTCACAGTCGGCTGGGAATAGCCCCAATACGGCTATTCCCAACCGGCTGGGAATAGCCTTGGCCTAATAGTTAATAGGCCTATAATACTATAATTATTTATTTTATTTAGTAGGCCTAGGCCTAGATCTAGTAATAGGCCTATTAATAATAAATTATAATTTTAAATTTATTAATTATTATTTAGATAAGCCTATACTTAACTATACAGTATACACTATATACACTATTAAATTATATATATGATGATTACTATTGATTACTGACTGATTAGTATTTTTTAGCGCAATTTCCATTCTGGAGAATTGCGTTTATTAACTCGTCATTTCTGGGAATGGATGGATGAATGTATGGATGTATGAATGTGTGTCCGGGCTTTAAGTCGTATCTCCTCCTCAACGAAGCAATATCGATGACTAGTTCCAAAAGCAATTATGTTAAGCAAGTTACGAGAATGAACATAGGCCATAAAAATTCCGGGTTTCTTTCATGGATTTCCAGGAAAAGCCAAAAAACCTCGAAAAAATGCAGTTTTTGGCCCATATCTCGGCAACCAGACCACTTAACGACTTGAAACATGTACCAATCGATTCCTGCCATAATTTAGAACAATATTGCCGAAGAAAGTTTTCAAAAATATCCTCTCGTTCGGTCACAAATTTTTAAAATTACATAAACACCTACAAACCGATCGTTCTTCTAGCTTGAACGCACCCCAGCATTATACGTCAGAGCTATTTTTAGATAACATAAGGAAATTGCGCATAAATGTCACTAGACTTTTTTAATTAACTTGTTTACCAAAATCCCTAAATTTAAAATAAATTAAATATTAAATTAAAAATAAATTTTAATGTGAACTTGCCTGTTTTGAATATGCTGCAATTTCGTTTTCAATTTCCTTTTCGCTTTCGCCGTCACTTTCTTGTTCACTACGAGTATCGTCATCAACAATTTCATCTTTTTCGTGTTCCGAGTGTTCGTTCAATAAAGCCGTACATTCTTTCATTTCAATGTTGGTACAATCCGCGTCCGCCATCTTTACATTGAAACATCAAAACTACGATTCGCATTTTTGATAATTTGAATTTATTATTCCAACACGCACCTTGTAACTTACTTCCCCTGTCTTCAGTGGCGTAGGCAGGGAGTTGGGGGTGGGGTTACAACCCCCCTCCATGCACCCCTCTGTAAATATTTTTTACTGTCATAATACCACTGTTACTTACTTAAATATATTTCTGAATCAGTAGGCCTATATTTGTATAACTGTATGTATGTTTAGAACCGTCATATAAAAACTGACGCTATGTTCAGTATGAGTTGGTTTCACCCCCCCCCCCCCACCCACTACTTCACCCCCTAAAACGGGATACAATATTAATGGTGACCGGACAGCGGCGAATGAAGTTGAAACCCCCTCCCCCAACTGTGAACGGAAACAAGTCACAGAAAAAAGTCACAGAAAAAAAGTCACAAAAATCTTTCAGAAATTTTTTGATTTATTTGTTTCGAATTGTAAAATTTTGTATGTTTATTGTTGTGGGTTGTGTTTTTTGATAGGGGGTCGTCCATAAATGAGGTCACGCTTTTTTGGCCATTTTTTTACCCCCTCCCCCCCCCCTACGTCACACATCGTCACAAAAAGTCAGACCCCCCCTCTAAAATGACGTCACACTCCACCCCACCCCCCTAATTTACAATTTATCCTGTTTTAAATTTGCTGTGTTTTCATCGCTTTAAAATTACCCCTCGTTGACACAGCATTAATAATGAGCATGCAGGACCCATTCGTGTCACCAGCAGGTAAACAGTAATACAGTGAGGTAATGATAAAGCTGAAAGGATTTTTTAAAATACTTAATGTAAATGTAGGTATTTCTTGCAGACATGACGACACACGTGAGAATAACAATATATTTAGTATAATATGCAAACTATTAAACTGTTAGCACCTTTAATTTTCCTAGTATATTTCATTGTAGCCTATATGATAGATTTAACGGATGTCATCTCTCACAAAGCAATATAAATGTCATAGATTTTTAATAGTAAAGACTCTCCACTAGATTATTAAATTGCGTGTTTTGCTGTTAGCGGAGAGGATCTTGAAATAGGACAATAAATACTTTCACACTGACTTAAATCTAAGCAAATTTATAGAAATTTTTATTAATAACGATTAAATAATAATATCAATAACAGGTTATACTCAACTTATAACTTAACCGACCATATCTATATGGATTCATATTTCTAAATCTTAGCAAGATCATTAACCGAAGTATTAAAAAAAACTATTTACAACAGTATTAAAATGGCAATCCTCGATTAAAAGTTGGGATATGTAAGCTTATTCATTCTCCCATGGAGAATTGAAATGTTCCTTCATTGAATACACAGGGACGGAGTTGACCCCCCCCCCCACCCCCCCCCCCCCGTATGGAATGGGAATTCCCTTTACATCAAGGTCTTCCTCTTCTATCCAATCTACACTCTCACCATTAATTTCATTGGCAATTATCACCATCAGTTCACGTTGGCGGCGTGCAGCAACTCTCAGAGGCCTGATGCGCTGTAATGGCACGATTGATGATTCCTGTTTGTGAGTTAAGGAATGATTGCGCAGCATAACCAATGAAGAGAAGTATGAATGACACTTCTTACAAATCCTGTCGCTGATCACGGATTGAACAGACGGACAATACAAATCATAAAGGATTGTGCGATAAGGATTTGAAGAGCGGGGGAGGATTTCATCCACTTTTATACTTTGAGCAGAAAAAAGAGATGGAAATTTATGTGAAGAGCCATCTGTTGAACGCTCAGGTATTGTTAGTGCACAGCTTGTTTGGGCGACTGGTAAAGGTAGAGGAAGAAATCTATCAGTTATTAAGCTGAAATACGAGCTTCTTGGCTTTGAGCAACATTTACCATCCATGCATTTAACAATCTGAGTCAAATACTGGCTAGTTCTCACATGAATATCGTGCCAACGCTGATCCTTTGAGAGCAGAGAAGTTTTAAGTTTTAAGAAGTTCAGACTCTTCTGGATCTATGTATTCTGCCACTGTAGGAAATGTATCCACTGTCATGTGTGACCATATTTCTGCCAAAGTGTTTTCGGCAAATTGAAAATGTTTCTTCTCTAAATCTGTGTCTATTGTGACTCCTCTTTTATCCAAATGACTGCCGTAGTGGTCATGGGGTAAAACTAATCCTGTGAGCTCATTGCTACGTGGCGCCATTTTTCTTTCAACCCTATTAAATGCACTTCTTCCTGGTGCACTGGTAGCAATGAACAAACCATTATAGTTCTGATTGAGAAAGTGGTGTACCGCAACTGATGACCTTTTGATACCTAGGGTTTTCGTCTGGGCCACCATCAACCGTCAACACTAATATTGGTTTAACAATTTGATCCACACCACTCTTTGTGATATCATCAAATTCATGTAAAATAAGTAATTTTTCAAAATCAAGTCCATGACTAAGTGCTGTGGATGAGGAATGTTTATCAGATCTGATAGATATGTATGTTGGGCAGAGTATCCAACAGCTTCTCGATTTCCAATGGCGTTGGGCTGAATTTTTATCCCGGCATAAACTGAAGGGATCAGCTTATGTTCAGCAGCCACAACCCAGTTATGGTCAGGCAAACTCACCCTGTATTCCATGTGCATGAGCAATGGACTCTGTTTTTTAGCTGCTGTCAACCTAAGCGGATCGCGGGCCTTGTCATCTTGACTTATAAAGCATACCTCATTCGGTCCAAGCATGGAAGCTAACTCTTCTAGGTGATGCAGTGTTGCCGCTGTAAACAAGCGATCAATGTGATTTGCATGGCAATCGTTTTGCGCTCTCATCAGTTTTACTGGGACTGTCGATACATGTCGTTGCCCTTATGAGAAGAAGTACGTCTTGGCAACAGTCGAAGGCACAGCCCACTTCTACTAATTATAAACGCATCCTGTTTTAACTGATCAGTTAGCTGATCTAATGTTTTATTAATAGTCCTGTAGACTTCGTTCTGCCTCCTCTCGTGTGATGCTGATCCATGCATAGCAATGTTTATGATAGTTTTCAATAAAGAAGATTGATCTTCTTCAATCCTTGGCCTGCCAGAATTAGATCTAACATTCAAAGTGGCGCGTAGCCCCGGATTCTCTTCAAACAAAGCATTCAGTTTTCTTTTCTTTTCATTTAGAGCTTTCTGAGATTTTATTTGATCAGATATCTTCCTCTTTAGCTTTGTTTCCAAATCATTCTTTTTCTGTTTCTTTTTTAAGCTCCATTTTTCTGTTCTTGCGTTAACATTCCGCGAGTTTGTCGCTCATACAAGCCGACTAGATCAGAATTCAGAATCTCAATCTCTGATTGTAAGTTTATCTGGACTGTAGCCTGCTTAGATGTTGATAGTTTGCTGGTAGAGGGTTTGAAATCACTGACTTCATGAGCATCGTTCACTTTTTCATCTGACTTCAGTGACTTATTAGTATTAGGTATTTCTTTTGCCAAATCATAGGGTGTTTTCTTATTTGCATGTGTAGATACGGATGTTTGTTTGACCCAAAACGTCAAAAGTGAGCCTTTTTAGCGGCAGCAATTGCTTTTAGCTCCTACAGCCAGACCTCCGCTTTCAAGTGCAGATCTACATCACTTTTTAGTTGAATCCACTTTTCAACGACTTCTTCTTGGCAAATCTTTTTACTCTTTTTAGGATATGCCAGCACGTAGGCATCAAAAATACACTGGAACATTTTATTTCTATCCATGATTAACAGTCGATTTTTAAGCAGAATTTATGAGATTATTAGATCTACCTTTCAATTGAAAAGCCTCACACAGACAAAGTTGATTCAGCGAGACACGTGTAGGCCTATTTGGTTTTATTGAATAAACACGCACCACAAGCTGACCCTACACATATCCGTTTTTTTTTTTGCCGCACCTACAAAAATCACGAGGTTTCGACCTTGGAACTAATCGTACAAGTTATTTTTCCTCTGGATCGTTCAACAAGCATGAGCTACCGACATGAACACCATGATGTAAGGGATACAAGGCGTGTCATCAAGGGCAAGAGTCGCAGCCCTAAGTGTGAACATAAGTTCTGTAAATACTTTTTAAATAAAATATTCGGGAAACAGGGTTTCTTCTTCTTCTTCTTCTTCTTCTTCTTCTTCGTTCTTAATTTTTAGTGTTGGGATGGATCGAGCCTTATCTACCACTACCAGAGGGTTCGAACTCGAGACTTTTTCGAATTTATCAACCATCAACTTTAGCCGACTCGACCACGCCTCCATCACAATTAAGGAAACGTTTCAACTGGTTATGCGCAATTGAGGCCATTGACTCCGATTTCAGCCTGCTTTTCTTTTTGGATTTGATTCCATAGCCTTTATCCGACCAAGAACTAACTACAAGGCAGCAGTTGTTTGATTTTGGAGTTGTCTCTCCTAGAAGAGTGGCTGTCCCCAGCTAACGAGCCTCATCTGCTCGAGACTTTTCGGTTTAGCAACCATGAGCTTTACCGACTCGACCACACCGACCCCAAACAGGGTTTCAAAGAATAGCAAGCATTACACTGATACCCCTACCTTACTCTCACTAGTTGACATGCTTCCGACCTTTAGTCAAATAGCACCATTGACAATTTGGAAATACGACAGTCTACTACACAACTTACATCGTCAAATTATAGGGCAATTTAATTAGAAAACCGATATATTTCACAATCTTTTGACAACTTACACAATAGTATACATTTTGTTAGAAGTATCGCAACCAATGTAAAATTTTTTTTTAGTATTTAGTAAGTTTATTTTTCTAAAAACTAAACATAAAATGCATGTTAATCGATTCGTGGAATTAAGACGTCACACTCAGAGTTTCTTCCAGGCATCTCTTCGGGGGGAAAAATTCTACCGCCCCCCCCCCCCAAACGAAATGAAATTTATATAATTTATATAGAAAATATATACTTTTAACAGTGTCCGCCCCCCCCCCAAGAAAGTCTACCCCCCCCCCGAAAATTTCAAGTGCCCCCCCCCCCCGGAGAAAAAAGTCTGGAAGAAACACTGGTCACACTGTCTCTACCCCCCCCCCTCCCCCTCGTCACAAAAGTCTGACCCCCCTAGGCGTGTGACGTCATTTATGGACGACCCCCATACATAACTAAATATAGTACATTTCTAAATAGTAGATCTAGATCTAGTTAGTAGTAGACTCTACTTAACTAGCCTACATCTATCACGGATTCATTCATACACTGCACTGAGTGTACTCTGTGGTCGATGCCCTGACCCTAATGGCTAGCAGCTATGACGTATTAATAAGTAATTAAGTAATTATACTTTTAACTAATACTAATACTAATAGCAGTAATAGGCTTAGATCTAGCTTTAAAGATATTAGGTCAACCAATGATAAGCTTTATTTTAATTGTTGTAAAACCTTAGTTTAGCGTCGGAAATTATCGGGTAATGTTTGTTGAGTTTCGGTAACTAGAGTTACGGTAAACCATGGTTTATTTGACCATTGAAATATAAATAAATTGAAAGTCGATTGTAGTAAATTAATGTTTTAATTTTTAAAGAAAAATCGACAAAAGGAAACAAGAATAAATATAATAGTAGATTTAAATTAGTAGATCTAAAAATAAAAAAAAAACCAACATATATTAATATAAATATAAATAATGAAGTCAAATGTAATAATTTAATGTTTTTGGCTTGCAGCGGATTTGCGACCATTAATTAATTAGATCTAGATCTAGCTAGATATCTAGCTGCTAGACCAAGTAAAAAAAATCTAGATTACGAAAATAGTAAAAATGATTACAAAATGTAAAAATGATTACAAAAACAAATCTATCCAAATTTTAAACATTCTGTATAAGAATAAAAGATGACGCCAAATAAAGTATGGTTTACAGTACTTCCGTTGAATTCCGGAAGTGTGTGACAGACTTTGGCATTGTTTTGCTGTTTTTTACTGCTATACGATTCCGGAATAATAACCGACGCTAAACTAAGGTTTTACCCTATTATTAACTACTAATACTTGAGATTCTAGAAGATCTATCTCTATCCACAGTAGTATCTAGATTCTAGATCTAGAATCTAGTAGTAGAAAGTAGTAGAATCTAGATCTATTTGTATTTTGTATTAACTTCAAACACACCTTATGCCTTATGCCATTTTTGTTTTTGTAATTATGCTGTGTCACTGTATATTATTATAATTAGTATATACTATATAGGCCTAGATATAGATATATATATATATATATATATGAGAAAAATGGCCCCTTGAGGAAGGATACAACGGGCGCTAGGTTGATAGTGCTGTCTCTTTTCTCTAAACTAAAACCCCCCCCCACACACACACACACTCCAAAACATGTCTACCGTCCCATTCAACGAAATATAATTATATACTTTTTCCAGTGTCCGCCCCCTCCCCGAAAATTCTACCCCCCTCCGAAAATTTCAAGTACCCCCACCCCTCTCCGGGGAGGAAAAAGTCGTGAAAGAAACACTGGTCGCATTTGTAGATCATACAAACTAAAGGAAGAACCTGGGCGGGGCTTCGCCCCTACCGGAAGAGATGCATGAAAAAAACTGCACTCTAAACACTTTTTTTAGATTAGAAAAATTCCTCCCTCCGGGGAGGAAAAAGTCTGAAAGAAACACTGGTGTCGCGCTTAGCCACTACCCGAAGAATTGCATGAAACTCTGCACGCAAACCACTTTTTAGATTAGACACATTAATAAGGCGGTAATTTTATTATAGAGTATCTGACGACATTTCTTTAGAGTTGGGGGGGGGTGGCTTAGACGTTCATTCTCGAGGGTGGGGCTTCGCGTTCTTGTCAGATAGACAGATAGATAGATACATAGATAGACAGCGAAACTATTATTATATATATATATATATATATATATATATATATATATATATATATATATATATATACATATATATATATATATATAATAACAACGTATGTATGGGGGCATCTTTAATTATCTTAGAGTATTTTTACTTACAATTGCTATAAATCATAATGCTTTTAATGTCCATAAATAATTTATGCTATAAAAATACAACCCACAACAATAAACATACAAAAACATTCTGTTTCAAAGCTTCCCTTTTGATGTTGTAAAAAAAAAAACTGAATAAAGAACAGGATGGCAGTTTCTGTGAACAAAGGTCGAAGAGTAATTGTATCTGGAATGGGTATAGTTTCATGTTTAGGGCTTGGAACTCAGCATGTCTGGGAGCAGCTCATATCTGGTAAATCAGGAATCACACAAATCAGAGCTGAGGGTAAGTGAAGTTAAACAGATACTGGTCATTACAAATGTGTATTATTGATATTTTGTATAAGGTTACAAGTTGTATTGGTAGCACAATTTAATTTTTAGGGGCACCCACCATCATGAGCTCAACAAGGAGGGGCAAATGGTAGGGGAGGAGAAAAGACAGAAAAAGATGACTTCTGTAGAAGCTTGTAGGATGGGGAGGTGTCTGGTTCACATGTTAAACCAGTATTTCCCCTTTGTATAGAAGTATAGATTATTAAAACAACTATTTAATGGATGAATTGAAATGGCAGTCTTCATGTTTTGAAAACTTGTCAGCTCAACAAGTATTTAAACCACTGTTAATTAATTATTTTTGGTTTGATTTGGGAAGAAACTCAATAAAACATAACAAGCCCTCATCATAGATAAAATTTCTCAGCACATGCTACATCCTACTTCCAATAGTTGAATTGTATAAGATATTTCCGAAAAGAACCAATCACTGTATAAGTAATGCAATACTTATATATGAATTAGTATATTGTAAGTGGAGATATCTGTTCTATATTTGTGGATGTCTCGATCAAAAGAAGTGGGGATAGGGGGGGGGGGGGGGGGGGGGAATCCAAGTTAAAAACTTTTAAAATATCTACTCCACAACTTGGAATAAATGATTATTATAATCTTAAACTATAAATACTATAATTAAATGAAAAGTATTTATAGAAATATTTTTTTACAGACAGGGTAAGATTTTGGTGAAAAGTGACATATTGAGGGGATGTGGTTCTGGGAGTGGGACATCACCTTTGTGTTTTTTAAATTAAATAGTAATTTTTAAAATCTGCAAAAAAGAGCATGATATAATTTATTGACAAGCTTTCAGTACTTTCATCTGTTTGTTGGTATTTTATTTTCAAGTTTACAATTAATTTTTAGTTTTTGCTTTTTGTTAATTCAGGTTTTGAACAGATTCCAAGTAAAGTAGCAGGTCTTGTTCCTTGGGGACCAAGTCAAACTGAATTCAGTGATAATCTAGTTCCAAAGATTGATGGGAGAGCTATAACTAAGATGACAAAATATTGTCTTGCAGCTTCTGAAGAGGCTTTAACAATGGCTAACTGGAAACCAGAGTCTGAATGGGATAAAGAAAGAACAGGTCATCTAATGTTAGAAATATTAAATATTTATTTTGTTGGGCACTTATCATTTCAAATTTGGATGTAGATTGCTTAAAGTTGGCCATAACATTACAACCACAGCTTTATAAAAAAAAAGCAGAAAGAAAGCAGATTTAACCTTTTAAACTATAAGTTAAGTGGATGTATTAAATAAAGTAGTTAACTGCTATGTGAAAGAATATAGAAACATGAGTGTGGCAAAAATCACTCTTCCATAGAGGTGAGATAGAGGTGGTATGTGGATGACACTAGCATACAGAGACATAGACTATAGACACTAAGTAAAAAACTGTTTTTGTGGGAAAGTAAGATTCTTATTCATACTATTGTGAAAACCTCTGGAAACAGCAGTGAAAGTATTTTTTTAGCTATTCGTTGGTTATAAATATTTAATCTGTGATAAAACATGTTATTGTGATAACTCTTTATCTTTCCATTTTATGATGTTCTGCATCCTACTTTAAAATTCTTTGTTTAATTAAGTTTATGGTTAAAAATAATTTTTTGTATGTCCATCACTGTTGAAGGGGTGTGTATTGGCACTGGTATGATCCCTCTTGAGGAAGTTGTACTTGCTGGTGAATTATTACATACATCAAACTACAGAAAAATATCACCCTGGTTTATTCCTAGAATCCTAGTCAACATGGCTGCTGGACATGTCAGCATAATGTATGGCTTTAAGGTATATATCTGGTAAAAGAAAGTTGATAATACATCTGATTTTCACATATACGCTCCTTTCATTTTACTACTAATTTTGAAAATTAATTTACATGTATAAGTTATTTAGTGCAAGACTAACAAAATTAATAGTGCTTCCTGATTAAATAAAAATTTAAATAGTGTAAATGTTTTGATGTGGATGTTCTACCAATTAAATACAGTTATTCATTTATTAATGAAATTTAAAAAATGTATTTAAACTTTTTTTCTCAGGGACCAAATCATGCTGTATCAACCGCTTGCACCACCGGGCTTCATGCTGTTGGGGATGCAACAAGATTTATACAGAACGGAGATGCTGATGTTATTATTGCAGGAGGCTGTGAGGCTTCAGTTACTCCCCTTGGAATGGCTGGCTTTTCAAGAATGCGAGCATTAAGTACTAATTTTAATTCCATTCCAGAGCAAGCTTCGAGGCCTTTTGATAAAGATCGAGATGGATTTGTTATGTCAGAAGGAGCAGGAATTCTGGTATTAGAAGAGTTAGAGCATGCAAAAAAAAGAAATGCTAAAATATATGCTGAAGTTTTAGGTTATGGATTATCAGGTGATGCAAATCATATAACTGCTCCAAATGAAGATGGTGATGGTGCTAAGCGTTGTATGCAAGCTGCTCTTAGAAATGCAAATATTGATTTCTCTCTTGTAGGCTATATTAATGCACATGCCACATCTACTCCTTTGGGAGATTCTGCTGAGAGTAAAGCGATTCTGTCTTTGTTTAAAGATCACGCTAAACAAATTTTAGTCTCATCAACTAAAGGGGCAACTGGTCATCTTTTGGGTGCTGCAGGAAGTATGGAGTCAATATTTACTGCATTAGCAGTGAATAAAGGAGTAGCTCCTCCCACTGCCAACCTCAAAACACCAATGACAGGATGTGATTTGAATTATGTTTCCTGTTCTGAAGCACCTTGGATTAATGAAAGTTCCCCTAGAATTGCATTGACTAATTCTTTTGGATTTGGAGGTACTAACGCAACAGTATGTTTTTCAGAGTATTTGTCTTAAAAACCCAAACTAGAAATGTATTGTTTTGAATGTATGGGGTAGATTCTCATGAACTGGACCACAGATTAACCTCGATGCTTATTTAGCAGAATACCAGAGGTTAGAGTCATCATCTCAGTTAAAGAACTGAAACAAATAACTACTACCCAGTGGCAGTTCAAGGGAATTCAGTTTAATTGGACAAATAAAACATCACAAGTTGTGTCCATGCAAAGTCAGTGGCATTGTCTGCTCTGCCAATTATACTGTGAGTTGTTCTGTAGATTTTCTTTGTCAATTGCTTTGTGGTTGAACTATGTTCATAGACAGTAGTTATTGGGTGAATGTTTGCTGTAGTGCTGCCAATTAAGGGCTAATGACATTTTCTAATTAAAGTAATTGTTATTTGTTGTAGCATGTGCCTACTTTTAAAATGGATCCTGTTTATGACAAACGTGATATACATTTATTGTGTTAATAATGGTGATAAATGACATTAAATTTGTACATTTTTATAAATAATAGTGATGTTTTTCTCTCTCAGATAAATGTAGAATTAAAAATGTGTAGCTGACTTAAAATATTCAAGTTCAAGGCAAAAACACTTTAGTTAGTTTAGTCCTCTTAACTCCTTGTGGTGTGGAGGTCCTTAATCTTCTACTTTGATCTCCAGCTGTGCCAAACATTCCTGCAGTCATTAGTTTTTCTACAGCTTTTTTTGGGCTTTATAAGTTTATAAGCATTCTAAAATTAAAATTGTGATGGTGTGAAATGGAGATGCCTAAATAGGTTGCTGTATTTGTTTAATAATTTTATTTCTTACTCTAGCTTCATCTAGCAAGCCACCATTTCTTATTGTGGTCAGGTTTTTAAATGCAAGGATAAGAATTTCAATATTCATCCAAATCATGCTGTTTTGTCTGTATGAAGTTTATGCATATTATGAACTAATTTTAGATTAGTTTGATTAAATGTTGTACAACTTGTTGTGATAGTTTATTTCATACTTGGAAAGCTATGTGCATTAGTCCAATTCATATTGGAAATAATATGGATTAAAATTTAAAACATTCTTTTTTGCATTACTGTGTACACCAGAAGTTTTGCTAAGCAATTACTATTTATATTTTATTTCCATGATGAAAATCAAAGCATGGTGTTTGATGTGTTTTGTCAGGGTATTTGTGCGAAAGATATGACACAATGAAAGGCAGTGATGTTTTGCATAACTGGTTGTTATGGTATGAAAGCTGGGGTGTTGGGCTAGATAACCAATATTTTACTGCAAATGTAAATAAATGTAATTTAACTTTGTCCTGGGAATCAATTAAAATTTGCAGAATATGTGTGCTCATGTTAGATTAAAAGTAAAAATTGAAAGAAAAAAAGAAAGACGCTTAGACTTAAGAGTAAAGAGCCATCAGACAAAATGTCTTGGACCTCACAGAAAAAAGATAACACAAAACATAACAAAACCAACCTTTCTTTTTGTGTTTTAATTTAAATATTTAATTTTTTACAAATTTGTAACAAATGTTTGACTAGCCCCATCAAGGTAGTAAACTAAAAGAAATGCAGTAGAATAAAGAAAAATACTCTTAAAAAAAACATTCCCGAAATAAGTTTTCCTTTTTTATTATATTTATATTTTAGGTGCAAAAACTCTAGCGAATACCACTTTTTACAACAGCTTACCAATAAATACACCTGCATTTCATTTATTGTCTGTTTCAAAACAAAATTTAAGGCTGCGGATATTTTATTTAGAAAAAGTTTTGTTAATTAAAAATATAGGTGGCCAGAGCTGAGAAATGTTCACTAGTTTAAAACGACTAACCAAATTAACAACTTAAGGTTACTCTAGGAGTAGGACACATAATGTGTAATTTCCACTTTGAAAACAAAAAAATAAAAAGTTTGTGAGATAAACTATAAAATTTTAAAAATAAATATGCAAGTGAATAGAGACTTTTTTTAAAAAAGATAATCAAATACAATTTTGTGTGCAATATTCATTGCATGGTATAGTATAAACATAAACTTTAAGTGATTTTAAGGTTGTATCCACTTCCTAGCCACACTGATATTAAATTTGTCAATCTTAGGTTTAACATATGCCTAGATCATATTTGACTGATCACTTTTTGTTTAGGCAAATCTTTGAGACTGTTCACAAAGTATCCCATGATTCAATGCATTAATTTATTAAATGTGTATTCAACATCAAGGCATGTTAAGCTATTTTTCATATTTAACTTTTTCAAATGGTCTCAGTGATGCAACTGAAAAAGACAAAATACACCAATACCATGAATTTATAACAAAGTACACATTTTACTGTCTGTAAATCTAGATCATCTTAGGATTTTAAGCAGCAACTTTTGTTTTTCCTTTCTTGGCAAACCAATCATCACTTTTATCTGCTGTTATTGCCTTGGAATTGATATAGAATAAATAAAATGTGTTAGAAATTTAACAGAAACATTACATTTACTTGAAAAAAGGTCTGATGTTTTTGCTCATTAACTAATAATTTATTTATTCTACTTAAAAAAGGTGTTGAAAGAAATTTGAAGCTTTAGTTTAATTAGCTTACCTCATCTAGCAATGTGTTGGCATTTTTATCTGCTTTTGACAATTCACGGAATGCTTCATCTCCAACATAACATATTTCATGCCCATCCTAAATTTCAAGAAACAACAAAAAATAACGATTTCATAAGCAGGTTTATAAAAATAAAAAGCTTTAAGCAAGTACCTATTTTAATATAGTAAAAAAAAAGATGTTAAGTTCTTACCGGGTCTGCTATTATAACAACTTGCACAGTCGCTTTTCCTGGTGTATCTAAGCTAACAAGTGGTGTTAAGATAGTTTGGTGTTCAGATTTCATTAAATTTTCTAAAGCAGGGAGCTTTGAAAGACAAAAGAGAAATTGCTTATAAAAATGCTATTAACAGAAATTGAAAATATTTATCTTAGTTTGATGAAATGGAATAAGATTTGTCTAGATGGCAATGGCATGGTTTCTTAAAATATACCATTGATAAATTACCTCTACACTTGGACATGAAAATGCTATTCTTCCAAAAGCCGTTCCGTGATCCACTGGTTTTTCAATATCAACAAGCTCAAGCTTACACTAAAATGAGTCAGAATTAAAACTTTAGACATTTCTGATCTAGAGCACTTAGCGTATTCTTAAAACTAGATGTAAATATGTAATAAAGATTTCACTGAGTACACACTCAGTCTCATTTTAAAAAGATGATTATTGTTTTTGTTTAACAATGCGTGGTGGCCTTCTCAAGTGACCTATATTGTTGGTTGGTAATATCTGCCAGATAATGAAATGTCAGCTTTAATTTCACCAATTTTGTTCACATTTGTGTCAATGTGTTCTACTGTATCTATTTTAACTTGATATTTAAAATAAAATGCATAATAATTAGCTTTTATGTAATAATGCAGTAAAAAGGAGAAAAATTATGTTCTTTAAATATATAATTATGAACTACTATTTAAATAACCTAAAAGAAAAGGGTGGGTCACTTCATAATACTTCATTATGTATTGAATACATTTACTAGAATTTAGGAAGCAATCCACTGTTTACTTAGCTGGATAACTTCTCATTATTTCACTAAATTCAGCCACCAGGCAACATTACAATATTTTACTAAAGAAAGCTGGCATTTAAGCCAGTAAGATATCATTTTAAGACTGTATATATATAGATAAAAATATACAACTGTTTTGACTACAGACACAGATAAAATTCATAACACAAATAGTGAAATATGTAGAAAACACAATGCACTACCTGGTCATCAGCATAACCAAGAATAGCAGATTTAGCTTGTTGATCAAAGATTTTCATTCCACAAAGCCTCACCCAGAAATCTAAGTAATTATAAATATTTTATTTTCCTTTCAATTTTGCTAATTCTATCATGTATTAGTAATAAAGTTTATTTTTTGTTTAATAAAATATTACGCTACATATACTTCTTTAACTTACTTTAAGTGATTGAATTTAAAACTGTCATTGCAATTGCAAATAAAAAGTTTCTGTACTTTATTTTTTTTGTTTTTGTAAATGGATATCATATAAAGAGATATAATTTAAATCTCCAATAAATAACTACCATAAGCTTCACAATTAAAATTTATACTTTTATATCATGTTTATATTAACTATTCATTGTCACAAAACATAATTATTTTCTGAATGTTACCGATAGATTTAAGCAGATTGGATGAGGCAAGTGTAACAATCTGGACAGGATCTGAGGATTGATAGAGTGTAATGGTTTACAAATATCATTTTAATAACAATAATTTGAAGAAAATATGTACTTTTTAACGGATTATAACTTGTTTTTTAAGGGATGGTATAGTCAAATAATAGAGTGTAAGTGTAAGACTTATTAGTTACTAGGCTGAAGACTAGGAACTCAAGAGTTAAACCGGCTATGATGAGTATAGTATTTGCTATTGCACTAGGAGTTGAACAACAAACCTTTATGTGGAATTTATAAAAAAAAAAGCTGATGTACATTTTTCATGTCCCCAATAGCCTACGGACTGTTATGTGTTCCTATTAATTACCATTATTATGTACTATTTTTGCAAACGGCCCAACAGCTTGTTTAATGCTCTTATGTCAAAAACCGGAATACCTAATTTGTTCGTAAATCTCAAACAGTTAAAAAAGTTGGGATCATTAAAAGGTTTAACCTGTAAAAGTACTTGAATAATCTCAACATGAATATTTATGTATAGAGTAAGTTAAACCAATTTTTTTTCAAGAGTAAAAAAAAAGCAAAATCATTACATTTTTATTTATGGTCAGCATAAATAATTTAGTAGCCATACATAATTCATATTTTGTGACAAATGATAATAAAATAACTTTTTTTCTTCTGAATACTGTAATAATTAAAATATTTCACTACCTCCTTGTACAGATTTTTCAAGGACTTTAAAAACATAGCCATCAGGAGATGATATTACACAAGCTCCATTTTCCTCAGTAATTTTATCACTTGTGCCCTTAGCTCTTTCAAAAACAGATTTTGATGACACTGTGATACCCTATAAAGTAAAAACAATTATACCCTTTTGTTAAGCCAGCAGCAGAGAGAGACAATTCTTCAGTAAAACTAGTAATGATTACACAATTCCTGTAGCTTTTTTATTCTTTATAATAGCTTTATAATAACTTTTTACATTCATTTTTACTTTCTTGTATAGAGGAAGTATTGTAATCGTGCAAAAGAAATCAAAATCGCCATTCGTCGAAATTTTCACAAATCTCTAAGTTTTAAACCTCCCTGAGTCAGAAAAACTTTTGCAATTTAGTCTGTGTGTAAGTGTGTATTTCTGTGAACATGGTAACTTGAGTATCTGTATAGCTAGGTACTTATATCATGTTTGGAACACGAAAATAAATATTAAACAGCAAAAAAAGGGTTAAAAACTATTTTGGTTGTCATGGAAACCCAAAAAAACCTCAGCCATTTTCCATTTTTCGGTACTTTTAAAAATGCTAAGGTTTTTTTACTTATGCACCTATAGCAATCAAATTTAAACTGCTTATATTGCTTATATGTCATGACATCTTTTGGAATCGGACACGTTTTTTTTTGTAAAAAATCAGATCAATTCCGCTTTTGGTAGGACAGTAGGCATGTCTGTCAGTTTCTGGATGTATTTCAGTTTCTGCTTTTTAGTTTTATTTCAGGTTACACATCTTTTCAAGCTAAATTTTTATTCCAAGTTAAATGTCCGGATTAAGTTAAAATGCCAGTTCCAAATAAAGTTCTGTTTCTGTTAAATTTTTGTACCTGTTAAGGTTCTAAATCTCCATATCCAGCTAAATTAACGGATCCTGTAAATATCCAATTCCGGATAAAGTACAGTTTTCAATGAAATTTCATATCTTCCTACATTTCCTATTCATCCGGTAAAATTTGAGGATCTGGTTAAAATACTAGTTCTGGATACAAAATTTTTATCAATTACATTTTTATCGTTACTGGTCAAATTTCAGGTTGTGGTGGGGATTTTTATTTTGGTTTAGAGAAAATGACAACACACTATCAACCTGGCGTATTTCTCCCTCAACGGGAAACTTATCTAGTTGAAATATATTTAGCAGGCTCCTGATTGTGCAAAAATGATACAATAACTGGTTTCTAGCCAAAATGGTATGAGCATAATAGATGTGAACATCTATATACATAAAGCAAAGTTGTCGGGTGCCCGACAGGGCACTTCCTGGCGCCGGAGGCGCTTCAAATTTGGCATGAGTCTGCCTTGGGGCAATAGAACACGAGAGACGGTGCCGGTTAGCCAACAAGTCCACGTAGAGGGGGACAAAACTGACCTCGACTGACCAGCGCCTTATATTGGCTCTGTTACGAAAAAACTTTCGTCCAACGACCCCCTTGAAATTTTCTGAGGTGGTAGGAGAACGCCTTGGGGTGTCACAAAAAACTCGCCATGTCCGGGAAAAAAATCGGGAAATGGGTATAAACTGACCAGTCGTATTTCCCTATATAATCTTTGTATTTTATGGGGAAAACAGAGGGTAATTTCAACAAAGATTTCAGGGTACTTACTCTTTGTATATCTGGCTAGTTTTTTGCATACACCTCTATTATGAATAGGCCGTATGGAAAAACTGTTGGTCAAACTAAAAGCCCTCATAAGAGGGCTAAAAAGTGACCACGAGTGAAATTCTCATTATATGAGATTTGGTCATTTGGTCTATGAACAGGAGAGGTAACTTTTTAATGTGATAATTTTTAAATATTTTGTATACTCTTTTTAAGCAAAAAACAAAAATCATAAAGTATAGCATTGTTTTAAATAGATATTTTGTTATAAATTCAGTTTTGCATTGTTTGAAATTGTAAATATTAATTGCGAAAGTAATTCAAAATAATATTTGATTGATACTATTAAGAAAGCCCTTGCAGTTCTAATAACCTTGCGAGTAATAAGTTTGCGAATATTCCATCAATATTTAAGTGACATGAAATTACTCCACTGTACAAATTTAGGCCCTAAGCATTTAACATGACTAATTAATCATTCAATTTCTCAATTTTTTTGAAAACCTAAGCGAAGCTAGTCAGTATGCCTAGTTATGAAATAAGATGACTGGAAACAGAATGTATTAAGCTAACTACTAGCTAATTTTTATGTTTAAATGAACCATAAAGAAGTAAACAGATTTAGAACAGTCTACCCTGTAAACATGTAGGCCTATATGTTACAATGCACATAATACATAAACACAAATTTTTAAAAATTGTTTACTGGCCTTATATTTTTCAAATTACTATTTATATTGTATTATTCAATAAAACATGGATCAAAGTTAAAAACCAACCAGAAAATCATTTCCTAGCTTGTAACTGCCAATACCGTAGTTGTAAGTTAATTCAGCCACAAAATGATTATCTTCTGGTCCATATCCCACCATTGTTTTGCTCCATTTACCATCATAAGGACTTAACATAAAAATAATTAATGTTAAATATGAGATTTTTAAGTTTTGAAAAACGTTTCATGAGTAAAAAATATAAATACACAGCAGAAAATTTAAAGTGTAGCCTACTAATTATAACTTAAGTTGAATTTATTTTTACTTACCCATTACAAGCTGCTTTACATCCTTCTTCAAATTCTTCATGACGAAGAATCTTCAAAGTAATAAATTAATGAATAAAAATAACAGAGTAAAAACATTACTCACACAGTTACTGCTAAACAAATGATTAAGAGGAAACATTTGACCAACTACCATTTTTATACCCACTGTAACACATACTGAAGGTTAGTGCATGTGTGTGATTGATTTAGAGAATGGCAAGGAAATGAAATCCAAACAGCAAATTGTATACAACTTTATTAATCACCTTAATTAGTTAATGCAATTTAATCTTGGCAATGAGTGGGCAATTCAGAAGTGAAATATAAATTGTTTAAATGAAAATAACTTTCAAAAACCGTTGTATAACCTGCATTTAAGTTAGACCACGACCAACTCATCTGTTCAAGTGACGTTTTAACTAATAACGTTACTCAACCTAAAAAAACTTTACCTTAAATACAGGGGGTTAATATTGTATGCAAGTGCTTGAAAAATATAAAAATCATATCTGATGCACAATACAAGAAAAAATCAAATAAACATAAATCATAAAAGGTATAATTTTATTACAGGTTGTACGAGTGTGTAACGAACAATGCCAGGCCCTTATACTTATAGCGGCAGTGGCTGTAGGGACCCAGGTCCTAATAGCTGCCGGGGCTATTGGGACCCAGTTCCGAATAGATGCATCCAACAATAAAACATGAAACACATTTTTTTCGCAAACTGTGTCTCGCTGTTTATTCCGCACGCAGGTATGTCACGCATTTTCTTCTCGCAGTTTACTGCCTCGCTATTTAACTTTTCGCAATTTCCCAATACCCTATAATTTATACCTAAATCTATATTTTATACACAGATTCTAGATCTTGAACATACCTGCATTCCCAGCACATCTCTATAAAATCTGGCATTCTCTGTCCGATTTCCAACTTTAAATACGAAATGCAAAGCTCTTCGAGAACTAGATGTCATTTTATAAGTGTATATTTTAAATAGTCGACAAAATCTAGACACTAGATCTAGATATCTAGTTATTTTGCTTTTTAAAATCTGTACCAAAGTTGCTTCATTAACATCAAATCATCAAACGTTCAATATGTATTATGTTGGCATTCGCATGTTGAATGTTGTTATTGCTCTGTCCAGAGCCAAAGCAACGCCAGATAAAAAGTGATTTAAAAAGCCAAGTAGAAATAGTAAAATGTATAACAAAACATTTAATCAAAACAACGTACCAGACTAATCTGATATTGGTTCTTTATTCTTTATTTCTGTCAAAATTTTAATCTGAGTTACATTAACTCAACGTTGCAAAATATGCCTGAGGTAAACGTTTTGGTTGAGGATAGTAATAATTTATGTGTTAATCCATATATGCAGAGTTTCTTCCAGGCATCTCTTCGGGGGGGGGGGGGGGGGGGGGGCAAATGCCCCCCCCCCCCCCCCGGAGAAAAAAGTCTGGAAGAAACACTGCATGTATGGGGGGGGGGGGGAGGGGACAGGTAAAAAATTAAATACATTGAACATTGACTCTTTTGTGAGGCATCCGGCAACCGCAAATTTATAGCCTACGCATCGCTAAAAACTGTCCACCCCACCGCCACTAATCTGCAACCCCTCCCCTCTCAACCTGTCCTCACCTAAATTCTATCCATCCATGGTTACAATTGAGCCAATTTTTAAAAATAAAAGCCGTGGACAGTGTTTTTACAACAAGCTACGTCGAAAATTGTCAAGGTTTTTCTAGTTTTAACCGTAATCACAATTTGTTTGTTAATCTTATTTATCTCTAATCATTATGCCGCTACTTTAAGATTTTTGTGCGTCTGTCTCCTTGTCCTTTATGCATTAATACCAAAGTGATCCAATCGCCAAGAAACATTGGGAAGTCAGAATGATTCAGACAATCCTCTACTGACCTTGAAATTTCCTACCACAACCCCATACATGAGGAGCAGCGCCTCTTCCTTCGAAGAGAAGCCAGAAAGAAACACTGACTCATTAATTGTTTTTTTTTAATTTCGTTCTGAGAGAGGCCCCTTGACTGTAAGCGATTCGGTTTGCCACCCAGAGTTTTCCATGATCAACTTTTTACATTATCGTTATACGAAGTACAGAGAAAGTCTTGTAATCGTGCACACAAAAAAAAAAAAAAAAAAAAAAAAAAAAAAAAAAAAAAAAAATCGAGATTTTTACAAATCTTAACGTTTTACACCTCACTGATACGAAAAAACATGATTTTGCAATCTTGTCCGTATGTCTGTGTGTGTGTGTGTGTGTGTATAAACACGATAACTTGAGTACCGTTACAGCTAGGTTGATGACATTTCATAGATAAGTATTTTATCAAAATCGTAGATCCGTATCAACCTTTGAGCGATTTCCGATAACCGGAAGAGGTACTTTTTTCACTTTGAATTTTTCAAAAGCCTATAACTTGAGTACTATTTCAGATAGATGAATGAAATTTCACACGTAAGTAAAAGATCTACTAACCCTCTACCGTCTGTCAAATTTTGAGTAATTTCCGTTGACCGGAAGTAGTAATTTTCGCTATTTCCGATTTCTAATAAACGCTTGTAAATTTATAAAGTACATAATATTCCGCACTATTATGCACATTTTGTTTTGGCGTTCGCTTGGTGAGCAATTTTTTTTCTATGAGATTCTATTCTATTTTAAAAAGTTTTGTAATATAGTGAGACTTGTGAAGTCAAGGGAACTCACTCTTCTTGTATTAGTATTATATTTATACTGTTATCTTGAGTGATGTCCCTTACATGTATATATATCTTTGTCTCTCGTCACTTCCGTCCTCTCTCGTTATCGTCATGTAGTTGAAGGCCAATAAACGTTTTATATACAACCACATGCTTCTATCGTCAATCCATTACATCTGGCGACGACGATAAATAATCCACTTGAAAGAGCACCTACTTACTCAAAAAGAGGTTTGCTAGAGCATATTGGCTAAGTATTTCTAGAATAATGGCGCTGTATGGCCAAATAAAAGAATTTGATTCGAATGATGAAACCATTCATGATTATCTAGATAGGTTAAGCTTTTACCTTGAAGCTAACGACGTGACGATAGAAGCCAAAAAGAGAGCTGTTTTGTTAACAGTCATAGGGCCTCAACAATTTAGGCTATTAAAGGACTTATGCGCACCAGCTAGTCTAACTACCAAGAGCTTTAACGAGCTGAGCAAATTGCTAACAGACCACCATGCGCCTGTACCATTTAAGTTCCTATGTAGAGCTAGATTTGACGGTAGGACTCGTCAACCAAACGAGTCAATATCAGAATATGTTGCTGCTTTACGTCATTTAAGTGAATTTTGTGAATTCGGAGACACGCTGTCTGACAGACTATGTGAAAAGTTTGTGACAGGTGTAAACAGTCCTGATGTTCAAAGAAAGTTGCTGCTCGAGTCAGATCTAACATTGGAAAAAGCAATACAACTTGCAACTTCATTCCAGCAGTCATCCGATGCGGCGAGATCTCTAGCACCCTCAGGGATCCATGCAGTAAACAGCAGGTTAGTCAACAAACACCAACCCCATCAGAGCATTTCAACTTATGCTAAACAGCCTGCACGTTCAAATCCTAGATCTAAATCTAGTAATAATTATCAAAAATGTCATCGATGCAAAGGTCCCCATGCATCTCATCGATGCAAGTTCAAGTCAGCAACTTGTTATAAGTGCAGTAAGCAAGGTCACATTGCCAAGGCCTGCTTTGCAAAGTCTTCGTCTGTTGCTAAATCTAGCCAGTCAAGACAGTACCGCAACCAAAGGCAGCACTATGTTAACTCTCACCAAGACTACCTAACCCAACCAATGAACCACTCTACCTGTGAAAATGCTCAAACTGATTCGCAGCCGGATTTCAACCTATTCTCTGTGAAATCAATAAGTCATGCTCCCATCAATGTACTAGTTAATATCAACGGTAAGAGCATCAGCTTCCAACTTGACACTGGAGCATCTCTAACAGTCATCACAAAGAAGGACTTTGACGCTGTCACAGGAGGATCAGTGCCTCTACAACCATGTCACAAGTGTCTAACAACATACACTGGTGACAATGTTCCGGTAATAGGAGAGTGTATGGTTCATGTAAGTTATAATGGTCAAAGTGTTAAACTTCCTCTTCTTGTGGTTGAAGGAAATGGACCACCATTACTAGGTAGGAACTGGTTAAGTGATCTTAAGTTAAATTGGGAGAGTATATGTTCATTGAACAATGCAAAAGAATCTAGTCTTACTTCAATAGATAAAGTTATATCTGAAAATAAATGTGTTTTTGGTAATCCTGGATTACTAAATGATAGAACAGTGAAGATAAGCATTAAAGACACAAATCCAAGATACTGCAAAGCTAGAGTTCCACCTTATGCAATGAGGAATAAAATTGAAAATGAGCTAAGTAGATTGGAATCTAATGGCATCATAAAGAAGGTAGACTATTCCGATTGGGCAACGCCCATTGTGCCAGTGTTAAAGAAGGATGGTTCTGTAAGAATTTGTGGAGACTATAAAGCTACACTGAATAAGCAAATAGAGATAAATAGGTACCCTATTCCTAACATTGAGGAAATTTCTTTGAATTTGGCAGGAGGAGACAAATTCACTGAATTAGACTTTAGTCATGCTTACACTCAACTAGAACTGCATCCAGATTCAAAAGTCTATACGACAATAAACACACATAAAGGACTCTACCAATATGAAAGACTATGTTTTGGTATATCATCCAGCCCTGGAATTTTCCAAGCTGTCATGGACAGTATTTTTAAGGATATTCCAAATGTTTGTGTTTACTTTGACAATGTGTACATAACTGGTAAGAATGACACTGAACATCTTAAAACACTTGATAAAGTCTTGAAAATAGTTGGTGAAAAAGGTTTAAAGATAAACAAAGATAAATGTCAATTCATGCTGATAGAAATTAGTTTTCTTGGTTACATTTTAAGCAAGCAAGGTCTCAGACCTCAACCTGAGAAAACAAAAGCCATTAAAGAAGCACCCAAACCTGAAAATACCCAACAACTAAGAGCTTTTTTGGGCTTGATAAATTACTATGCAAAGTTCATAGGGAATCTGTCTGGTAAACTATCACCACTGTATAAGCTGCTGCAGAAAAATGCAACTTGGCACTGGGGTAAACAACAAGAAGCTGCTTTTAATACAGCAAAAGAAGCTTTGTCTTCTGACACCTTACTAACTCACTATGACCCAGGGAAAAGACTTATATTATAATGTGATGCTTCACCAGATGGTGTAGGAGCAGTCTTGTCCCACATGGATGAAAAGGGTGACAGACCCATTGCTTTTGCCAGTAGATCTTTGAACCAGGCTGAGAAAAATTATTCTCAGTTAGATAGGGAAGGCTTAGGCATCATTTTTGGTGTTAAGAAATTTCATAAGTTTCTGTTTGGTAGGAAGTTCACCATCTTTACAGATCATAAACCATTGCTAGGTTTATTTGGAGAAAACAAAACCCTACCTGAGCATGCCTCGCCAAGAATTCAAAGATGGGCTATCACACTAACTGCATACAATTATGAATTGAAATACAAACCTGGATCTGAGAATAGTGCAGATAGTCTTAGTAGATTACCTTTAAAAAACCAAAGCCTTAGCTATGTACCAGAAGATGTATTTGTTCTCTTCACTATCATGGATAACTACAATATAGATGTGAATGATATTAAAAGAGAAACACAAAAAGATGAGTGCTTAATAAAAGTATATGAGTACTGTAAGAATGGTTGGCCTGAAGAGTCTGTGAATGATGACTTAAGGCCTTATAAAATAAGAAAAATGGAATTAAGTCTAAAAGATGGAGAAGATGCAGTCCATTATCAGTCAGAGTTGCCTAAACAAAGTATTTGTAACTTAATAAATGATTATGGTGATATGGCAATTTCAAATGCTTTTAAAGAGAATACATTAGTAAGAAGGAATGTGATCATCAAACAACTTGCTAACATCATTAGCACTTACAGAAACTAAAAGGGTAACATCAAAAGAAAAAAAAAGATTTTTGCCATTTAATACACCCACTTCAAATACTGGATCACAGTTGCAAATTGATATGGTCCAGGATAGTACTTTTAAACAGTATTTTTGGTTACCAGGAAAGCACTATCA